ATCAAGTGGTGTATACGGTAGAAGGGATGGGGGCATAGTATAACATAGCAAGAATAGGAATGTATGAGAATAAAGCAATAAACTCTACCATGTTTGGAGCGTTTGGCAACACAATACACATAAACAATCAACAAAGACACACGTCAATGGTTTATGAAACAAGGGGTGTATATTGAGTAGCACCTTATATGACACGGAAAAAGCTTAAAAAACATCAAGCTCTTTACATTGTTTAAATTTAAAAAATTTAAAAGCCTCCTCTAAAGTAAGCGAAAGACGCCGTGTCAGAGATGTGTTTGAAAGCATGTCTTGACAACACATGCAACTTACAATTGTTGCACTGCAACGGTTATTATTTCGCCATCTTCCATGTCCAGCTGAAGGAATAGGAGCCAGTAAATGGACATTTGGTTTCAGATTGGAGGCCCAAAGAAGGGGCAACGAGGCTCGCGACAATACCTCTTCAGGAGTATCTGTAGCTTCGATTCGCTGCCCATCTGCGGCAAGGAATCGGGCAGAATTCCTTTCCTGTACATGATGGAATAGTGTGATTTGAGTGTATGTGTGTCAAGAAGACTAAGACAGGTGAATGCTGCGCTTATGGTTTTACCAGTCCAGCCTAAGGAATGACGTTGTGAGTTCGATTGGATCAACTAATAAATCTTATCATCGTATACTTACCTTGGCCAAGTAAGTATTCATTAGCTTTTCAAGTGGCGTTGTTCGTTTGATTTTGAATGCTATCAGTGGAGACAAGAAACAGAGCGTCAGAAGGCAATCGATATGATCAGAAGATCCACTCTTCATGCAGTATTGATCAAAAGAAAGAAGCTCTCTTTGTGTTCATGACTACACAGCCAGCCCCACAAAGATCCTTGAATTCTTTTGAAACCTGAAATGTCACGACGATTCTCACCGACTTCAGTTCCATCAGCACCTTGCACTCTGAGATTGATGTGTTCCACCTATGATAAGACGAAGCAATGAGTTATCAGCTCTCTTATCCATCATCAAAGCTTCGCCATCTTGGATGTTCAAAACAATGGTCATAAACACAACGAGACTATAGCAAACGACCGTTTAAAGAGATAGCATCGATATCTCGGTACCTTCTTTGTCTCCTGTTCTTCGCCTTCCATTGTAGTATTGCTTGTTTCGTGGTAGGTCTCTGGTTCTTGGTCAAAGTTAGTGAATTGTAATTTTGTACTTAGCTAGTGTAAGCTTCGCCTGGACGTCACAACCAACGTCAGGTATGGTTCAGATATCGGCCAATACAGGAGATCAATAAAATTTAATAATAGCAACACAACATACGCGTCCGTATCGCTAGCTTCTCCAAGCTAGCTCCATCGCGCGTCAGGCGTTTATCCTGTTACTAGGTAAATGGTAAATGTGTGTATTGACTAGATGACGACCAAAAAGCTGAACCGACTAAATACATAATCAAAAATCAAAGGCCTCCTCTACGGCGATGAAAGAAAAGTGTTTAGTGATTGAGAAGATGTTGAATACTGTAAGATTCGACGCCTCCAAGCTGTGAAAGTGGCGATACGCACGTTTGTAATTACTACCATTAATGTCTCTTCAGTCTCCATATCCAACTACGAAGAGATGGGGTTACAATGACTCTTTTTAGCAATGACCATGGCAACCATGCCGCGTCGTGACACACCTCGTCGGGAGTCTGAGTGCCAAGCACTTAATCACCGCCCGAGTCTATAAATCGAACAGCGTCCTTCTCCTATAATGGGGTTTGAGGTGTCGGGCGTCACTTTCAATGCACAGTGACGGTAGTGAACCGGGAGTGTGTACAGAAATTGTGCTGCGCCAGGCCACTGTGCCCTTACCAGTTCCATCTATATTGAGGGTTTCTCGTGAGCTTAAAAATGAGAATATCCGCAAAACTTTGAAGAATCTGGACAACGTCTTTGTCAACAAACCTTTTGCAGGTATGCATCCATGAGCTTCTGAAGAGGAGCCGTCCGCTTGATTGTAAAAGCTATCGAAAGCAGGATCGGCGAGTCAGAAGAGGCTGTTCTAAAGAATGTAGTATTTCTGCACTGAATTGTCCCCTGACACTAACAGATTACATTCGCCTTGTTATCTGCCACTGCGACTATAACATGCTCGGTCTAACATGATATGATGCATCGATAGTAATCCAAGTCAGTAAGCTTCTTTTGGGTGTGTTGCTCTGCGATGCCTTTGTGAAGCAATTGTGGATGCCTCAACGGGCTGAAAGACAAGGGAACGAAACTTAAAAAGGTACAGGAATCAGCTTATCGTACCTCTGTGTTCTCCTCGGGCTGCTGGCCTTCTTCCATGATATAAAGCCAGTTTGCTTTAGGCGGTACGGCTTTGGATTAGGGCCAAAGTAACTTCGCCTCTCAGCCCCACTACATCTCGCCTACACAAGCATAATTCAAATATCAACACAAGACTGCGAGACATCAGGAAACAGGCGACACGTTATGACGCGTCCGACTCTGCTCTCACACTGTGGAGCACATCAGACACTACCCCTCTTTCGAAATGGAACTGGTGTATATTTGACTACTAATGACCACCCAAAAAGGAATGCCAAATACAAGAATGAAGATCAAAGGCCTCCTCTATGAGAGAAAAGGTTTTGTGGTTGGAGGTTGCATCTTCGAATTTTAATCCCAAACACCAAATCTGTTGAACCTACATTTGTTGCGCTGCAACATTGATTGTCTCGCCATCATCCAAGTCCAACTTAAACCACAAAGAAGTGCCGTTAGTACGGGGGTACTTGAGAATTGCAAAGAGAGGGGCATACGGACATACCGAATCAGGAGTGTCGGTTGGTTGGATTAAATCACCCTGGGAAGTGAGGAATCGGAGGCCACCCTTCTCCTTGAAAGCGCGGCGAAAGTGGGGCTCGTCAGCTTTCAAGACTGGAGCAAACTGTGTTTTGTACGCTGCGCATCTGCAAAGTTACCAGGCCAGCCTAAGTTGAAATGCACGCGAGATCAGCAAGGTGTCATTGATGTTCAAAAATGCAATGTGATGCTATTCAATACCTTGGTGAGGTATGCGTTCATGAGTTTTTCCAACGGAGTCGACCGTTTGATCTTGAATGCTATTTCCGTTGAAACCGCAAGAATGTCAGATAGCAATCTAGAAAATATATGGAAAGAAAACAATTGATGTCGTTGGCGATAATAAACCACCAAACCGTGAACCGTGAGCGCCTCCAGCTGATGATCTTCTTGACTCACAGACTTCTTCACCAGCAGAGTTTATGACTTTGAGGTTGACATGCTCGACCTACATAAAGAGTAATAATCAGATGAATTATGGATAACGTGGTGTCATTCCTCAGATCATAGTAGAAGCTTGTTGGATTTTCAAAACGGATGCAATGCCAAAGCAGTAAGGAGGGCATCAAGCGTGGACTTACTTTCTTGTTCTCCTCTGGCTCATCTGCTGCCGTCATTTGATTATAGTCCTCCGAACTAACGCCTAGGTCCTGTTTTGTTGGTGTTGCAAGTTTTGAGGAGCAACTAATCCGACTCTGTGCAATGTTCAATATTCTAAATATCAAGTAAAACAGATTCCATATTGTAAGCAAAATACACGTATTGACGCATCAGTAGCGCGTCGTTTATGGTCTGGACCAGCAAAACTGATTTGTACTTTCTTCATTTCGACGACGCTGCCATTGACTTTGCATACTTCTGTTAACAATTGCGAGTCCTGGACCTGACTAATTTATTTATATAGACGCATTAGGGCCAGAAACGCTGCTTGCGAGGCTGCAATCCGCCTACAGGAACTCGAAATTGAGCGAATTCGAGCTCAGACCAATCGTGTACGTATGCAACTTCAACAATTGCCTGCCGCTAGCCTACAGCAGGTTCCTGCACAATGTTCAAGCTCTGGTTCTCGCTCTGGTGAAATATATGATGATCTCTTACACACATCAAACATCAACCCTTCAAAAATTATGACTTTGATCCGTTCGTTTGTAGGAGGAAACAGAAGGCCTCGTGCTACTACACAACCACATTTGCAAGACTGGACACGTTTGGACCGACCACATCGTGTATGGGGTTGTAAACTGCAACTGCAATAAGCCCATCAAAGCCTTCAGAGCTGGGCCTTCAAGTCAAAATCCTGGCCAGGTATTCGGGAAGTTTCATGATGGCATGAAACGAGGCAGCACATGGTCTGAGACTTGTAGTTGGTACAAGGTGCTGGATGCGTATGGTATACCTGTAGTGTCAAACAGGCGTCCGGCACAAAGGCCTGTTGTCGCCCGGGACGTACATATTAGGCCTTACTATCGTCGTTCGGGTGGCGGCTGCTGTGGTTAAGACGCCCATAGTTTATGCATCTCTGTCTTCCTTTGGTCTATGTCTCTCTTCTTGGTTGTCGGATTCTCTTTTGGTGTATATCATCTCGTGCTCATGGCTCCTTTAAAAGTTTGTCGTCATGTATTCGTTGCAAAAGTAGCACCTCGCTGCCCATATGTATTTGTGTCTCATGAACAATCACGCGAATGCTGCCTTCTAGAGCGTCAAAGAATCAAATTCACGGTTTTTTATGCCTTCGTCTTGGTAAAAAATGTTGAATGTGCCTTTCAAAAGTCCATTTTGCGTCTAACGTTTGATGATCTTGCCACCCACGTCGTCGATATTCTCGAAACGATGAACTGGGTACTCCCTTTACAAACCCTCGTTGACTAGACAGTCACGTTGAGGGATCGTGATAGTACAAAGCGAATACGTGAAGTTGTAAGTTACACACTTGTTGATGAATGGAGCGTCGGTTTTTTTTGACCTTATACCATGCCTCAAATACATAGAAATCAGTCATCTCAAAGACATGGTGGAAGCAAACATGACTTGGACTAAAGTCGCAGCAACGTATCCGGAATTCGTTGCTCAAGAGACATGAGGAATGTACAAACATTTCTGGTATGATGAATTACATTTATCATGCCAACAACTATACTACATACAAAAGTATATATACTACTTGCGCTTTTCATCAGCCTCCTCTGAAATCTGTTGGAGCATTGCAGTTTCCCTTAATGCAAGATAGAATGGGAAAATCGATGATGAACTGAGTAAAGGCATGGAGAGCATCATCCAAAACACTAGCCCGCCATTTATGCTGAGTCTGCGAGTCTCTGTAATCATGAATACGACTACAGCTACCATTGCGAATAAGTAATCAGCTGTGATTGACGTCTGGCAATGACTAAGGGAGTAAGGACTTTAGTATTTGGGTGGTCATCTGAAAGGAGTGAAGCAGTTCTTATACTTGTCAAATACAGCTCGTATCAGTTCGGTCACAGTTCCGCCGTAACGAGCAAAGTAGAAGGCGGTTAAAGTGAGATGTGACACGAGGCTTGTGAATGAGATATTTCATCAATAATGTTGTAGTCATGCTCGTTATTGTTTTGCAATCGAATGCTGGCTGCACATTACCTCATGAATCCTACTAAATTGTACAAGTCCTTAACCTCCCATTTCCTACGTGGTTTACCAGGCTTCTTGCTTTTACTCAGCCTGTTTTGCTTTACAGGTGTTTTGGTAGTCTCGTCATCGACTGATGGTGGTGATAATGGTGATCTAAGGACCTTGAACCAGCTGGTTCCTGAATCCAGGATGATGGGCAGGATCAAAAAGAGATGCAGCCTATTGGGGAAACAAACGAATGAATTCTCAAAGTCATTTCGGACGAAGTGAAGCACAACTTACGCCCGCAGATTCCAAAAAAAGGCAAAGGTACCTGGTTCCAATATGATTGTTGCAGCTATAGACGTGACTGACATTAGAATGAAGGTATTTAGAGCTGCAGTTGGTTGTACGTCTTTGATTCGTAGTGTGTGAGACTTTAGGCTTGGATTATGTTGAATGAGAAACAGAGCCAAGCATGTCGATATAGCCCCGAGGAAGCCCAATAATACAAAGACAAACGTGTTTGCAAACCAGATGGAGAGCCGTTCACCAGTTACGGCTGGTGCAGGCTCTGCTTTTTTACTACTACGTTTGCTTCGAGGTAATGCTATCTCAGCTGCTTCCTTCGACACCGGAATGAATGGATATGATAGAGCACGATGGATCCCTTCTCTCCAGAAAAATATCATCACAGAGACTGTGAATAGTAAATGTTGCGATGACCACCACCTAAGTCGAAAAAGATACCCGTCAAAACTGGCGGAAACTTTGTTGGCTGTCATCATACATTACACACCATTTCTCGGTTGTATTGACAACCAGCGCATAAGCAGCATCGAAAATATCCACTCTTTGCATCCAATCCGTGAAACTACCACCTGTTTTGGCCTGGTAGTCAGCGAGTAGAGATTCCATCCACCTTATAATCTCGAGCCATGTGATGTTTGCCGATGCAGATGCTATCAACAAGTAAACTCCAGATTTCAACGTTACAGGGAAGCTCATGGCTCGAGCGAGACATGTTGCGAGTGCGAAAAGCAGTGTTCCAAAATAAAGTCCTAAATGTTGGGTAATGTTGGGTTCAACAGGCGATTACTCCGGTTAACAAGTGGAGAGAAGAAGACTAACCAAACGAGAGATATGTCGCCAGTAGCGGCGACGGCGGAGCTTCTTGCATCTTTATTGTTCACCAGTCACAATACAGTTTGACAGCTCGACAAAACGCTACGAGATCGATGATGAGCTGGAGAGAAACGAATTCGTCAGGAATCATATCGGGACTATTTAGAATCGCCTAATGTATAGAATAAAATCCATAACATAATCACCTTGTCGCTTGGCTTGGCTGCGAAAGTAGCTTAGAGGTTGGAGTTGAGGGAGTAGATCAATGTCAATATCGCTGATATTCAACTTTTCAATTACCTGAAAGTAGGTTCCACCTGTTTTGATAAAGTATTCGAAGAGAGGATATTCGTTCGCCAATCTCACTTCAAAACGACGATTTCAATCCCTCTGTAGCATGGTGACGTGATCTCTTCAATGCATGTCATTCTGGCATCATAAAGCAAACATTCCACTCTTTTTCGTATTATCCAAATCCTCTATATGACATGAAACGTCCCAAATTCGATTCCTAACGATTTCATCAACACCACTATCCAGACAAACGAAGCAAACAAAGGTTGGCAAAAGCGCAAAAAGCACTCGCGTGTCAGCCGATTCAAGACATCGCGCTACTCGCTCAAAATTTTGCTTGGATGCTGTTGATGTCAAAGCTGGTAGTGGTAGTGGGGGCTTACTGGGTTCTCGCATCCCCAAGGCTGGCGACGCCAGAGCAGCTCTCACCTGCTCTGTAGGAGTCATTACGTGTACTGAGGCTCGAACGAATGTAAGTCCGTATCCTCTTATGGTTGTTTTGATCGACATCAAACTTTTTTGTTTTGTTGTGGCAGCAATACGCAAGTGATGATTCAGAGACGAGGGGGAGGATTGAGAGGTGGAGAGAGATCGCATATGATGTTGATATATATTTAAAATGCGGATTTATTGTTTCAGATCACATTTAATTAGACATTTTCAAAAATTATAACCAAAACTGATTTTTCCAAAATCATTCAAACTCTTATAGGAACCCGCCACAGCTGAGCCTCTGTGTAGAGCCTCACTTGGTACAGATTGTTCCAAGCTCGATGACTTGGTACAAAACCTTGATGAACTGGCCTTACACATCAAAAGAGAGTTCAATGGATACATCTGTCACTGCTGTCACTAAGGTCACTCACCAAGCGGTTCAAATAGATGGCTTGCCAGGAGTATGCCCATTGCTGTATGAGGAAATGGAGCCCTCTCAGGTAAGTGAATAGGTGAGCTTTGATTACGATTCGACCAGGTCAACTATGGACTGATTGAAGCGGATCAAGCACATCCAAGGTCCTGTTGCTGGTATTGCAACAGTCCAAATCGTTTTGAACGATTGGGAGAGGAAATTGGATGTCCTCGTCACCGCGATGAACCGACACATCGTCGGCGATGCGGTTCGTGACTCCGTTTCATGGTCAAGATGTTTTCTGATTTACGAAGATGATGAAGAACGCTTTATCATGGGCGACTGTACAGCAGAGGAGGAGTCGCTCAAGGAAGCCTGGGAGGTGGTGAAGGACAGAATTGAGAGGCTTTCTGATGCAAAGCTTAGCTTTGGTCGGGGAAAGCTGACAGTCGTCTTGCTGACCAAGTGGAGGGTAACAGGCGCTACGTTGGCGTGATGAGTGGGTGGTGTTGCCTGCCAACCATCACTGCCAACCGCAGTTGCAACAGGTTCCAGGGGAGTCAATTCTTCCTGGACAAATTTGCGGTAGCCATAGCCGGAGGAGGAGTAGGGAAGCCGTTATGGGGATGGATGGAGATGTACCTCTGGCAGCACAGTGTCGAGAGTGTGCTTCTCAGTTCTTGGAAGCTTACTCACTCTAACGAAATTTATCACTCGATAGGTTGTGAGAATATCCGTATAGGAGAGACTAAATGGCAGATGCGTATGGAGAAACGATTGGGGTATTCGCTTCGAGCAAGGACGAATCGCATCCCGATGCGGTGCAGCTGTTGGTGCAGATTCAGCTTAGAATCCCAACAAGCTAATCTCCAACAAGTGCACAAGAGGATGACAAGATCTCCTTCCATAACACAAACGTTAACTGATTTTGAATTCATCTGACACTCCTCAATACGTTAGATTCAGGATTGTATTAGTGTATATATGTACCATAATTTGCACCAAATATAAATAGCTTATTATAGCACTCAAAAATGATTCAAAAACGCGTCAAATTCACTGGTTGGTTGGCATAATGACACCAAAGATTGATGAGATTTCTTGCAAGCTTAGATTGATGAGATTTCTTGTAAGCTTCAAAGGTCCAAAAGTGACTAACTCAAGACCACCAAATATCCATGATGAAGGGAGACTCGGGCAAGGGCAAGATGGCAGCCAATACCAGCACATCAAAGATCGAGAAGCGAAAGGCTCCAAAACCTGCCATGACACCGTTGGATTGCTTCATTCTCGTTCAGAGGTGAGCTTGACGTTGATGAAATTTTGGGTTAAGGCTGAATGGTGGATGACGGCATGCAAGACGAGAGCTTTTTAAACTGTATTATATCGTAATGAATGGAGCTTGATGGACTAACTCTTTTCTTAGTCAACGTCAACATATTCTTGGAGCATTTGATCTCACATCAAGCTTACTGACTTTTCCTTGTACTAGAGCTGGAAATCCTGATATGCCACTCAAGAATATTACAGTATGTACTGAGCGCTGGATGAACATGACCGATGGTGACAAGAGTGTATGGTTATGGAACATTCTCTCGTCATTTCCACTTCTCATTCTTCTGACATTAGCGATACGTGAATATGGCAACACAAGACATATTGCGCTATGAACATGAAATGAGGAAATACAAGGCTGACAAGGCTGCTCCATCTGCATCGGTATCATCGCATGGCTGCTAGACACGTCGGCATCATCATCCATCACCTACAACATTACCTTAGATCAAGAACACGAATGACTCCTCAATCGCTTCCTTCCTTACTCCTCTTTCTCCTCTTCATCGTCAACCCTCTTTGGTAACTCTGCCTCCTCTCTCGGCTGCCACGTCACAATTCGATGAAATCAAAAATGTCATGTCATTGATCGCGAGTCCAAGTGTTCGACAGACTCGTCATGAATTGGAAGAGGAGCGTAATGATATCGAGGATCAAGCTATCATGGATTGTTAAATACCAAAACCACATACACACATGTTGTGTCCAAGGAGGCTCAAGCTTATGTAAATCAGTCATCATGGAAGAATCAACTTCAAAGACATATAAGGTACATGTTATGACAAATTCCGTATATTTAAATCAAAATGTTTATCTCAATACAAACAGGTCAAACAAAATCTCGTAGTTGTTCATGAAGGACTTGCAAAATGCTAAAAGTGCCGCAATATGTTCTCATTGTTTGAAATAGCAGATTGGAAAGTCTTACCTCGAGAGAATCAAACATTCGTGGCGAATTCTTGTCTTGCGTCGAACAGCCTTCTTGGCTAGGACATGTGCGTGATTTGAAGGTCGCTCCGGCAAAAGAGGGCGAAGAGGTGAAGATGGTAGTCAGACCCACGACAGACTTATCGAACTAGTTCAATTGGTGTATGTGTCCGATGGTCCCGATCTGCTTACAATCGTTGGGGAAAGTTGAAAACTGGATACTCAAGAAACGTCGAGACAGCCAGAAGAATGGAACGATGCAGCATCATGCAAAATTTGGTGATCGTGCTATCGACAAACTCTCACTGCAACTCATGATGCTGTAAAATCGAAGACATCAATTTAAATGCAAACGATTTTGCCGAAAGAGCAACCACTGCAAGTAGCAACTCGAGCAACAAGCCGAAAGTCAATCTTTCGATATCAAAGGATTTCTTGATTTCATTTCTCTATGCCAGATTTCCACTCAATGCGGAGGACTTTTCAAATCGACTGTCAAACTGCTCACCCAATTTTCACCTCATCGTCGGCCTTGGCCTCGTTAAAACCATGATTCTCATTGACTGATCTCGTTTTCATTACGGTGGACTGAAATACGACTTGCAAATGAATTCCCATTGGACATATTTGACATTGACATTGACACCAAAACAGACAGCAGTGCATGATCATGTCATGCATCATGTGTAAACGAGTGGCAATATGTTGCACTGGACCTGATCACTTTGGTCACAACACTGCAAGCAAAACATTCTCATCATTGTGAATGAACATGCATCAAACTACACCAAACACAATTCAGATTATACTATCAAATAACAGTCGCAAAAGAATAGAATGACCACCACCGAAGAACTTGAAAAGCCTATGAAATGGGGGCTTTCAACGCTGATCAAGGAGCCGTTTACGACGCCTCAGAGCCCAATTGCACTTCTGAAAAAGCTGAACGCACCTCAATGGTTTACATTCTTGGCTGCCTTCATAGGATGGTAGGAGTTTCCGTGATGAAACGCGACCTCATGTTTCGTTGCTGTCACTTTGAAATTTTGAGGTTTCAAAGTAGAATTCTTCATTATATGCTAATGCTGGTCCAACTTCAGGACGTTAGATGCGATGGCTTACTTTAGTGTCAACTTGGCTGTCACGGAAATCGCACTGGACTTTGAAGTTCCCAATTCAAGAGTAGCTGAAGCAATCACCATCACTCTTGCCGTACGTTCCGTGGGTGCTTTGCTTTTCGGTCTTGCTGCAGATAAATGGGGTCGAAGATGGCCCTTGATGGTGGATATCGTCATGTAAGCCAAGCTCCGATTCTGAAGTTTACATGGCCAGCGTTGGGCGATTTGGTAGTTAAATTTCAATTTCATTTAGGTTTGCTGGTCTCGAACTTGCTAGTGGTTTCGCTCCTGATTTCAACAGCTTCTTCATTATTCGAGCGCTTTTTGGAATTGCTATGGGAGGGTACGCGTTATTGTTTCCTGTGTTGGCAAAACCGCTGACCAATCACTTCAAATGTTAGTGAATGGGGTCTGGGCAACGCTATTGCAATGGAAGCCGTTCCACCAGGTCTGCTCAGTGGATTAAAATGGAGTACATACAATTTTGCAATGTAAGCTAGACGCTAATGAATTTACGTCTCGTTTCCAGAATGTAGAGGTCTGTTTAGTGGAATCTTGCAACAAGGTAATTATTTAACAATCGCTTCTTTGATACTTCTCAACCTTTAGCATCAAATATTTACTGAAGTCCTGTATCCCACCTCGTAGGATATGCGATGGGAAATCTGTTGGCGACCGCCTTGTACTTCTTAATCGTCCCACGGTAAATTGAATTCGATTTTCAGCACCACAACCTCCCAGACTAATCTAGTCTTTTTAACAGTCTCGGATGGAGAGCCTTGATGTGGATATGCTCCTTCCCAGCCTTCTTGGCAATTGGTATCAGGTTCTTTGTACCTGAATCTGAAACGTTTGAAGAAATTGCCAGACGCCGTCAAGCTGCTCAAGGAGCAAATGACTTCAAGGCTTTTGCCAGAGCCTTGTGGGTTGGAGTCAAGAAGCATTATGTGAGTTCATATGGGTTGCGGCAACTGACAATGGAATGTGGTCATCTAACACGATATGAATCGACCAACATTAGCTTTTGGCATTCTACTGTGTCATCCTCATGGCCTGCTTCAACTTCTTCAGTCATGGCAGTCAAGATCTTTATCCTACTTTTTTGAAGACTCAACTCGGATACTCCGTTGGAGATGCGACTACCAACAACTTTATTGGATCTGCAGGTGCTATTGTCGGCGGAACGCTACTAGGATACTATGGACAATATATTGGGAGAAGGAGATGTGTCATATTGTGTTGTATTGGAGCTGGTGTTTGTGTTTATCCATGGTCTATGATTGCGAACATAGCTGGTCTCCGAGTATCAGTCTTCTTCAGTAAGTCATGCACTATATATTCTCGATTTTTTAGCGGGTTTACTCTATAATCTGAACTAACCCGTATTTTCGTACACTTTCTTGCAGTCCAATTCTTCATTCAAGGTGCTTGGGGTAATGTACCAGCCTATCTCTCTGAACTGTCGCCTCCTACAATGCGTGGACTTTTCCCGGGTCTATGTTATCAACTTGGCAACTTGATTTCTAGTGCTTCTGCTCAAGTCGAAGCTCAGGTTGGCGAACAGTACCCTACTACCAATGCTGCTGGCGCGTCCATTCCAAACTATGCTTTGACTCAAGGTACGAGTCGCCAACACCGACAAGCAAAGAACCCACTTTCGCAAATCGTCGTCTAACACTTATGTAAACCTTTCAGCCATTCTTATTGGTGGTGTTTCTGCAATCCTGCTTCTCGTTATATCATTCGGCCCTGAACAAAAAGATGCTTTGGTCAATATCAAAGATTTTCAAAACGCCGAGAACTTCGAAATCGTTCATATTGAAGTTGGTGAGAAGCAAAAGATGTAATTCGCAAAAATGGTTGTATATTGAATATTGAAGTGAACATTGAAGTGAACTTTAACCAAAACCCAATTTTGACTTTTTTTTGGACTTGCATGCAATGTGTTTACTTTGTGAGACCTCTGGATTGGGGTCTGCAATTCTGGGTGTTGATTTACGGAACGACCTCTTCGTATACAAGAGGCAAATGCCAAGAAGAAGGAGCAACTATTCTTTTGAAGTAACCGATTTATATTTTATACCCTTAATACGATACAAAAGCGGGCTCATGCTGAAGAGGTTATATTCAAATTATTGAGGTGGCCTACATTGCTCCAGTAATTTGCATTGTGCTTTAAGCTGACTCTCCACTACCTGCGGCTGATGTTGCAGCTGGACCCTCAGCACCCGTTGGAGTTGGTCCAGCATAAACTCGATTTTGAGTGTAGTATTCACCACCTCCGGGGTAGTAAGGCTTTGAGCCGTTCTTGTAATGAAGATGGATGATTACGACTGTGTCGTTGTTTCCTGAATTGGCAACGTAAGTGTTGCCCCTTGCCAGTGGGTACACCTAAGTTGAAGCCAAGGTTGTGGAAGGTTAGCTGTTGGTGTACATATTTGCAGAGCTGTGGTGCATATATGGGCAAACCAACTTTTTCATGCAAAGGCAACTAAGTTACCCCTTCATGGTAACAGTTAGACTTGCCTTGAACCAAAGCTGAAGCCACGAGCAAGAAAAAGACTTTAATTGAAATCATGTTTGATGAAACGATTGTTTAGAGTATCTGGAGTTTATTTGAGACTAGCAGAGGGTGATAAATATCTCGAGATCAATGTTGCTGATGGGATAAAGAAAGTGGAGACGAGGTTGGCTACTGTAAATACTCTGCTACATTTCAAACTCTGCGTGAGGTTTATTGCCATACTTCGAGATCTGTCAACCGGCAAGAAGCATGTGAATGCATGTCAAGTTTGACGGTCTCGACTGTGGTCAGTGTCAATGTCACCTTTCCGAGTCATGTAATAGACTAAATTCCACATTGCGTCATCTCTCATCTCTCAAACTTACCGTTTCCTAGCACACTTGCCGCAAATCGACTTTTGCAGCATAACAACTATCAACACTTGAGGAAGAAGAACTCGATTCAGCACCAATCAGAGCAGGTCCCAAATGTGGTGCTTTTTATAGATGCGCCCTCCAACACAGTCGCGATGGCAGTCTTCTTAGCAAATGTTTTGTTTGATGCAAACTTGGACAGAAGATCACAAAGTCAACCAAAGAGAAAACAGTCTAATGTGAGGGAATGCCACATGTCGCGAATACACGAATACACTCCGTCGTCATAGTCGATAACTCTGTCAAAATCACGTTCTCTGTTGTCTTTCGGCCGTTAGATCTTGTGTCACTCGCCACCTGTTTTCTTTTCGTCACGACCGACATTAGTGCCCTTAGACACGATGGCAGATGCAAAGATAGAGCATGTATGGGGCCCTCGGGCCTTGATAGATGAGCCTATCACCCAACCAGAAAATGTATGGGAGCTATTCAAGCTGCTTGGAGTCAAAGAATGGTTGACATTTGCTGCTTGCTTCCTGGGTTGGACTCTTGGTAATGGGCACTTGAATACACTGGTTATGTTGATTCAGTAACTAAATTGTTCGTTTATATGTAGATGCAATGGTAAAATCATGGGTTTCTTTGCTGTTATTAGTCCATTTGTAACAGCATTTGTTACATTGTCTTGACGAGATTCTAACGTCATAACTTATTTTAAAAAGGCCTACTTCACAGTGTCGTAAGAGCCATGCTTTACACTTGACATTACTAAAGTTGTTGAGTCTGACTCTTTTGCTCTACTAGTTTGTCTCTGTCAGAAATCGCAAAGGACTTTGGGGTTGCAAACTCGGACGTTGCTGCGTCCATTACCTTGACTGTAAGTCAGCAACCAGTGGAAATCTATTGTGTAGATTGACAAGCAACAACTGGACTGTCTCATATGCCCTTGTTCAGAGAAACTTGTGCACGAGAGCTTGACCAGACCAGATTGTCTAACAGTGTGATCTTTCCCTTGGTAGCTTGCCCTACGGCCAATCGGGGCTTTATTGTTCGGCTGGCTGGCCGACCAATATGGGAGACGCTGGCCGCTGATGATTGATGTTATCTTGTAAGGCATTTTTGGGACGATTAAGGACTTTGCATGCTAGCAACTGACTCATTTTACAAACAATGATGTAGGTTCGCTATATTAGAGCTTGCATCTGGCTTCGCCCAGAATTTCACTCAGTTCGCAGTCATTCGGGCCATATTCGGTATTGCTATGGGGTACGTGTCTCGCAAGACCTTTCAATGATCTTGAAGGCATTCTAATCAACGACACCTAGGGGTGAATGGGGTCTAGGAAGTTCTTTAGCTATGGAAGTCCTTCCACCACGTTGTCGTGGTTTATTCAGTGGAATCTTGCAACAAGGTAATGAATGAAGAATGTCATTTCTCGTCCCTCCTCTCAACACACTCGCATCTGAACACCGCTTCGTAATGTATCTCGCAGGATATGCGTTTGGTAATCTAATTGCCACAGCATTATACTTTTTGATTGTACCAACCTTGGGATGGAGGCCACTCTTCTGGATTTGCAGTTTCCCGGCCTTCTTGGCCATCATTATTCGAATGTTTGTGCCAGAATCAGATACTTTCGAGGCCGTCAACAAGCGTAGAAAGGCAGACGGACATTCTTCATTTGGTGGAATGACGCGTGATGTTGGGAGTGCATTGAAGCATCACTGGCTCTTGTTTATATATTGTATCTGTCTCATGGCGGCATTCAACTTTCTATCCCACGGTTCTCAAGATCTGGTAAAATGATTGATTTGAGTTTGACCGGCTGTTTTGCAGTTTGCACAGCAAACCACGGAAAACAGGAAAGCCAACACCTTTTTTTTCTCTCCAGTACCCCACATTCTTGAAATCGCAATTGCAATATAGTCCCCTGGATGCAACCATAAATAATTTAATCGGCAGCGTGGGGGCCATCATTGGCGGATCGACTTTGGGATATCTAGGTCAATACGTCGGTCGTAGACGATCAGTCATCTTTTCTTGTATCATAATTGGATGTGTGGTCTATCCATGGGTCTTTGCTCCCACAAAGGCAGGACTACGAGCTTCTGTCTTCTTCATGCAATTCTTTGTTCAAGGTGCATGGGGATCCGTGCCTAGTCATCTTACCGAGTTGGTAAGCCGCATGGTGTGATCACCAATTATTCTGTTATAATAACTGACCTCTTTTTGTGTGCTAGTCCCCTGGTGCAGTACGTGGGCTCTTCAGTGGCTTATCTTATCAGCTGGGCAATCTTATATCATCTAGTGCTGCTCAAGTCGAAGCGGTATGTATCGTCTGGGTCTTGCCTACCTGATATCATGATTAATTCTTTGTTTGGTTTAGCTCATCGGAGAACAATATCCAACCACTAATGCAGCTGGTGCTTCAATTCCAAATTATGCCTTAACTCAAGCCATATTGATTGGAGTTGTAGCTGTTGTGTTAATTCTCTTGATTGCTATTGGTCCTGAAAACCGACAAGCAGCAGTCAATGTAAAGGCAGCTGGTGATGAAATAGTCCCAACACCATTTCCAATGGAGAAGGACGATACTGCTGTAGAGATGGAGGAGGAAGAAACTAGGGCTGTGCCACCAGCACCAAAAGATGATTCTGGACTGGTGTCGAAACTGTCAGCTAGATTTGGCCGTAACAAGAAGCAATGATGGTTGTATTTGAATTTGAAATTTCCATTATGTCTAATTTAGAATAGCAGAATGTATTATCTATTGTCGTTTAAATCTTCAATTCAGAACAGCAAAGTCTATAAGCCGTCTCACTTTACAAAGTTGTCGCAATGTTCGTGACGATATCTCATAATCTAATCTTGCGTCCGAACCAGTTTTCGTTTGTGAATGACTTGAGAGCCAAACATGTAGCAGCGAGATAAGAATAGGATTACCATCATAGAAAAACTCTGAATGATCTAGTGAATATACCGATATCGACTAGAGCTTGGATTGCTTCAGATGAGCAATGAAAATGTCGAAATTTGCAGGCCATTTGAGATACGTCGAAGGGACAAGATGCAGACGCTTGGTGAATGGGACCAAATGATTGAAGAGCTGCAATTGAGGTAACGATTCGTGTCTCTGTAGTCCACAATCCTCGAGACTCCATCAAATTCCAAGACATCAAGACTGGCGAACTTCAAACAACTTTTTCGCAAGGTATGAGCCTTACAAGAAACAACAGACAACAAGAAACCACCTCGTATCTTGATCTTTTCTATATTGAAACATTATACTTTATGAAACAAAGTGGCTCCTTGGTACAAGTGCTGAAGATGATATACACGTTTGAATGAAACCTTTACCAACGAGGAACAGGAGTTTGAGCAGCTCCAGGAGCAACGGAGGTGAATCCTCCTTCAGGAGCTCCAGTTGGATAGTAACCATCGGTTGGAGTTGGCGCAGTATAGCCTCCAGTTTCAGTATAATATCCACCAGCTCCAGGATAGTAAGGTTTTGGGCCCTTCTTGTTTGGATGGTTGATTACGACTGTGTCGTTGTTTCCTGAGTTGGCGACGTAAGTGTTGCTGCCCTTGCCAGTAGGCACACCTAATTTAGGCCAACATTGTGAGCTTACGTGTGGTACATATTTGCAGACCAGCCGGTTTATTGCCAAAGGAAGCATGTCATAGTCAGACTTGCCTTGAATCAAAGTTGAAGCCAAGAGCAAGAAGAAAACTTTGACGGAGATCATACTTGATACGATTCTTTAAAGTGGCTGAAGCTGTTGTTTGAGAGCAGTAGAAAGTGATGAATATCGCGAAATGGATGTTGGTGATAGGATGAAGAATTTGGGGAGGACTTTGGATTGCTTAAGTACTCTGCTCCATTTCAAATCTGCACGAGGTTCGCAGACGTGCTTCGAGATCTGTCAAACCACAAACATGTTGAAGTCTGGGCGCATTTGACGTTCTTCAATTGATCAACGTCACCCTATAATGACGGCTCTTTTCATTCCAAAACGTTGAGCAGCCGTACATCCTGACATCGTTGTCATACGCCTTACTTATATTGGCTTTTTTCATTGTCTCTCACCAGACTGATATCCGCACTTGAAGACGTTTCAATTTGCGTCAATTACATTACGTTTTCATTTTCCCTTCTTGACACTTCGTTACGATTCGTTGCTAGATATGCGGTGGCATAATTTGTAAGAAACTTCGGTGCTCGACTGTTCATATGTACAGAACATGGACCTGAAATTGCAAGCCTGCTGACATTCAGAAGTTAAGATTCGAAAATTTGAAATTCCTGTTCCAATATACGATTCAGCCTCACAAACGACAAAATTTGAACCGACCGAACCCTCAAGTAACATATTTTAATTATGATGCTTGTTTCTATTTCATATGTGCAATTGTCTCGAGAAGGTATACAAATGTGCTAAAGAAAATATATTCAAATCAAAACATTTATTAATCTCGAGCAGATCCAGGAGCTCCAGTGGGACCTACGCCAACGGTTGGAGTTGGTTCAGTATAGGCGCCAGTTTCAGGATAGTATTCACCACCTCCGGGGTAGTAAGGTTTTGAGGCCTTCTTGTATGGATGATCGTTGATTGCCATTGTGTCATTGTTTCCTGAGTTAGCGACATAAGTGTTTCCGTATCAGTTGGTACGCCTATGATCAAACCAGAATGTGGATGGTCAGCTTTGGTGCCTCTTTCCAGATTGAATTTACTTCGTGCAACAAAGAAAGTAAACGTAGGCTCTCCACATTGTGACCGAATTCATCTCGAACCAAAGTAGCAGCCACAAGCAAGTAGAAGGCAGTGAAGATCATGACTGATATGTTTTAGAAAAGTCGAGCTTGTCTGAGAGTTGTAGAGTGCTATAAGTAGTATCTCAAACATGATGTTGCTGGCAGGATGAAGAATTTGCAAGGCGATTGGTGTTGCTTAAATACTCTGCCCACTTTCAAATCTTGCACGAGGTCTATCGATACGCGCTCGAAATCTGTCAAGTGGCAAACATGTTTGAAATTCCATATCGACATCAACCTAGGTCTGCAATTAGTGAACTTGTCATACATTTCAAGAGTTGGATCTTCAGTTTTCACATCGTTCCGTAATGTCTCTCACCCGATTATCCTCCTATCCTCCACAATTCACCGTACTCCCAACTTGCGTCAACCACCGTTACATGGGTTTGTACCATCCCAAAACAAAACAAAATTCAGCAACGCGAATAACAAATTGGAGTTTTCCCGTCAAGCACGATATTACTATGTCATTCACTTATACACAAACATTTACTTAAATACAAGAGTGCTGAACAAGATTCATTCAATCAAGACATTTACTAAACTCCTGTAGTTTGAGCTGAAGAAGCACTTGTTACAAACGAAGTTGGTACCGCTGATTCGGTATAGTAGCCTTCACTGGTTTGAGTAGGGTAGTAACCTCCACTAGTTTGAGTAGGATAATAGCCTTCACTAGTTTGGGGATAGTATTCACTAGCTCGAGGATATGCAGCACATCCATCAAGACATGGCTTGTAAGGACGTGGACCTCCGTATGGACCTCGATAGTGAGGCACGTTGTAGTGTGGCATCCAATGAGGAGCATAGTCGGCTGCACTTGCTTCATCTCCAGAGTCCGCGATGTAGATGCCTTTATCAGAGTACGAGTCGCCAACTGCAGCAACACCTGGGTACGGGGGTATACACGGGTATCCAGGTGCAGCAGGAGCACCTGGATGCGAGTGCGAGAGAGAGAGTATGTGTTGGTGTTAATTGTGTGGTGCAAGATTCATCACGCTTGCCTTTAGCCAATGTAGCCACCAAGAGTAAGAAAAGGACAATGATGGAGATCATGGTTATTATATGGAGATCGTTTGGGTGTGTCTGGGAGGATTGGTGGAGAGCGTAGACGATCTGTAGACTGATGTTGCTGATGGAATGAGAGTACGGAGAAGAGTTTGGCTGGCTTAAATACTGTGCTCAATTTCAAATCTGACACGAGGTTTATTGCCAACTTCGAGGTGTCAAGCGGCAAAGATTCGAATCTTGGCAAATTTGACGTTCCATCAAACGGTCACTGTCAACATCAACTTTAAGTAACCTCTTTAGCAGCAAAGCCCTTTATCATCACACTTCTTTTGCATAATCTCTCATCAGAATACCATCCACACCTAATTGCTTTCAAAAGTGCAGGATTCACACTGGCTCTAATCCAAGAACAAAGCGGATGTTGGCTATGGCGTATTCTTCATTCTCCAACAAATACTAAACTGAAACCCAGTGCTCCTTGTTGTTTGTTCACCATATTTCTATTTTACAAGTATGCGTGTTATAGAATGCAAATACAAAAGCAACATATAAATGGGACGACTACTACCACCACCACTCAACCACGACGACAGCCAATAATAATTCCCTCCCAGCTTTTTAGACACAATACTTTTTCACCCACTCCTTTGCAGTTTTGGTAAACTTTGGACGATTCGTATTATACACTTCGGCGATACTTGTTTGCAGGGCGTCTTCAGGTATGGGAGCTTCCAAGAGCATATGTAGACCGATCAAGACTTCCAATAGTTTGGTAGCAGGTTTCCACATGTCAGTTTTCAAGATACCTAGACATAGAGTACCGTCATCGTCTATATTTGGATGATAGATTTTGGTCAAGAATTTGACTTTGGGTGGTTTGAAGGGGTAGTCGGTTGTGAATTCGATATCGATTTTGAAAATTCCGCCTGCATATGCACTCTTTTCCTACAATCAAATAGATGGTCTGGGGGGTTAGCGCATTTGTCAGAGGTTCGAGTGCGTTAAAGTATTGTGTGCGTTGCAGAGATTGCATTTATTCTGGTGGTTTGATACTGCGACAATTGAGTAAGACTATGTAGGCGAGTCCCAAAACCGCAGAACAAGACAAACCACCACTGCCCACAAGCACAACGTCTTTGGTTTTCAAAGTAATCAGCAAACACTTACAGGACCCACTAGCTGCCCTTGCCAGTGAAGCAGATCATCACCAATAGGACCAGCGGATATGCCAGTTGGAGGATTCTTGGTGAGTTCGGCAAGCTCCTAAAATTAGATGTTTGATGTTTGTGAGTCGAGGCTCGTTTTGACGAGTAGTTTCAAAATAAAGGTGTAGTAAAAGACATCATAGTGAATAGATATAATTTGCCAAATGCAGTCCTCAGTCCCAAACTTTCTTGAAACCAAGCGATTTCCAACCGAAAACACCACTTCTGCAAGGAAGCCAGTTGCGTGCCTGATGGAAAGTAGAGGGATGGTACATACCTTCTGAATTCTGCGTTGTGCAGCCATGCTATATTCTCTATGTAGTCTATATATAGAGATTATATAGCGGTCGGGTTCAAGCTTGTAAAATCAAAGCAAGCGTTAGATTAGGGGTGACGGTTTGTTCGTTTGCGTGCAGTTTCTTCGCAAGGACTCCATTAGGCAGTGTATATTCAAGTGTCTCGCGTAGAGGCACTAACTAAGCTGAGCATGGCATATTCAGTATTTTCTTGAAAGCACGCTCAATGGCTAATGATACATCTATGAGAATATTTTCCTAAACTTGTCATGGAATGTGTCGTTGAGCAAAGTGATGGCCTTCATCAGCTTGACATTCTCTAAAAAACAGAAATTTGCGTTAGGTCAAAGGTACGCAGCAATTCAGATGCTCGAGACAAACCTGGAGACACTCCGGTAACGCTGGCAGACTCGACGGTGTCACCATTAGCAGTTTCATCATCCTTCTCTTCATCAGAGTCGTTTCCGTCATCCTCTGAGTCTTCTTTATGTCCCAAGAGTCGTTCTAGTGACTGCTTGATTGTCGAGAGAGCCAGATCAAAGTCTTGTAGCAAGAACCTAGAGTAAGTTTAACTTAGCTTGATCTTTGCAGCACGTAAACGCACAATCAAATGCATACCATGCGTCTCCTCTGCGGACACAGTTGTCTCGAACCAGGACTGTAAGCGAACCATGTTTCAAGAAGTCAGGAGCATACGCACTAGAAAACAGAACAAAGTCAGTAACCTCAAAATATGTTGCTCGTAGCTGGGTGCTTACTCAAGTTGAAGTTCAGATTCATCTAACGTCGAAAAGAAGGGTACTGCATTCTTTGATAAAGACAATCCTGATCGAGCAGAATCAGATAACTCTGACACCATGGCATACGAATCATCATGTCCTGACGTGGCAACAAACGGTGAGCGACTGTACACTGCAATCTTCGTTTGGCCTAACTTCTTTACGAAACTACTAGGGCTGTTACTAACTGGCTGAATTTTACGTCCAGAGAGCGGGAGAGTATCATCAACTCCTAGCTTTGCTGCGTATTCCGCCGCGTATGCCCGTGCATAGTTGGCAAATGTCGTAACGATGGCCTTGTTGTGAGCATCTAGCACCGCAGTCACGCCCTTGGGCAATGGTGGTAGAATTATTTGGGATGCAGAGCGTCCAATCAAGTCTGCTAAAGACTCGGGGCTTTGTCTTCTACGAATAACACGTGCAAATAGATGGGCGAATACTACACAAAGGTTCTGGATGGTGTCGAGAGGGTTTGTGTCAATGTCAGCAGCAATTTTGTGTAGCTCTTCGGAATGGAGGAGTGCGGCGATGGCGAAGTTTGATGGCTCGTATGGATACAAATGCGAGACCTGAGGATGAATTCATTAGTTGAAAACCGTTGAAATGCGTAAAAAGAGAGGGAGAACTGTTGTATGTTTACCATGCCACACAAGTCCAGAGGTCTGATCAGCACAAAGGAACAAACAGCATGTCAGATGAATGCGACAAAAAAGTCGACTTATCATACAAGACATACCGTCCAATAGAATCCAACAGCCCAACACGTCTCAGATACTCAATACTGAAACGTACAAAATGAGACAGCTGATCACGTCCCATATTGGTCGTAACAGAGAGCTGAGGAAGCGCCAGTAATCCTTCAATTGCTTTGATTGGATACTCGACTCCAGGAGCACCGTGTAACAAGATGAAGAGACGGACGATAAGCGTAGTCGTGAGGGGAAATGTGCCAACCTGCAAAAACCCACGTGAGTGACTGATACTGTGCAGATAAGCTGGCCGAAAAGGCGTACGAGTTTGGGCAAACGAGACAAGAGCAGTCTCTGAATACGATCTTGAGGAATTCCAACAAAGACGACATTCCCAATATTATCGAAACCTCGACGACCAGCACGACCTGAGCATTGCCTGAAATTGAGCGCGGTCAAGAAGACGGAATCACCGCCAAAGATACAACTCTTTGCGGGGGCATTAATGCCGAGTGATAGAGTTCTAGTACAGACAAGAAGGAAGAAACGTGAGCTCGAAGGAACACTAACCAACTTTACATCAAAAAAATTGTTCAGGTTCAGCACTGTATTCACCCTGTTGCGATGACGACTCGAAGGACACCAAGTCGGAAGTAATTTTCTACTAGAACACGGTATCGCTATTTCGGAAAAAATTTGGGTTGGAACGGGCTCTTCAGGAAAGAAAAAGTTGCTGTCCTTACTCGATTCATTCCAGCATGATGTACACCAACACCCCTTCGAAGACCATCGATAATAAAGTCTGGGAGGGCCAAGTACTTCATTTCTGCAATGTCTTTCTCAAACTCGATTTGAGAAATACCCTAGGTCCAAAGTAAATCGGTTACTTTCAATCTAAGACCTGTGCCAAAAAACGAATACTCGTTCTCATCCAATACCTTGCCAACAAAGGTGAATTCAGGCGATGGAGCACTTGGATCGAATGTAAATACAGAGTCGTCATTATCAGCTGGGGATTTATCATCGTCCTTTCCAGCATTACGTGCCATAGATTCCAGCTTCTTGGCTCGTGCTTTAGCATTCTTTTCAGCCTCATTAGCCTTCTCAACCAATCTTTGATACTTTACTGATGTTGCTCTCCATGCCGTCTCAGCCTTTGTAAGTCCACTTACAATATTTTGCAGTATCACTTCACAACCATTTCGATCAAAATTAAAAATGATAGCTGGCAACGAATTCTGAGCATTCAGATCGTATAAGAGTGGAAGAAACAGGGCATAGAATTCATCCGAGTCTTCATCAACTTGCACAGAAGCCTTTCCTGCTGTCAGTGCATCGGTGAGTGGATCCGACAAGATATCTATAACTCTATGATACGGTGCCTGTAGTTTAGGATCATTCAACCAAGACAATAGAGTCTCCTTGAGATCTTTCTCGTACACAATGACTTCCTTGAGTGCTACAGACGGCGTTTTGGCAAAAAACGTCGCTGGCTTCAGCTTCGCGTCCATTGGACCACCTGATTTGACCATAGCCTTCCATAGGGAGAGTGTGTCTCGTGGTTCAAGAGACAAGTCTTCGGGCATATATGATCGTCCTAGTGCCAATGCAGCAATAGGATGCACATGCGGGAATGCAGATGGATTGGGTTGATGCTCTTGAAGTGGTCCAAACTTGGTAGAGACTTCAGTTGGAGCATACACAAACTTTCTGAGAGCATTAAATCGGTGTCTGTGATGGACGAATTTATAAGGGCGTCCTCTATTGCTTTCCACGGATTTCAACCAGTCAGAGAATCGTTCAGGAGCCTATTTTCAGATCCGAATGATTGAGTGAGATGACAGAGGTATTAGCAAATGGTTGTGGCCTATTCATTCATCGCCATCATCGAAATCATTCAACAGAAAAAACCTTCAATGAAAGAAACGTCAATGTCACATCACATGTCAAACTTACACCAACAGTAGCACTCAATCCAATCACAGGTGCAGGATTCATAAGAATTATCTGCTCCCAAATATTTCCAGCGCCTTCTTCGGATATCGAATGAATTTCGTCGATAATCACTCTTCGAATACGAGACGTAAACTTCTCAGCAATAGCTGGCGATAACAACATGATAGATAGGATATGAGGTACTGTAACAAGCACTTGACATTTTTGTGGATCATTGATTCTGAATGTGTTTGTTGGCAGGCACGTTAGATACTTAAATTGACTTGACAAAAGCAAAATTCAATTCGGTTACCGATAATCTCTAGTATGAATGGCCCATAGATTCATGGAGGGTACAGTCTTTGAGAATCTATAGAGTAAGCTGGGCGTAAGACTCGATCAACCACAAAACCGAAAAAAGGAAATACCAAAAGACTGAATGGCAATCACAAAACGCTAGCAGACAATCATATGTACCGAGCAAACACCTCCGCGGCGACCTGATTTACCAAAGCTTTCGTGGGGGCGACATAAACCACTATACGGAAATCATGTCAGCAGGAGCAGGGCAAAAAAAACGCAAAATAAAAGCACAAATACCAATGCCATCATCAGATTCTCTAAGCACACGCTCCATTGCAGCAAAACTGATGAAGGTTTTTCCGCTACCTACGTACAATTGGGGGTCAAACTAACAGAAGCACAATTTCAGGGCCAAAACCCATACATACTCGTCGGTGCAACAATCAGCATGGATTCATCATTATCGATACCATCAAGCACTTCACGTTGCCATTTATCGGGTTCGAAATCTACTCGAGAGTCTGGTTGACTGTCCAAACTCCGTGTCATATACTCGCCCATACACTATTAGACAAAAAATTGGTTGACCAGAGCGAAAGATGAATCGAGTTTGGGACTAGTGTCGCTCTTACTCGAAGCTGAAATTCGATCGGGTCCTCCTTCAACGTCATGAATTCATATATGGCCTTGTTCTTCTTCAATAAGGGCACAGGTTCAAATGACAATGCGGCATCCTTTCCGGTTGGAGCACTAGTTTCAACAGCGGGCTTTTCCTTCTTTGAAGAACCCTTCTTACCACCAGATTTAGAGTTCGTATATTCAGCAGTTGGCTTGGCTTCCACTTCCTCTCCCAACACAAGACCATCGGGAATCATACATCTCAAATTAAGAGTATCGATTATGGCAACGAATGCCTTTCCTTGCGTAACACTCATAGATAGTTTACCACGAGATACATCTTGCAAGACTTTTACAATAGTTCGAGCAAGATATACTCGGTATCCATCCACAACAACCGGATCTTCACGTTTTGGATCGGCAATCCATTTTTGGATTTCAAGGTCCAGTCGTTTCAACATGATCTCTGTACCAAGCCATTTTTCAGACGTTCTCTTGCTGGCAATGAATCCAGCAATGAGCTCTATTTGAGCTGAGACATCGAGAGGGCGAAGTTCGATAAGTCTTTCCTTCCACCATTTCTCATTGCCTAAACGTTCCTCTGCTTCTCTGTTGCGAATGAAAAATGAAGTCAAACGCAAAATAGGCAATAAAATGCGTATCAATTTGAATTTGCGTACTTCTTAGCAATGTTTTCAGCTTTAATCTGATCTGCTTTACTCATTTTTGACGACGAAGATGACGACGAAGGCCTCGATTCCTTGGCTGGTTTGGCTGATGAAGACTTGGATTTGGCTGTTGATGCCGAGGCAGCAGATGTTATTCGTTTGCCAACCATTGGGATGGTGATCTTTCGCAAGATTGCACCAGACGCTCCTGTAAGACTAGCCGCTGATTTCTGCATATGAGCCATAAACCTTGGAGAAAACAAACGTTAGTCTGGCCTCAGAATGTTTGTGGTTGCCACTACTCACTTCTGCTCCTGTCGAAGCTTCTTCTTCTGTTGCCAAGCTGTTTCTCTTTCAGTTAGCTTCCTATAAATTCAAAATTCATCAATAAAAAATGTATCTACCACAACGAATACAGAAATCACTGACTTACTGTACTAGCGGCTTTTCATTGTGCCAGTGCTGTAATCAACAAAATCAGGAATTAGTGAACTGAGATTGAGCTCGGGCGGCCTGTGTCTGAGTGATACCTTACCTTATCATCCACAAACACAGACTGGAAACCAAGAGGACCAGCCGCATTTGCCAGAAGAGACGAGTCAGTCTCATCAACCCTGACGTGGACATCTTTAAGATGCCCGTCGAATATCGGATTGGAGAATGGTAATAGACTCTTAAAATTGTCGTCCACTGTTGGTTTAGATACATCTATCCCATTAGACAAATTCGACCCAAATTGACGTTGAAGGATATTCATATCGGGTGCATGGTTCTTGGTGATAGTCATCCATTGTTGACTCACGGATTCGAATACAGGTTGACCTAATACATCACCCAACGAGGGATGCGAAATGGTCTCTACTACAAGCTGATAGAAGATACGTCCGTCTAAATGGAGGAATGGAAGAGGTGTGGTGGCTGGGATGCTATCCACAACTGCAGTGATACATTTATACAGGAAGGGGAAAAAAGTGGTTTCAAGATATGCGAGAAGGGGAGTTTTATCTACAGTCAGCTTTTGTGCTCTTTCTGGTAATGGTATGTACTCAAGGAGTTTGACATGGGCAATATAAAGAAAGAGCAGGGCTTCCAATACCGGATCTTTCGGGCCTGACTCAAAGCATGCTGATGCAGCCCTGTAGATGATATCTTCATTCTGCAGTAATGCTGCTGAGATTGGTGCCGGTATTAATAACTCTAAAGTTTCTCGAGCGGTGTCAGCAGCTGCTTGGATGCCTGGAGCGAGCACAGTGTTGTGTCGACTTCGATCATAGACCAAACTCAGCATCTAAGCTAATTCGTCAGCACGAAAATGTCACAAAATTTGATATGACCTGGAAAGCACCTTTGAGTTATCTTTGAACTCGATTGGCTTCAATAAAACAACTGGCATTCCTTGAGCCATGATTTGAAACAAGAAGACCTTTGCCACCAGATTCTTTTCAGTAGATAGTGCGGTTCCTGTGAATCCATCGCTTCCCAGATAAAACATGGGCTGCGATTGTTTGCGGTTGAGTGTGTCATTCATTTCAGAAGGAAAACACAGCAGTCTTACCCGAGTGTGTTCAAAGTACTTTTTCCATTGCAGAGATTCCAAGTTTTCAAAATGATACGAAGCAATGCCAGGTAATTGGGATAACTCTCTCGACAAGATTGACCGAGCCAAAGTTCTAGCAGCAACGATATTGTCACTTTCTCCAAGTTGCATAGCAAAGTGGCGATTGCCTACAAGTAGTGGTTGAAATGTGAGCCGACACATGTAAAAGAACCAAGAAATACCGAAATTACATTGAAAAAACACGACTTCAAAAGCACAATCTCTTGACAGGAGTTTCTGTACAGTTGTTTCGAGCAGCCAGATAGCATGAAGGAGCTGAAACGAAGGATCGCCATCCTTTCCAAGTGCAAGTAAATTATTATCAAGAACATATTCGATCAAGGCGTCTCCATCGATAATAAATAATTCCTGGCCAGCAAAATCTGAGACTGTTTCAATGGAGTGTCACGATTAGAATTGCTAAAAGCTGTAAACAATGTAGAAATATATCTGAAAATTACTTACTAACATCCATCCATCTTGGTCGCTGCCTCGTCCACCATCTCCAAAATTGAAGGAAAAAAAACCAATGAATGCAAGTTTAAAAGGAGACGATTGAAGATTGGAGTCATACTTGTCCAGCTCATCCAGTGCGCTGGCATTGCTAGCACTCATCCTTACTGCTCAAGACCTGTTTCTTGCGTGTTGATGGAGGTGAAGGAAGCTTGATGGAATTTTTCGAAGACGCAACGTCGAACCGTTCACTCGAGGCAACAAATTAAGTGGAACGGAAGAATTATTTTGATTCCAGCCCTATATTTCAGTACGCTCAAAGTGCAAATTCATTAAATTATCAATGGATGCGCCAAAGCTGAACGGCAGCCAAGCTCTCACCTCTAGAACTGCCCATGTCCGGTCCAAATGGAGCAATAGAACGTGCACCTACGCGTCTAATTGATTAATTAAATTGTGTTCAACCATATTTACCACATCAAGTACCACTTCTGTCAGCAAAACAACTTTCACAAAACACAGAAATCACGCATTTGGACCATTTGACGGGGAGAAGAAAGGAAGGAGTTTGGTGACGCTTAAATCTTATATTCTTTCGTAAGACATAAGATTATTTCGCTCGAAACTGATGCACAATTTATCGCAAACTAAAACAATGGATTCACGTGAATACAGAATCCATGGATTCACCAGCAACCCCATTTCATGCTAAGTCAAGAACCATCTACGAAGGACTATGCAATCTAGTGGATTTGGACCCAATTCATGAAAAGGTTTCGTTCGTGGGACTAGGGTACGACATTTCACAACATTGCCCGGCTTTCGTGGACGTTGCACATTTCAGCAAACCTGAACCTTTGTTGGAACTTTCTGGTTGAACCTCATCTCATTTCCATCATTTCTTCAGGAAAGCCATCTTCCCGACACCACTCTACCCTGCTGAAGCATTTTCGGCACTGCATGCAGCAATATGTCGTGTAGCTGATGAGATATGGCGCTTGAGAACTAAACGAGACTTGGTTCCCATCACTATTGATACTGATTCAGCTACCCTATCGCCATTCAGTACTTTTTTGGTCAAGATTAATGGTGAATCTTTGATGCCTTGGTCGGCAGCCCAACTGCCACTTCATCATGTGCCCTTTGCAAGTTTCTTGACTGATTTTTGGGAGACAAATGATGGAATTATATGTAAGGACCGTATTTTTGGACAGTTTGTCAAAAGACGTGGTGTTGATGTATGACTTTGTTTGTAGATATTAGCCAAAACTTCAAAGAAGGGCGTAAGACATCGACGCTGATCGTAACGATGGATTCAAAAGAGTGCTGAAACAATGTTCTTAATTGATTAGTGGTGCTCAAGCTACTCGGTATTGATATGACGGTGGAAGCTTTTCGAGCGCTGAGCCGAGAGCAAGTTCAAACCTTAATTGCTTCAAAAACTCGTAAATGGAAGTCCCATGACCTGGAAGATGCGCTTGCAAAAGTGGGCGGATGTGCTGTAATACCTCGCACGTTTGCACAGTTTGCAGGTACAGAACAGGGAAAGGTCCTCTTGACTCTAGCTCCTGTGGTGGTGGAAAAGCTAAACTCGACAGCGAGTGCACCAAAACAATTCTGTGTTTCTCCTGTGAAACATCCGATTGTTAGGCCATTATCAGGAATTCGTATTGTCGAGCTCACGAAGGAGTTAGCTGGTCCTACGGTTGGACGAATTTTGGCAGAGTTTGGAGCCGAGGTTATTCGAATCAGCCCTATAGGTCAAACTGTAAGTCGCGCGTAACAGGTTGCCGTCAATCTTGCTCTAACGCGCTCGTTCATCAAGCACATACCGGCGTTTTTGGTGGATTTGAATTTTGGTAAATGGACGACACACATAAATGCTAAGGATCCGAAAGATTACGCTCTTTTGAAGAATCTAATCCAAGGGGCGGATGTCTTCTTGCAAGGACTGAAGTGGGGCAGCACTGAAAAGCTCAATCTTGGAATTTTGGATATTCTACAGATGGTGGAGGAAAGGAGTGTTGGAATTGTTTACGTTAGTGAGAACTGGTAAGATGCACAACCTTGTCAGGGACCGAGTCTGCAAAGTGCAAGATCTGACTCTTCACAGTTATGGACAACGAGGACCCTGGTCTGATCGGCCAGGATACGAACAACTAGGACAATGTATGAGCGGGCTTGTATATGATCAAGCCCGATACTACGAGAAGGGAGTAAATGGACAGTTGGAACCTCGATTCGTACCGTTGACCATTTTAGACCACGTAAGTTTCGAAATCAAACGATTTTCACATCTAAAGTATTAAGTGAATCTCGTAGGGAACTGGCTACTTGTGTGCTTTGGGAGCAATGACAGCTTTATGGAAACGATATGAACGTGGTGGATCTTATAACGTCTTTGGATCGCTGTGCCAGACATCTATCTGGCTTCGTAACCAAGGTTTTAGACCAGATGAAGAAACTGTGGCTCTCTTCAAGAACTTTCCGCCACTACCACCTAGAGGCAATATCGGGTCTCCTATAGTCATGCCAAAGGTGCTTCAGATGTACTCTGCAGCATTGAAGCGGGCTGAAGAGGTGTCTGAAGATGGGCCATACGGGAAAGTTACGTATCTAGGAGGCGCATGGTCGATGGAGGGCATTAAACTGGGATTTGATATTCCAACGCGACCTTTAGGCGTTGATCCACCGTATTGGCCATCACGTTTATAGTGAGAATCCAAGATCTGTGAGAAGATGCTCATCTCAGTACGGAATCATACAGATCAATCAATTGAAGAACCAAATAAATAAGATTGAGCCGTTGAATCTCCTTGTTGAAGATGGCTTTCAACAGAAGTGCCTGAACAGAGTTCAAATATCGCGACTGGAGGCGACAGACACGTCCGTAGCAAGACGGATGCTATTCCGCATGATCTAACATATAAAATAAAGTCTTTTGACAGCGACACTTTTAGTAGTTCTCAACTTGGTGCCCTCATGAAATTCAACTTTCACACTTTGATTCCAAAAAAACTGGTCGACTCACCTAACCGAACGATTCCGAGATTGCTAGCGAAGTGAGATTGAACAATGAATCCCGAGGAGATAAAACTGCTCGTTCAGGTAGGTTCCGATACGTTTCCATTCATATTTGGCTTCCTTCTCGTTCAATGCTTGAATTCGACTTTTGTTGGGTTGTTGGAATGGGAGGGTGTTTTGCGAAGGCACAAATGCTACTGAATCACTAAATCAGCATGTTGCGAGGATGGCTGGCATGTCGGAGGAGAAAAAGGAATGAATTTTGTCAAGGCGCAAATCGTCATCAATGTACATCAGAAGCATTCTAACCAATCTTGTCCGCATTAATAGAGAGCAACTGACATGGCCAACAAGGGGACTTCTGAAACAGATCCCGAGTATGCCAGCATAATGAATATTCTGAAAACTTATCAGCAAGTAGCATTGTCGCAGTCAGCCGCTCAAAAATCAATCACCGATGATCCGAAACCAATCGACGACTCAATCCCCTTCTCTGCTGAAGAACGAAACGCTCTCAAATTCCAAATGTTCTCATACAAGCTATTATCTGTCAACAAGCCACTCCCTGACGTGTTGCAGAAGGTCTTGTTTGACACTCTCAACGCAACAGGTGAAGATGTATCAGTAGCACAGCAGATCATAGAAACAGCATACAGTCAAGCTGAGCCATCGTCCGACTTGAACCGACCCTTGTTTGGGAAGGGCTCAAATCCATGGAATCTCGTGCCAAAACAAGTAGACTACGCTGGACGACAACAACGACTCTTGGTACCATCAATCATGCCAATTGGATTGGATCCTGTCGCTCTAGCTCAAGCTCGTGATAGATATATAGAATCTCGTATAGCTTACCGCATCCAGGAACTCGAATCTCTCCCATCAAACTTGACAAACACAACCAACCTCGACAGTGGCACCTCATCCATCAAACTCAAGGCTCTCATTGAATTGAAGGCCTTGCGTTTGAGGGATAAACAGCGTAAACTACGAGAAGAAGTATTGCGTACCCACTCTAAAGCTACCACTCTCAACACGGCCGTCGATCGAGGTGTATATCGTCGCTTCAAGAAACACTCAATGAGGGATGCTCGCCAAACAGAGCAAACCGAAAAGGCTCAACGAGCTGAACGCGAACGTAGGGAAAAGCAGAAACATCTCGACTTTACCAACTCCATCGTCGAGCATGGATTGAAACTGGTTGCCTTCCACCGTCAACAAAAGGCAGCCAGCAATAAATTAGGAGCCTATATAACCCGATATCACGCCAATGCAGAAAAGCTCGAACAGCAACGTCAAACAAAGGCTCAACAGGATCGTCTCAAAACTCTCAAAGAAGACAAGGAAGACGTATATCTCGAACTCGTCGCAAAGGCAAAAAACACTCGTATCCGTCATCTTATCTCGCAAACCAACTCTTATTTGGACTCGCTATCGAATGCTCTTACCGCTCAAAAGGCCTCCATCGCGGGTGGTGATATCATTGAAGTCCCAGCTGCTGATGCTGCTGGCTCAAGTGCCGCTGCACCCAGTGGTTACCGAGACGAATACTATGTATCGGCACATAAAATCTCAGAATCCATCAAGGAGCAACCCTCACTCATGGTCGGTGGTAAACTCAAGGACTACCAAATCAAAGGTCTTCAATGGATGGTATCCTTATATAATAATCGTCTGAATGGTATCTTGGCTGATGAAATGGGTCTTGGAAAGACAATCCAGACCATCTCTCTAGTCACATATCTGGTAGAAAAGAAAAAGCAACCCGGTCCATTCTTGGTTATTGTGCCATTGTCTACCTTGACAAATTGGACGATGGAGTTCGAGAAATGGGCACCTTCTATTCAGAAGATTATCTATAAAGGTGGTCCTGCTGCTAGAAAGGAACTGGCCTCTCAGGTATGTTTTCGAAATCCATGTGTTTTTACGGAGCAAAAAAAGCGCCGCGTTCAAGTTTTTGAACTTGCTCACTAATCACCTATCCCATCTCTCACACATTAGATTCGAGCGCAAAACTATTCCGTATGCATCACCACATACGAGTTCATTGTGCGAGACAAGGCTGTCTTGTCAAAAGTCAAATGGGTCTATTGCATCATTGATGAAGGTCACCGTATGAAAAATGCCGAATCAAAACTCTCTACCACTCTTGTACAAGCTTACTCTTGTCGATATCGTCTCATCCTTACGGGAACGCCACTTCAAGTATGTTTCTGTCCTTGTGTTCGGTCTTTTGCTTGGTGGAGTTGAGAGTGTTAAAGGAATGCGGGGATGAAGCAAACTTATGTACATTGCGTGTCAACTGAATTTTTCAATGTTGACAAAACCGAGCCTAATCGTTGCTGAGCATTTTGGAACGAATGACGGCAAAAAAAGTCTAGACTGTAAAGTGGAACACAATTTAACGACTTTGTCTTAATTTTACTATAGAACAATCTACCTGAATTGTGGGCTCTTCTCAACTTTATATTACCAAAAGTCTTCAACTCGGTCAGGTCTTTTGATGAATGGTTCAATACTCCCTTCTCTGCCACTACAGGTGGTCAAGAAAAGATTGAACTCAATGAAGAAGAACAGCTTCTCATCATTAAACGTCTGCACAAAGTCCTCCGTCCCTTCTTGCTACGACGTCTGAAGAAGGATGTCGAATCTGAATTGCCAGATAAGGTTGAAACCGTCATCAAAGTTAGCATGTCTGCTCTTCAGCGTCGTCTTTACGAGCAAGTCCGTGCTCAAAGGACTGTGAATGCTGATCTCTCCAGGTGAGAAATCTATCAACTTCACATGAGATTTTTTTCACTGTTGTTGAACTCGTCGTCTCGCAACGACGTCATACTCTCATCGCAAAAATAACGCACTAAAGTCAAATCGTTTCACTATTAGGGTTGGTTTCAAGGCTCTAAATAACATCATCATGCAATGTCGTAAAATTTGCAACCATCCTTTTGTCTTCCAAGAAGTCGAGGATATTGTCAACCCATCTGGAGCTCTCAACGAAGTATTGTATCGAGTCGCTGGTAAATTCGAACTCTTGGATCGAATCTTGCCTAAATTCCGTCGAACCGGACATCGTGTATTGATGTTCTTCCAAATGACTCAAATCATGGATATTATGCAAGACTATATGAGATTCCGTGGATACAACTTCTTGCGTCTGGATGGAACAACAAAGTCTGATGAACGTAGTGACATGTTGAAACAATTCAATGCACCAGATAGTGAAATATTTATATTCTTGCTGAGTACTCGTGCTGGTGGTTTGGGGTTGAATCTTCAAACTGCGGATACGGTTATTATCTTTGATTCTGATTGGAATCCACATCAGGGTACGTGTGGAGAGTATCATGATCCGGACTTCTTCAATTTTTTTTCTCTCGTCCTTGTTCACGAAAAGACCTTGCTCACACTCAAACTTCTCAAACTTAGATTTACAAGCTCAGGATCGAGCCCATCGTATTGGTCAAACCAAGGAAGTCCGTATCCTTCGTCTCATCACATCCAGATCTGTCGAAGAAAAGATCTTGGAACGAGCCCAATACAAACTTGACTTGGATGGCAAGGTCATTCAGGCTGGTAAATTCGATAATAAGACCAGTCAAGAAGAACGTGATAAACTATTAGAAGACTTGTTTGGTGCTCCTGAAAAGGAAGACGGTGAAGTCGAAAAGGAAGCCGTCGATGACGACCAACATGAGTCTGGAGAATTGGGTGACGACGAACTCAACGAAATCTTGGCTCGAAATGATACTGAAAAGAAAGTATGTTTGAAGTCTGATAAACACGGGTTGACTGGCGACCTGAAATAAACAACTCATCATATTTTTTCTCTATTAGATCTTTAAGCAAATGGATAAAGATCGTAAACAGCAAGAAGAAACTCGTTACGGTCGAAACGCTCCATCACGTCTGATGGAAGAGAGTGAACTTCCAGCTGTTTATCTGGTCGATATCGAAGCCGATACTCGTGAACGTGCTAATGCCCCGGTAGAAGCCACTGGTCGAGGGGCTCGAGCCCGTAACAATGTAAAATACGATGATGGCTTGACAGAAGAACAATGGACTATGGCTGTAGATAGTGGAGAATTGACTGAAGTTATGGAAAGGAGGGCCCGTCGTGAAGCTCGAGGAGTTCGACGCTCCAGTGCTCCTATAGGTACAGGCTCTGAAGCTGGATCAGTCACTGACGAATCTGATGACGACGACGAGACTATTGATCGTGATCGCGGCAGTAGTGTAGGGACTCGAGAGCAATCTGCTACTCCTGTACCTGGCAGTCGTAAACGTGGCCGACCAGCAAAGAGTAAACTCAGTCAAGTAGTTGCCGATAGTAACTCTCCATCATCCGCATCGCCTACACCTCGCTCTGAGGAGAAACGTCCTCGCGGTCGACCTCGTAAAAATCCTAAATACGAAGAAGAAGGTCCACGTCGCAAACGCCAACGTAGAGATGAAGATTCTGATCCAAACATCCCTGCATGGCGTAGGCGAACCATCCAGCAGGCTTGTTTGGCTGTGTTAGACGGTCTTGAGTCCATTGATGTTGCGGATGAAGAAGATGAAGAAGGGTAAGCTTTACTTCTTGCAGATTCAAGAAGATACGTTAGTATTAATATTTCCCTTCGTTTGGCTAACACCAACTTTTCTCGTTTGACTTTAGAAATCCAATACTTCGCAAGAGGATTGACATCTTCCTTGAATTGCCAGATCGTAACGACTATCCAGACTATTACTCCCTCATTGCTGATCCTATCGCCTTCGATATTATCCGTTCACGTGTAGAATCTCTTGGTTATGGCAGTTTTGCGTCATTCAAGAGTGACGTATTACTAGTCTTTGAGAATGCACGTACCTATAATCAGGAAGGATCAGTTGTATATATTGATGCAATGGAATTGGATCGAGTTGCACAGGCACTCTTCAATCATGTTGCACCTCTCGGCGAGCCTCAAGTCACCAAGGATGAAGAAGGTGAAGCCAACTTGGAATTTATGAGGTCTGGAAATGCTCCTGCTGGTACTCCACGTCAAGGTGACGATGATGGGCCCTCTGGATTGAAACTCAAGTTGAAGATGGGTCCTGGTCCCGCTCAGCAATCACCACAACAGCACAATCCAGATCCAGATGTGGATATGGATGATGTTTATCAGGAATGATTATAGAATGAGTGGTTATATGAAACAGCCATATGATAAAGAATCAAAATCACCAACATCAAACGACATAAGCACAATTTATAAAAGTAAGCCTCTCGTCGTAAAACCTTTTGTAGAATTCAGCTTTTTGCTTTTATAAAACACATCTGTAGAAACCACTTCAGGGTTCTTCGAACGAAGCTGACTGCGGTAATGGCCAATTCTTGAGGGCAACAGGTCCATTTTTCCTGGCGTCCTGTTGACATTATCACGACAGCAAAAAGCGACGCCACTGATCTAGCATGGAAGAACAGGGTCGATATTATGAGCCCAAATGAAAATTCGTAGCAGTGGTATCTGAAAGAAACTTGTATGGCTATGAGTTGTTGGAAATGGTGTTCCTTTCTGATTTGCCGCAATCTGTTTTGTTGCAAATGGATGGTAATGACCAGGGTGATGAATACTGGAGTCGACCTCTTCTAAGGTGCAAGCGAGCATTTTCCTACTATGACATGTTTGGTTTCATTTTATCTTGACCTCGCATTCGGTGTTCCAAACTCCAACACAACAAAAACTCGAAAGTCAAGACATCCGTCCAACAATGGACCGGCACCAATCATACCAAGAGTGACAGATTCAGCAAGGAACACCATTTCCGACAATTCATGGCCATGCAAGTTTCTTCAATGCGAACACGTACGAAAGCACTCTGCATATTAGAACACTGTGAGACTTCCATGCAAGCTAGCAACCAAACCAACCACATGCCACAAGGTCAGAAACCCATGTTATTTTATCATTGTAAATCTAACATGCTTTAATAATTTCTAGTCTAATCTAAAAACGACGATGTCCACCTGCCTTTGGTGGCATGAATGGCGGTGGTGTTGGAACAGTAACACCACTAGGAGCCAGCGCTGTATTATTCACAAAGCTGAAGCATCCATACGTGTCTGGATATGCTGGTAGACACATGTATGCCTGCATATAAAAGTAGTCTACATGTGACGAAATCTGTCCAAAGTCAGGACTTCCACACGGAGTTCCAAACAGGTTGCTGAAGGTGCCCATATTGTTAAAATTGGCCAAGACTAGCGATGTATCAGCGCCAAGATTGGCTGATGGATCGTCTTGTTTGTTGGCTTTGGCCACATAGGCTGTGTTGAAGATTGTTCCACCACCTAGTGTGTGCGAGAGGACAATGTGGGTTTATAAAGATTGGGTTGATGTCCTTGTTTGGATTGAAAATGTCCCTGTTACATACCTTGATTGTGAGTGTACCCATCCAAACCCGTATACGCAGCTCCATACGTGGTTTGATTCAAACCATGGAATGTGATGTTGCTGCCTTTCAAAAAGACAACACTGTCTGTTTCAACCAATGTCATCACACAGGTTTGGCCTCTGACATCATACAGATTCGTCACTGGATATGGCTACCAGTAGATATGGTTTGAGAATGTTTTGCATGTATATTAAAAGCAAGGAGGACTTACATCTTGCGTCTGGCTGCAGAGAATTTTGGCTTTTGTGATGTAGGTTTGTTGTTGCGTCCCATCTGGAATGAGATCAGCATATATAGTTCCTGTTTGTATTTGAGATTTAGGGTGTAAGTTGGACGTTTAAAGACAAGGGAGACGCACACAAAATATCAAAGCTTTACCTGAAAGAACCTTCTGAGCCTTATTAGTAGGATGATCAATACATTGCCACGTGATCTTATTAGTTCCGTTGATATCTGTTTTAAACGACAGAGCTCCAAGATCAGCAACAGCTTGTCGAGAGCTTGTAGTAGGTCTTGGAGTTGGTGATTTTTGAAGTCCTAAAGTTGCAGGTATTCTACCCGTTGGTGCAGTTGCTGTTCCAGTTACTTTGTTAGATGGGGCTGGCGACACCATGGCTTTCATCTTTGATGGAGATGGCGACACCATGCCTTTCATCATTGGATGGGTTGGGTTTATTGATGGACGTTTAATAGTATTTGTGCTTGTGGCATTGATGTCATTACCACAACATGCCGTTGTCGTCGTCTTATGAGTACGAGTGGTAGTTGGTTTAATATCGTTATCACAACAAGTTGTTGTTGTGGTAGAGTTCGGCCTACCACCAGCACCAAGTATTGGTGGCGCTGTTGCTGTTGCTTTTCTAATGGTTGGTGTATTGCCTTCGTTACCACAACATGGTGTGGTTGTCGTTCGAGGAGGTTTGTTTGTAGCTGTCGTCGTTCTTCTCGTGGTGGTTACCATATCCATTTCTTTACCACAACAAGGTGTTGTTGTTGTGGTTGTTTGAGGTTCTGTTGTGGTAGAAGCAACCTCATTTCCACAACAAGGAAATGTTGTGGAAGCAGGGGCACCGCCTGCACCTAATATGGCTCGAGCTGTTGTCGTTGTCAGGCTATATGGCGATGTTGCTAGGGGTGAAGCTATAATTAGTGAAGCTATAATTGGCGAAGGTACTATTGGCGAGGCTACTAATGGGGAAGGTATGGGCGAAGGGATTTCATTTCCACAACTTGCCGTTGTTGTGGAAGCATTGGCACCTCTCGCACCTAATATGTCTGGAGCTGTTGTCGATGCCATAGCATATGGCGACGTTGCGAGGGGGAAAGCTATAATTGGCGAAGGTATTACGGGCGATGGTACTATCGGCGACGCTACTATCGGCGAAGGTATTGGCGAAGCGATTTCATTTCCACAACATAATGTTGTTGTGGAAGCAGGAGCACCTCCTGCACCAAGTATTGGAGCTGTTGTCGTTGTCGTAGTATCTGGCGAGGCTGGAATGGGTGAAGGTACAATGGGACCACAAGAGTTCGTGTCTTCACAACTTGGTGTGGGTGACTGTAATATTATAGCTGGTGAAGGGATTGCGGGAGATTCGACTACTGGTGATGGTATTATAGGTGGCGAAGTCATAAATACAGGTGGTGAAGTCAAGATGGGAGAAGCGACAGGATTGGTAGCCACTGCTGGGCTAGGTGCATCAGTATTACATCCTGCATCCCCACATGGATCGCCCGATGCAGTAGGAGATATTATAGAAATGGTCGTGGTTGCATCCAGAGTGGTTGTGCTCTCTAAATCGTTAGCAGCAAGAACCACTGCTTTGACCAGACCGAAGCCTGCGGGACTTGCTCCTATCGGATTGGCAGATGGTAATACAGGTGATTGGACAATGGGCGACGGATCTGGTGATGGTAATCCTGGTTGTACTGGTGTTGCTTGTCCCAAGGGATCTGGCGATGGAGTATCCTCTAATACGGGAGGAACTAAAAATACTACACCTTTAGGATTCGGAATATATGGAGTAGGAGATGGTTTCGTAGTCTTTGCACCAGATTGTTTAGCCCACGAGAAAACTGTTGGATTTTCCAGCAGATTGTTTATGTATCAAGAATAAGTCTGCGTCTGTCATGGCCGTGGACCTAGTTCAAAGACCGAATCAATACTGCCCAATTAGCTGCAGCAGATCACGAAACTTACGTGACTTTTGGCAATGTTGTCCCAGTTGTTTTGGCTGGAAGAGCATTACCACCAACAGCAAATTTGACTATATTAGAAAATGGTGCTGTAGGTACGTGTGATGGTGTAGGCCTTGAAATCGTAGTAGTGCTGGTCAACTGCGTTGTTTGGGACAAACGACTTGATTTAGATCGTGTAATTGCTGGCAGTGTTGGTGTTGTTCCAAGAGCAGGAACAGCCTCAACGAGCACAGAACATAGCAAACAAGTCAAAATCAGCGTAACATATAGCGACCGCATATTCCTCAGGTGCTTTTGTCGAGATGTGCGTTGATGTTTGGAGTGTGTCAAAAATCTTGGTGTGTTGGGTGTGCGAGGACCCGATCGTTACGCGTAAACGGAGAAAATATGCTACATCTTCCTCCATCGTTCGTTCGTTTCCCTCGTTGCTGCCTCGTTGCTAGTTGTCTTGTTTAAGTGGTGACCCTCAACGAAGCATCCTTCGAGTTCCATCACATCCATCCATCTAAAATGAGGATATAGAGAGAAGAATAGTACGATAAACAGATATACATATATCCAAGTAGGGCATAATTCAGTCTGAACTACTCTTCCCAAACACGTAATAACTCGAATTAACAACACTTACTCTTACAATACCAATAGCCATGGAAGTGGGTAGCAAGAACCCATTTGATTTACTAGGCGATGAGAGTGAAAATGATGCTCCCGCACCAACCCCAGCTGCCAAAGGAGCTGCCCAAAAACCCACAACAAACACGACATCAGCACCGTCAAAAACCGCAGTGAGCAACGAACGAGCAACGCCGTCTGAAAGGTCGTCTAGAAATGATTATCCTAGAAGAGGCGGTGCAAAACCTGCTGTAGATGGTAAGCTTTAATTCTTGTATTTTTCTCAAAAGGTTTGCTTGTGCCATCAGGCCATATGTTGATGTTCCATAGCCTGATGGCACAAGCAAAGTACATTTTCGCCCTACGTCATATACTGAAATGGACTATTCTCAATTGAAAATGGCCAAAATTTTGGATGGAAGATGCACTCATAATAGCAACTAGAGCCTAGCTGCTACTTATATGCAAAACCCTCATGTGACACCATCCAACAGGGCACCCATTCGAGGCTCTTGCTTATTCTCTTATGTATACTAGGCCAAAGACCACCAAGATTCTCAGGACCACGTGAAACTAACGGAGCCGGAAACGGCGTAGCTACTGCTGAAGGTGGTGAAAGACCCTATCGTCCAAGGGGCGAAAACTCGTATGAGTCTAGTAATGGAGGTGGCCGTGGCCGAGGAAGCTCGCATGTCGGTGCTCCCGGTGCACGTGGTGGTGGATTCAGAGGCCGAGGTGGCCCACACCGTGGTCGTGAATACGATCGAAGGTCTGGTCGCGTCGATATGGACTCTGAAAAGAAGGAAGTCGCTGGCAAAGGAACTTGGGGTGATCCACTCACTGCTGAGTCTGCTGCTGTACCTGCAGAAACTACCGAGTAAGCAGAGTAACCGCTCTTGATAATTTGGTAAGTTTCCCCTGTACACACTGCTCATTCTCCTTCTACGTAGTGGCGCTGCTGAAACTACAGAGACTGAAGTCGCAGTAGATGGTGCTGCACCAGCTGAAGGCGAAGCTGCTGCTCCTGAACCAGTTGAAGAACAACCTGAAGACAAGTACAAATCCCTCGACGACTACTTTAAAGAATTAGCAGCCAAGAAACCTACTGCCGCTGCCCCAACACGTAAAGCCAATGAAGGTGCCGATGTATCACAATGGAAGGACGCTGTTGTCTTCCAACGAGGAGATGAAGAAGAAGTCTTCATTGCCTTGGGTCAGGTAAACCAAAAAGAATTATTGCCTTGTCTCATCCTTCTCAGAGAAGGAAATGTCCACATTATCGACATCCTTATACTAATATTCATGTCTATCAACTATAATAGCAAAAAGCCAAAAAGGCTGCCGCTGGTACAATCAAAGAAAAAGTTCAAGTAGATCTTGACATTCGTTTCACTGAACCCTCTTCAGCTCCTCGTGGTCGAGGTGGTAACCGAGGTGAATTCCGTGGTGGTCGTGGTGGTCCACGAAGAGATGGTGACAATTCTGGACCAAGGTCGCCAAGGGAGTCCGGAGCCGGTGGATTCCGCGGAGGTCGTGGTGCTGGAGGGCCAAGAGGCGGTGGACGTGGTTCTGGACCACCTGTTAGGCTGGAAGATACCAATGCCTTCCCATCACTGGGCAAGTAGTTAGTTGAAACACACTGCAAAAAAAGGGAAGTGTAGCAAATATTCTGTTGTAAGCAAACCTCGAGAGAGAAGGATTTTTAGCATACGTAACCACAAAAATATAAAAACGATTTAGGAATAGTAAACATGAGTATGGTCGCGTTTTGCGTTCGAGTTGCCACGTGCCACGTCTGTATGTACTTGAACTACAACTCCACATCACCGTTTTGAACTTTCGTGATGCCACCTAAAGGGAAAGGAAAGGCGAAAGCTTCAAATGACGACGATGATTCTGGGCCACCAGCTAAATTGAAAGGAGGTACTTCAGTCAAAGTCAGGTAGCTATTCCTCTGTTGTTGTTTGATCGTTCTTTTGAATTCGACGCAAGCTGTGTTTCCTTCAACGCTTAATATAAGATCCTGTACTAAAATGCTGAGATTCATAGGCACATTCTCTGTGAGAAGCTTGGGAAGTGTGAAGAGGTACTTGTTGTGACAAAACATCCAACATTTCAAGTTAGCTGATCAGAACTCTTTGACTAAAAGGCTCTAAAGAAAATCAAGGAAGAAGGTATTATACTACACTGAACGCACGTAGAATATGTTGCTGCAAAGATGCTGACCGCCTCCTGTTTTCAAGGAATGCGCTTTGATAAAGTAGCTGAGGTCTACTCTGAGGACAAGGTGACGCTTTCAAAGCATTTGAAGAAGAGATGTCTCAACTTTCTTTCATCTGAAAGGCCAAGCAAGGAGGATCTCTAGGATGGCAGCTAAGGTGAGTTACAATTTCACTGAATGCATCAGACTACTCCAATTGGTTGTTAACCTCATGTGCTCTTGGAAAAGATGATGCTCTAATGCGTGTGACCACCCACTTGACTCACACTCTTTGCTTCTCATTATAGAGGATCTATGGTTGGAGCATTCCAGGACGCAGCATTCGCATTACAACCTAGTACGGTTGATAAGCCCATTATAAGTGGACCTCTCAAAACTCAAGTAAGAGTCAAAACCCGGCTGGTTACGACATGGACGAGTTCAAATTGACTGAATCCCATCACGGGTTAGTTTGGCTATCACTTGATTATGGTGGAGGACCGCAAGTAGGTTATTCTGCCCGTGACTGTAGGACATCTTTCACGTCGGGGAGATCTCAAGCTTCAAGTTTGTGTACACGCCTTTGGATCCTGTTTTGTACATGCTGCCTACAATGTCTCATATACAAGTCGAATGGCAATAAACGATACGTTGCATCTATATCTTCGCTTGGGGCAACATTTCTGAGTGGAATACATGATTTTACAGTGTATTGCGAATCAACGCCTCTCATACTCTTATGAAACACCAAAATTCACTTCTGCTGCTAGAACGAAACAATTAAAACCGATTCTACCTCCTCTTCGTGCAAATCATTGAAAGCCTCCAAATGGCAGTCCAAACCGTCCACACTAGAATACTCGTCCTTCTGTCCCTCAGGATGCCGATAGCACTAGCAGCCAACTTTGTAGCCAAGTAAACATTCCACCTGGATGTCGATTGATGATGCATCAGTTACATGATTACGCCAACATGTTGCACTCAATTTTTTTCAGCTCGTCAAAACACATTACCATTAATCCTCTTGAACAAACTCGGTATGTAATTATCATCGAGTGGCAGTTCATGACAAATAGTATGACTCCAAAACTCCAAACATCGCTTCAGGTACAGCGTAATAACGACCTGATATGACTTCTGGTGCGTAGTTTGGTGAACCTGTTTTAGCCAAAAAAAAAAAGATTCCACAAAAGCTTTGGATGTGATGGGAACCACAGAAGGTTTCCAGAAAGTCTCCATCAGCCATAACCGGAAGTCAAGCAATGTTGACGTTGTTGTATTCGTTCAAGGGATCGTTTTCCTATGCCAAATGAACTATGCGTTGAGTGCCAAATCACTATGCGTTGCAAGACATTTCGATGTCAATCAGTCGACGTATTGCCTGATTTTTTTGGATTTTTCTATCATACCTATACACCATCTCATGTCGAAGATGCAGGTCCACTGCACAGATGGCTTTGAAAGAGGCGTCTTCTTCTGTCATCGAACAATCATATTAAGAATCCGTTTGAGATCGCACTTTGAAGAAAGGAAAACGATCAATTCAGCCAATGTTCCGTTACGAACAATCCAAAAATTCTCCTCCTGCTTCATCGACGATCTACAAACGAGATGGTCACTTTCTTGTGCAATAGCAACAGTCGGCTATGATGCACATATTCTAGCTTACCATGAGTGATATCAATACGAGCAGCTTTTTGGTGTCTATTTTAAGGCAAACAAGGTATCAAGGCAGCGCAAAAGTCCAAAAAGTGATTCATGAAAGGTTCCTTAAGCTGTGGCATATAAAGGAGTTATTAAAAAGCCAGTCCTTATGTAATGTGCAAAAGGTGCAACTTGGTCCAGGTCAGGTATACCATTTTTTTGTGTCCGAAAAAGCCTACTTGAAATCCAGGCTTGGTTTTGAGAAAGTCATTCAAAGGAAACAATGATACGCCTCTGCTGACAAGATGCTACACAGACACAAACCACAACCTCCAACAAACATCAACCCACATTTGTGCACATGATCATTTACATTATATTGAGAAAGTCAATCCCCCCTCTCAGAAACTATTATGAAACACCCTAATCACTCCTCCACTCCTAACAACCAGCAAAAAAAGAAATCCCAAGTCCTCCTTCCATTCTCTCCTCTTCTTGCAAATCATTATAAAACTTCCAGCTTGGCAAAGTCAAAATAGTCTTCTAAACTAGACTTCCACTTGTCGTCTGTCCTCCGCCACAATAAATCCAACGACCAAAGTCTCTTCTTCAAGCGCTAATAGCCAACTCGGTAATCAATTTACAGCACGCATCAAAAAATGCAAACGATGACAAGTTTGCTTCCACATCTACAGCCCAAGCACCACCAGCTGGACCTTCCGGTGGGGGTAGATACACTGATCCAGTAACAAATTTGGGTATTGCTTCGTCGTCTGGTGATGATACGACTACGTACGGTGTGGAGTTTTTGAAATCTACGAGGTATGAGCCTTGCTCGACTCGGTATAGTTGGATGTCTAGTTTCACTTGCTGGCCGTTGGGTGAAGTGTGTTTGGCGCGGATGTGGAAGGGGTCTATTGATTTCCATTTCTGTGAAGAGATTGGTTGAAAGTGTCAGCATCAACAAAAAAAATCTCAAAATATTGATTTACCATATTGCAATTCCTCAATGCACGGTATATCTCTAGCATGATATCTAATGGTGGTGACCTTGATCTAATACCGAAATGCCACCTTGAGCCTTTGTGCCTTTTTGGTTGCACACTGCTCGAATCTAAGTTCAAATCCATTTATGTTCAGTACTAATGCAAACAACACCAAAAAAGGCAGCTAGGCTCCGTCAATACCTTTTAACGCTTCAGATCTCTTGACAAGACTCGATGATATCAGTTGAACATGGGACTGGTGTTCATCCGTATCAGACTACAAGAAACCCAAAGTGTGAGCGCCTACGACACAAAAATTCCGGACAATCCATTCATGCAACTAACTCTTGCACTCCATGATGGTGACCCGGGTATCGAAAAAGCCTTCAAATTCTTGAGTTGTTGCTGTTGGGCATGAGCTATATTGACTTGATGGTGTAAGAAGATGTGTTGACCGACTCAAGGAAGTCGATGATAGGGGTGCTCATCATCATCTTTTTACCTCCTTGCATCATCCTCCTATAATCAACAACCAATTGATATGCGACCTTGATTTGATTGTTGTCTGCTTCTCCTAATGCCCAATTTATTGTTTCTTTGCTAAAGCCCATTTTCTGGGTGATTTGTAGAGGAAGGGTTGGCAACTTGTAGTGGCTGGCACAAAAGGTCCGAGCACTCGTGAATTTACCTTTTGCAATTCTCCCACTATAGACGGGTCTATCTCTATCAGCGGATCATATACAGCATCAGGTAGTGGTTGCAGGTAGTCTGGTAATCCAACATTGAACCAGTCCAGTTTCCTGTTTGCGAAGCAGATTTACAATAAGTGGGCTTGCAAAGGGACAGAAAGAGACCAAAAAGTTTGAGTATTCCTATTGAATGATCAAAGACCGCATACCGTATATCAGCAATCGTTATCCTCTTGAGTGGATCAACAGTTAACATTGCAGATAACAGTTGACGTGTTGAAGGTGACAGAAATGACGGTAGGGTGAATATTCCACCTATAAATGTCCACGACGGTTAGAATCAGCTCTCATCCCCCCACGGACGCCCAATTTTTTGTACTTTTCTGAATGAGAACACCTACCATTAATCTTCTTGAACAAATTCGGTATATAATCATCATCAAATGGCAGCCTTCCACATAACATCACGTATAGTATGACTCCACAACTCCAAACATCGACTTCCGGACCAGCGTATAAGCGACCTGATATGACTTCAGGTGCTGCATAATTTGGTGAACCTGTTTAAAGAGCCAAATATGAGTAAAGGGTGTCTCAATGCCTGTAACAGGTGCTAGATCTTACCACAACTGGTTTTAAGGAAATCTCCATCAGCCATAACATTCGATAATCCGAAATCAGCAATCTTGACGTTATTGTATTCATCCAAGAGGACGTTTTCAGGTTTCAGATCCCTGTGTTTGTTGGTGGTGAGAGCAGTTCATGTCGAAGCAGTCATTACTTTTGCAGTAGTATTTTTTTTGGCTTGCGTGGCTTGACATACCTATGCACAATCTTATGCCGATGACAGAACTCGACAGCGCAAATGATTTGCTGAAAGAATCGTCTGGCATCGTCTTCTGTCATCTAAAATATCCCATAAACGATCATCGTGAGTTCCTGTTCTTTCTCTCCAAGGACCAACCAAGAGGACTCACACGACCACGCTCCACTATATAATTGAACAATTCTCCTCCTGCGTATTCCATGACCTACAATAAAGACATAACAGTCACTATCTAGCAAATCGGACAGATCGTGTGATACAATTGTTGCATACCATGATGATATCAGTAGGAGTGGTAATGACTTCGTATCTACAAGTATACCAATAGCGTTATCACACTTTGCTCTTGATGTACCAAACCAACTTCACCTGGGTATCCTTACAGTTTGATGATGTGTGGATGTCTCAGGAGCTTCAAGTACTGGATTTCTCTCTTGATACGGCCGACCATATCCATAGATGCAATGCGTCTCCGGTTGACGATTTTGACTGCCACTTTGTGGTTTGTCTGCGAGTGAACTGCCACTATATATGTACATTCAAAAAAATCTCAGATTTCGTATGTCTCAATGTTGGAAGGTTAGGGACTTACGCTTGACTTTGCCAAAGGAGCCGACGCCCAGAGTCTCCAGCAGCGTATAGTTACCGACCCGGATTTGGACGGCATTGCTTCCGCTCATATTTGCTTGCACTGCGAGCGAGGGGGTTTACGGTAAGTGCAGAAAATGTGGAGAGGACAGACACAATGAGTGCATGGTAAGGAAAAGAACGCTATCTCTAACAACCTATCTCTCACATACACAGTACAAATTCGGTCCAAACTGGTTTTCGAACAACATTCAAAATAATTTCAATGCTCTCTTTCTTCTCACTGGCATCTCGCTCTTGTCGTCACTACTCGTGTGAACTTACCAACCCTAGATCCATCATGTTACCTTGGTCGCACTGCGAGGGGAAGCGAGTTTATGATGAATCGACAACAAACAGAACACGTCGCTTTAACCTTAACAAGACAGAAACACGATTCGAGACACCATGCACCTGCTCGCTTCAACGTTCGAAACATATGCAAAAACATATCATCTGTTTCTATAACATATGACATGCGTGTTTCCTACAATCCAACTCGATTATACCTGCTTCCAAACAGGTCTCCCACGCTCATGAAGCGCATTCCATCTCACCATACGATCAAAATGCGGCTTCAAAACAACAGGCACACGTCCTCCACTCATAAACAAGGGCTGATGATACCTCCTCTTGGTCTGCCTCTCCTTGATACGTGCATACCATTCATACGCCAACTGATGCTGTGATGGTGGATACGGTGATGGAATCTCTACTCGATGTGGTTGTGATTGTGGGGATCGGAGAAAGACGGTCGAGCATGATGGGTAGTTGACTTCTAGATAGTCTGGTGTAAACATCCAGGGGGCCATGTAATCTACTGGTTTGAATGTATACGGTATCTTTGCGTTGCGTGTTTTGGGTACTAGCTTGTATTCTATTTTTGGTTCTTTTGGTGGTGTTGGTGATGGTTCTGCTGGTTTATTATCGGCTTCTGAAGATGCTTCCACAGGCTCTTCTGCTTTACTTTCTGCTGTACTGCTAGCTGCATCGTCTTTGGTCTCTGCGGTCTCTGCTTTAGATGTTACTTCTTCTTTTACACTATCCGCTGCTGAAGTCTCTTGTGCATCTGCTGTTGTTGATGGAGCGTCCTTGACCTCCTTTTCAATGGCGATTCTATGCACCAGAGTCGGTATAGCGACTGGATCTACGGTAATCATATCTCCATCCCTGAGCCTCGTAGCTGGATGCACACACTAAGTAGTTGAATGTTAGATACAGGCTGAAGCTGTCTTCACGACACAAACCAACCTCCAACATGCATCCTGCCACATACCTTGATCCCATTAACGCTAACAAACCCACCCTTCACAATATCCCTAGCCTGAAAAATACTCTTTGCAAAATGCGACCTAAATACAACAACATCCACCCTCCTCTCCAGCTCTCCAAAAGCCAACACAGTAGCAGGCGGAGCAGCTTCCCGTTGCGCTCTAGTCATCGACGGGTCATATGGTAGTTGAAGATTAAAGTGTCTAGCTAGTAGTTGTCGTTCAGATATGTTGGGTACGTGGTATCCTCGTACATCGCGTTTGGCAGTCCATCGTTGCTGGAAGACGGAGCGGCGAGTGTCGTCGATTAGTTGCGTCTTTTGGATGAGATTGAAGAGATATTGGGGTTCCCAGGACATTGCGATGAGGCCGCGATGCCAGGCCCATCTTTTGCTGTATCTGGAGGGGCTGTATCGCATCTTGCTGGAGTGTTATATGTGTTGGGGATCCTGGCGATCTGTGAATAGATGGTAGAGCGTATGTTAGCTATGCGACGTGTTTGATTGCCTGTGTTTCCAATGTTTGGATGCGACGGTTTTAATTCTTGTTTGATGCACAAAATTGGCGACTCTGTGATATCAGAACTGGCATCATCTACAAGCTTACGTACCTCTGATTCCTTATGAATCTCTCCCCTTAGCTCTGGATCTAGTTTATCTACAAACCAAAGATTTGCAAGTGTTTGTTGCATCTGAGTGCAAAAAAAGTGCTGAACACTACACACGCAACAGCGTTTCTATGCGAGTTTGATCTTTATATGAAGCTACATTGAAATAATACAGTTTTATTCCTTCATGTAGCGCTTCCTATAATAAGGAACAAGACGCCTCAACATTCGTCGTTGAGTTCCAGTAGCCAACACTCGTCTCCTCTTTGCTTTCCGCTTCCATGCCCTCATCTTGCTATTCAAATGCCGTTTCCCGGCCTGTGCCCTCTTGAACATTCCATTGGCCATTACAATCCATCTGCAATAGAGCGATATGTGTTGGTAACAGGTGTTCAGAAGCAAAACACCAACATCAATACCACCATACCTCTTGACAGCAGCCTGATGATTCTTCAGCTTGTACTTTTTACCCTTCCTCTTTGACGGTTCCTTGACACGCGCAGAATTGAGCATGATGGTCCTTCCTTCTGTTTTCTTGGTTCGTACTTGGTTGACAAGTGTCAATGCATTTGATGTCGGCCTTCTGTATAGCAGCGGTGGTATTATAGATAGCCATGGGGTATATGTACATGGTGAGTGGGGCATTTGATGATGGATGCTACTAGTACTTGTTATTGAACGTAGTTGCTTTGGCTGTTCAGTTTGATTTGTTTTTAACGAGTGCATCCATGGAGCTTGCCGTGGTATCAACCGGGTATCGAGCTGACACACTAGTCGTAGATGGCGAGGGATATGAGCCTGCATCCTTTCCTCTACTCTGTTGGTCGTCTACTAGCTTAAAAGCTTGAATTTGTGAAATCTTTGGGTGTTTGGTTGAGCGTTCTTGCCAAGCACCACTGTGCAGAGGGAGCACGATGACGGGTAGCCTCAGATGTTATTCAACTCTACAATGCCAAGATGGATCCAATGAACAATTTTCCGTTGATTCTCTTCAAGCCCTGACAACTTCCAACAACACGAAAGCTTGGAACAGTGTCTATTTCATACACGATCGCTCTGAGCAGAATATTGGAATCTCTGCAACAATTCTGTCTCTTTATTGGATTCTATTCGCTAGTTCCAAATTGCATTGTGCTTGTATCTGTCTTTCCTTTGGCTCAATGTTCGAGCAATGGAGTGGCTGACTGCCGTGACTATGGATATCATATTTGATCAAAGTGCGGAAATTTCAAGGCCACCGGTAGTATCTGGGACTTCGTATACTGGTGTGTATTGCATGCAGTGAACGCTTTGATGATGTTGACATTAGATACCTTTCTATCAGTAGCATTAACATACAAATCTGAACTTTGTCTTCTTGTTTTTTATCAAACACTTCTGCCTTCAGATGTCATCTGCTAATGTATAATACACGACTGTTGCCACCAAAAGCCGTGCCAGTGAGCATTCGTTTCACTTTCATTTATCAAACAAGATATAAATACAACGAAGCTACAGAAGCACTACTCAAACCGAAACTACAAACCAGCAAACTCCCTTCACAACCTTTAAAGTAAACTGTAACACGACCCATTCTCCAGCCACTTCACATCCTCAGCACTAATAACACCATCCCCAACAGCCTTGTCAACCACCTCACGATACCTGTCCTTAATCTCATCACTCAACCCCTCCCATTCACCCAACCTCCCTTTACTAAAAAATGTCTTGGCGCCGTCATTCCAAATCACATCCATCTTTGCCGCCTTACGAACATCATCGATATGCAGATTGTCTGCAAGATCTTTGAAATCCGTATCTGTATACTGTTTGGATAATGGTTGTCCAATGAAGGCAGCCATCCTCTTTAATTCAGTCGCTAAATCACGTTTCATGTCCGAGTAGTGGAGAACTAGAAAGTCGGTTGGGTTTACGGATTGCCATTTCCTGAATGAGGTGATGAGGTGCAGGAGCTCGATGATTTCGATTTTAAAGAAATCGGTAAAGAATTCTTCTTTTGTGGTTCCTTTTGGTAATACGTGTGGGAGTGTACCTGTGTCGTCTGCCTAACAGAAAACCCCCCGGATATATGGAAAGTATCAATGCCAAATCGTTTTTGTTTCGTAAACATAAAACACGACGCAACTACCAGAGACTCACCTCAACGATTCCCACCCGAACCACACTAAGCATCGCAAACACATCCTCCTTGTAATTCCCACGATGATTATAGTACGACAATGCAACATCTAATGGATGCCGTCCACAAGTGACGTATTTTGTCCCTGCACTATATGGTAGATAGTCCATTGCCAAATGAGACTTCAATACTCGTCGATCTGGCATCTTTTCGAAAAGAGCATCCCGTTCTTCTCGTTGTGTGTCAGTGAGATATCCAAATGATGCATCAACCCATCTGTCACCAACTGCTACGATATCTGGTGTGCCATGCTTGATTGGTTCTCCAGTAAGCAGAGATTCAATACAGAGTTGTGTCCACTATTGTATCAAAAGTGTGGGCCAAGCGAATGAGAAACTCATTTTAAATCTCAACAACAAAAACAGTCCATGAATGTAAGTCCAATGGCCAACGTACCGTTGTCCCACATTTGGGGTATGTCGCAACAATTATGTCACTTGGTCTCAGAATTACACCATTCCAAAGATCCGAATCGACAATTTGTCTGCTGTGACGTACTGGAGGTCGTGCTGGGGGCTCCGCAATGCTTGCATAAGATCCATTTTCAAGCCACTTCACACAATCGGCGGTTATAACACCATCTTCAACAGCCTTATTGACAGCTTGTCGGTACCTGCTCTTTATATCATCGCTCAGTGACTCCCATTCGCCGAGCCGACCTTTGCTAAAGAAGGTTTTACTACCTTCCTTGAAAATTATGTAGCCTGCATCACTACGGGCCTTATCAAGAGTGAGACCAGCAGCAAGCTCCTTGAAATCGGTATTTGTATACTCTTTAGGTAGAGGTTGTCCAATGAAGTTTGCCATCTTCATTAGTTGAGTGGCTAGATCGTGTTTCATGTCTGCGTAATGAAGTACCAAAAAGCTGTCTGGGTCTATGGCTTCCCATCTACGATATGAAGCGACGAGTCCTAGTAGCTCGGCTAGATCCATCTTGAAGAAATCATCAAGGAATTCCTCTTTGGTAGTTCCTTTTGGCAATACGAGTGGGAGCGTGCCGCTACCGTCAGGCTAGCAACAACAAAAGTTAGAAATCTGAGTTGAGTCATTGTCATAAACCACTTTATCCACATGCACAAACTCACCTCGACGATTCCTGCACGAACTGTACCAAAAGTTCCCCAAATACCTTCCTGGAAATTGCTGCGATGATTATAATACGACAGTGCAACATCCAGCGGATGCCGTCCACAAGAAATGTACTTGGTGCCTGCCCTATATGGCACGTAGTCCATTGCCAGATGAGACTTGAGTACTCGTCGGTCAGGCAGACTCTCAACGAGAGCATCCCTTTCTGCAACTTTTGCCGGAGTGGTGTCGACAAATGCTGCGTCAATCCATCTCAAACCCGTCGCTACTTTGCCTGGGTCTGAGTGAGGCTTGAGAGGCACTCCAGTCAGTAGTGCTGCAATGCACATTTGTGTCCACTATTCAACGTGTGGGGGGAACGAATGAGCATGCTTGGATTTTGGATCTCATGAAGATGCAAAGAAAGGGCCATTGAAGAAGCAATTCCGAAACCATTTTCAAAATTCCAAAATAAAAATGCTCTTCTAACATGCCGTTGTTCCACAATTTGGATATGTTGCAACAATGATATCAGAAGGTCTCAGTTTTACACCATTCCACAAATCTGAATCCATATATTATCGATTATAGCGCACAGGAGGCCGTGCTGGAGGCTCCTGACTAGCTGCCAGCATTTAGTTTACTTGATTTGAGACAGCTTGATATGCAAAGCTTGGTGTTTCACGAAATGCAAATGACCACCAGCCTCTTGATGGCTGTGAGTACAAATAAAGATAAAGAGAGAGGTGCCGAATTTCGATAGATTTCAGCCTTGAAAATAGCAAATTGCATCTCCTGCCTTTGTTAGTTAGGAGGTTGAGGTCAGCAACCTTGTTACAAAAGCTTCATACGCACAATTGCCGGGTTCCTAGTACCGATCGCTCCAGTGAAGCTGTATTGAATTTGAATTATGATGCAAATTACTTATGCTCCGTAGTCTCCATTCATTCGTCGAAGCACGAAACCTGGCGCAAAAGTGGTCCAAAAAAATGAAGAGCGTTTACAATGTCGGAATGTTTCGACCCCAACTCACTCACGGTTTTGCTGGAGTCTCACGAGGATTTCGCATTATGGTAGATAGCTGACATGAACCAGAAAACAACTTGTTCTTGACAAGCTTGATTTAGAGTATCACAAATGGTGCGTTGCTGGCGGTTCCATGGCCGTGATATATATATCCAACAAACCATCATGAGAGGCTTGCTTCGGAACCTCAATAGTTCATCTTCTGATTCTTGAATTTGGCAAAATCTCGTGTCTTATTTGGCTTTTGAAAGGAAGAAACGTGTTTGGATCTGATCATCCTGAGACGTGGTTGGGACGTGTCAGAGTCGTTCCTGGATTGATCTTTACAATGGGAGATATTATCAATAAGAAATAAATCACATTCTGGCAACTTCGGTCTAGTTCGTTGACCCTACTGTTCGTTGCATTGGTGGTACTATTCTTCGCGCAATTTTATGAGCAATATGGCCCTAGAATCTTTAGAACAGCACAATTCAGTACTTCGAGCCGCCATATTTCTAACAAAATGACTCTCAAATCCAAGTTTAGATCATACTACGCAAGTTCCGTGGTCTAGATCTGCTCGTTGAAGACAAAAGAGCGTCGGTCTCTGAAAAAATAAGAAAAGACGAAAGAAACACTCCCTCCATCCATGCCCCACAAAAGCCAAATTTAAAGAACTGCTACTATAATGAAGAACTAAGTGCTAAATAACTGCTACAGGGGCGCAACTCTGATTCTTCTGTCTCATCATCTGTGGCGGTAGTGCGGTCTGTTGAAACCAAATCTTACACTTTCAAACCCACCTACTTGGAAAATAAAACTATACAACCTTGAAGCGACATGGACTATAGAGAGAGGATACCTGCTACCAGCTTCAACGATCTGCAAGCGGACTGGCTGTATTTCTTGACTGAAGCATCTGTGGGAGAATTAAATCTGGCTTGGAGCACATTTACAAAGATGGCCTCGAGCGCCGACGATGTGAGGAGATTGGAATCAGCTAGGTAAGTTGCGAGTAGTTATCATCCTGTTGAAGCAATTTGATGCCGCTTTGATTGGGAAACTGTCTGTCGGACTGGGTCAACACACCGTAATGAATAAGGTTTCACAAGACGTCAGATGGAGAACGATGATTGGCATTGAATATTGCAGCATCTTCTACTTCTCGTCCATGTTCTCCCACACGTCATTGTGTTTCAGCTTTTACACACCTCGATACTGTGTCAACCGTCAAGTTTCACACAATTTACAATTCCCCCACACACTCATACAACTCCACACACACACACACTCACTGTTCTCATACAACTTTTGGTTACATTCTTGCTTTTCTAGTTGGAGAATCTGGTATAAACGGTCTAGAGCCCTACGCCCAAGAACACCATCCATGTCATCACAGAATCGACCACCATCCAGTCTAGCGTCAACTAGCCCATCTCCACATAGGCCAAACCTCCATTTCGTAGACGGCCTACAAGACGGACGTGCAACAAGTGCCGTATACTCTATTCTCGGAGACTCGTTACTGGATCTTGTATCAAAAATAGTAGCTCAAGCTGAACCAACAATCCCGAAACTAGAACGTAAACAGCATCGTAGAAGGCATTCAGAGCCAGCTATGTCGTTTGATGGTGTTTGGGTGGGTAGTAGTAGTGCCGAGGTATCTGATCCTGCATCACCTGCTTCAACGGCATCGTCAACACTAGTTGGGTCTGGTGGCGAAGAACATGAGATGAGACTAGTGAATAAGACGCCCGAGCTCAGTAAAGAAGGCAAGGCCATGATGAGACCTCGACTGGCTATACTGACCAAACAGGAACAATATGCTGCTGAAGAATACGAAGAATTACCATCGCCTGTTGTTGTAATACCAATAATAGCTAAACCAGACAGTGAAGAGGGATTATCTGGTACGACACTGCAGGCATCACCAATGAGCATAACGCTTGCCGTACATGATATATCGCCATCCACGCCCACAACTCTAGCACAACCATCATCACCAACAAGTATTGTAAAACCACAGTATAGACCACCAACAGCAACCCAATTCAGCAAAGTAGTCGTCGACGCAAAACCCAGCAACTTGCTCCGAACATCATCACTAGGCACAGCAATAGCAGTCGAAGAATCCCGCAAAACATCCCTCCAATCCCTCCGTGAACGCCGCCGTCTCATTCAGCTAGCCCGACGCGCAAACACGGAAGAAGTCACAATCGGAATGTCCCTATCAACATACGAATCACTAGTCCAGCAGCCTAAACGATCGTTATCTGGTGACGTGCCCAATAGCCCAACTAGTCTACGAGCTGCATCACCAGTCTTCTTCCGACCAATGTCCCCTGACTTGCTTGCTCAATCGCCACATGGAGTATGGGAGATAGGTAGTCCTACGCTGGTGGATCCGTTGTGGCGTCAACGGGATAATCTGTCGAGACGTGTAGCGAGGTACAATGATGAGTTTGGTATGAGTGTGCATGATGATGATGCCTTTGGAGATGATGTTTCGATATGGTGATTGTTGTATAGTAGTAAGGCGGTGGTGTGTTGAGTGTTTGTATTATATATCAAATTGTAGTTGGGGGAGCTTCTTGGTGCTCTCTTGTTTGGTCAAAAAGGTTGAAGATTGTTTGTCTTGTATATTAAGCCATATTGAAATTTTGTAAACAGTTTGCACTCAGTTATAAAAAGTTGAATTTCAAAAGTATTGGATGTCTTTTAAAAGAGTTTCAGATTTCAAACATTATATTTGAACTGAATGCCCTTACAAAGGAAATCAAATCTTGGCAACTGGTTGCTTACGACTCTTGTACAAGTCGATTCCGAATTCTGGTGTAATTCGAATCAATTCCCCAGCCAACGAATCATCTTCGATGGCCTTCTCAAAAGCATCTACGACTTGAGCAACGGTCACAATTCTAAGTGTGAGGAATGTGAGCGAAAAAAAGGGATGCCAAAACTACTTGAATAACGCACCGTGCTTTGGTGAACTCATCCAGTTCATTAGGATTTGAAACGAAACCGCCTGTTGGAGAAAAAGATGGGCATATGGCGTTTACACGAATGCCTATGAATATTGAAAGTACGTTATAATCAACTGCTTCATTCAGCAGGTTAGACCTCAACAAATCCCAAAATTCCCAAAACCACATACACTACCTTGACTCTTCAAATGCGCCAAACTCCTTGTCAGCATCACTACTGCCGCCTTAGCACTACAATACACCGGCATGTTTGCTTGTGGATATAACCCAGCCAAACTAGCCGTATTGATAATAATCCCACCCTTCTTGCCCTCCTTCTTCCACTGCGATATCGCCATCCGACATCCCAAAATCACACCAACGACATCAATATTAAGCATATTCATCCACGTATCGTCCTCGTCGTCGGCGAGTTCGTATTTTTGGCCAATGCCGGCATTGTTTACGATAATGTCGAGGGAGTGGAAGGTTGCGTTTGTGATGCGGAAGACGTTCAGCATGTCGGTGCGGGAGGAGGTGTCTGCATGGACAAAGACTGTTTTGTTTGGGTATGAGGAGGCTAGTTCGGATTGGTAGCTTGTACCGGCTGGTTTGTTGTAGTCGACGAGGACGACGTTGGCACCCTGAAGAAAGTAGCTGTGTGAGATTGCGAGCAATGGAGCAGAATGGTGGTAAGCTTCCAAAGGCAAAGTCACAGTAACTGTGTGAATTAACATAGCGTAGGAGGACTTGGGGTGAGCGTTGCAAGTCTGAATTCGAATTTGCAATGCTTATATAAAGCAAATCAAAGACACTCATCACCAACTTGAACAACAATAACGTGTTTCTTCGGCAAATGTTCACCTTCTTAACCAAACGAAGTACAAGCTCCTTGCCAAAACCTAATTGTAGAGTAGAATTGAATGTGTGGATACATTATGTACGTGAAAATGCTTGATCTGGGCCGTATTCTCATAGTGTATGAGGGCAATTACATAGAGCGACCGCAGGAATTTGTCAAACACACACGACAAACTTACCAGATGCAGCGCCGGTTACAATAGCCGTCTTTCCTTTCACGTCGAAAACCATAGCTTAATGCTGTAATGAGTTTGATGCTAATTGAAGTTTAAATGTCTCTTTTCACGCCGTTAAATTGTCGTCGCGAATGTCACACATTCGAATTTCAAGTTCCGTCATTGAAAGTACATGCAACGTCGATTACTAGCAACTGCAAGCAAGGCAATAGTTCGTAAAATGAAGATCACTCCGATTCCTTGTCTTTCCGTAAGTGCGAGACTTCTCATTGTGTTATAGAGCTTCACAACTCCAAACATCCAAAAACCAAACATTCAAATCATTGACCATTTTCATCCATTACAATAGGACAACTACGCATACCTCCTCCTCGACGAACACACCAACAAATCCGCACTAATCGATCCCGTCGAGCCGTCCAAGGTCCTCCCCGTCGCAAAAGACACCAACATCACAGCCGTCCTCACAACACACCACCACGCAGATCATGCTGGTGGCAACAAGGGAATCGCATCCCAACTCCCTCATATACCCATCTACGGCGGCGACGACCGCATCGATGCACTATCCCATAAAGTAGAGGACCGTGTCAGTTTCAAGATCGGCAGTCTCGATGTCACGCCCATGTTTACCATATGTCATACCAAGGGGAGCGTGTCGTACTATGTCGTGGATGCTAGTACGGGCCAAAAGTGTGTGTTTACGGGTGATACGTTGTTTGTTGCTGGTAAGAAATCATCTTGTGTCAAAGTATTGCCATCTCGCACTTACACGACATTGTGTATTAGGATGTGGTCGTTTCTTTGAAGGCACGCCAACGGAAATGCATCACTCCCTCTTGGACGTATTGGGCAACCTGCCAAAGGAAACTGAAGTATACTGCGGCCACGAATACACGGCCTCCAATTTGAAATTCGCTGCTGCTGTCGAACCATCAAATCACGATGTGGCTCAAAAGCTGGAATGGGCGAAGAATACGAAATGCACTGTATGTGGATTGTGGATGGCGAAAAGCCCGACTCTTATTCCTTTCGGGTCACTCAGTCCTTTTGTTTTGATAGGTCCCATCAACAATCGGTGAAGAATTCAAAATAAATCCCTTCATGAGACTCAATTCAAAAGAGATTATTGACAAGACTGGAGTCTCGGATCCTATTGGTGTTATGGGCAAGTTGAGGGAGATGAAGAACAAGTTTTGAGGAATAATAGTTAGTAGTAGCTATTTTTGTTTGCAAGAATAGACTCCGTTTTTTGTATGTATTCGATTCAGAATGGTTCACCAAGGGTTTGCAAGTATACTAGGGCAACGTTACAAGGTATACTACTGTTTCGTAGGAAGAATTCAACGACAGGATGATAGGACGACAAGGATGATAAAGAAACTACTTCCAGCCTGAGAAGCAACAGAAAAAAGTACGTTAACAAGGAAAGAATCCTTTTCAAGGACATAGGATTTTCAACTACACATAGTATGGAAGCACATATCCAAAAGGTTCGGATACATTACAACGTGAAGGAGTATAGTCAAACATGCTATATTATAAATACTCTATAAGGAGTGCCTTACTTCTAGTCTATATGTGTACATTGCGTGTGATCTAACTATAGAATGGATTACAATTACACAACAAGTACCTCAACAAGAAACTGCTCATACTGCCCACCAACAATCCACAACTAATACAAGCAACCATGAAAGCTCCTGCGCCTTCCCGTTGTATTCGTGCTGTTGGTCTACCATCATCTTCCTCATCATCTCCATCCTCCCTCCTTGGTCCATCAGGTATCAGCAACGGAGCAGCCATGATACAAGCAGCATCGACATATCCGTTGGAGAGCGCAAACGCGGCCGTTATACCCAGAAACATCCAGTCTTTACCAAACACGAGCGGCAGCGTCCTGCCCAGTATGTTTCCAAAGCGGTCGTGGAATGTGACATTACATAAGAGGAATGCGGGTGGGAAGACTAGTCGGGCAACGGATAGTATGAAGAGGATTGTAGGCGATTTTATAAAGAGAGATGGGCATCCGGGCAGTGTTTTACCGAGCAGGTCAAAGAGGTTGAATATTACGAAATGGATTGGTACGAGAAGGGTGTTTGATGATGTTGATTCGACGGCGGATGTGATAGCAGGGAATGAGGCCAGCGTTATAACGAATCCGAGCCATAGCGATCCACCGAGCAGGTATACCTTTTGGAAGACAGGCCAGTATAGTTTGTCCTTTCCTACTCCTATACTACTCGTTGATGGGTTTACGATATCCCCTTCATCTATAATATCGATATCACTTGCGACATCGTCGTCCTCGTGGTCTTCTGTATTTGCCTGCTGATACTCTATAGACCGCTTTACAGGCAAGTTTGGCAGCAGCTTTTGGTATCCAATCATGACACCAGTCGCCAAGAATATCGTTAGGAAGAAGTATGCGAATGCTCTATACGAGTCTGTGCCTGCGTTCACACTTGATGCTGTCAGTGCTAGTTGGACCAGCTGATATATACGTAGAAAGATGTTCGAGTCAGTATACAAAAGCTGGTGACTTGGGGTTACAAACTTTTTTTGGTTTGTAGATAAACTCACACTTGGAATAAGACCAGCTAATCCTTGTCCACTCATGAATGCGGATGAGTATATCGGAGGGTATAACGGTAACTAGAAAAGAAACGTAGCGAATATGAGTGAAACTCATGAGCAAAAAATCCCTGCTCTTGTTCCTCCTGATGAACTGCACAATATCCAAAAGCTCCAACACGTTCACACATACAATTCCGTAAGCAGCAGCCTGAAACGACGTCGCAACAGACGACAAGACAATCAGACACAATGTCAAGAAGAAGTAGACGTAAGGATCTAGAGATAGTAGAGCCATTATAGCAGCAGCCGAGAATATGAGGATGATGAGGGTATGCCCGATGATGACACGAGCGTTTAGTGCGATTGCGTTTGGTTTTGCGAGGAATAGTGCTGTTGGTTGTTGAGAAAGAGTGAGTGTCGATGTTGACAATTATGACGGAACCACAACCAAGCACAAGCAACCACAGCATTTTATACGTACTCAGACAAGCAAACATGACGACCATATAACAAATAGCGAAGTAAGACATGAAGGTATCAGCGAAAATGGATCCTGTAAAGCGAGACTTGAAGAATCCATTTGCCGTAATCCAGGTCTAAGTATCCGTGAAACGAACGTTCAAAGTTAAATCACTTCCGCAAAGCTCAACGATGATATCTCTTACATTCCAGCTCCCTAATGAAGTGTGTGTGAATGTCAGTCATAGATCAATGTAGACCATTCAAGCCCAGGAACATTCATACCAAGATAGACCAGCCCATAGATCATGAATATCGTATAGGCGGCAACACTATGCCATGATCGTGGCTGCATCGTACTATGTGATGAAGAAGGCATTGCTACAGCTTCATTGTTTTCAGTTCCAGTATTAGATGGTCCTCTTTTGATTAGTTTCAGCGGTAGAATCGTGCCAGAATCGCGTATGGTGAGCTACGGATGAGGTCTATATGGTCTCTGCACTCTTATCTGCGTCTAATATGAGCGACTGGTTTGGCTTGATTGAAGTTTTGATTTTCGAAAAACCCAGAGGACGATTAGGAAGACATGCTAAGAAGCTCGACAAAAACAATCCCAATAATCAAAAATATTCGAGCCATGTCTACTGCTAAATTGGCAATCAAGAAGGTCACTGTTATTGGGTCGGGTATGTGCAAATTGAGGCTCTCATCAACAACGTGAATACGAACATTTCCTTGTTGGCGTTTTATAGACAAAGAGGCCAAAGCCCATTTTGTAAATCAATTTATTTCATTATTTTCGTGCTCGCCATCTGAAACTGAGCCTGCATCGCTTCAAAGAAATGCAACATCAAACACACATTCCAACCAGGCTCACCCATCTCGTTACCACATACAGGCCTCATGGGCGCTGGAATCGTCCAAGTCGCAGCCCAAGCCGGTCTCTCCGTCACAATGGTAGACCTAAACCCCGATTTCCTCGCAAAAGGCACCTCCATAATCACAAACAGTCTCAAACGAGTCGCAAAGAAACAATTCCCTGCTTCCCCAACAGACCAGCAATCTCTAATCACATCCATAATGAAAAACATTTCCACATCAACTGACTCGCTCGCGTCTGTCGCATCCACCGATCTAGTCGTTGAAGCAATCGTTGAAAACTTGGGCAAAAAGCAGGAATTGTTTCGAATGCTGGATGGTGCTGCACCATCACATACGATATTTGTTAGTAATACGAGCAGTTTGCCGATTGGGGATATTGCTAGTTCTACGAAAAGGAGGGACAAGTTTGCGGGCCTCCATTTCTTTAATCCGGTGCCGCAGATGAAGCTGGTGGAGATTATTAGGACTGGGGAGACTAGTCAGCAGACGTATGAGGCTTTGAAGGAGCTGTGCAAGGTTATGGGGAAGGTGTCTGTTGAGTGTAAAGATACTCCTGGGTGAGTGTGATGGAATGCAGTTACCACGCTGTTTTTGGTTAATGACTTACACACCTCACCCAATTACCCAGATTCATCGTCAACCGCTTACTCGTACCTTATATGATGGAAGGCTTGAGATTGGTTGAACGTGGTGAAGCTTCAAAGGAAGATGTCGATATTGCTATGAAACTTGGTGCTGGATACCGTAAGTATAGTCATCCGCTTCTTCTTGTTTTTGGTTTGATTTGAAAAACGTTTACGAGTTCTGCGAGCATTTTATACTAATCCCTCTCTTCTTACACTTCATTAGCTATGGGTCCTTTCGAGCTCATGGATGTAAGCATTCACCGTGTCTCTTCTGGTTTGTTTTTTGCATATACTCGTTCTATCATACAACTACCATAACCGTATTCACACATTAGTACGTTGGTCTGGATACAATCAAATTCATTTGTGACGGTTGGTATGAATCTGGCAAAGGATTGGCTGGTGACAAACTGATCGCTCCTTCGCCTACTCTGGATGAAATGGTCAGGAAGGGAAACTTGGGCAGGAAGTCTGGAAAGGGGTTTTACGACTATAGTAAAATCTAAAGGGGGTTGACGTTGTTTCAGTTGTATTGTAAAAGTAGTTGCAGTGTAGTAGTAAGGAACAAAGCAGAACCATATCATGGGTTTCTATACGCCCCTCAGAGAACAAGGTCTTTTGCTGTACGAGTTTACATGCATTATTTTTTTCTCACATTATCCGTTGCGTTTCATATGATTTTTATGCCAAGTTCTTACAAAAGAAAAAACGAATCCACCACCCAAACTAGATACTGATTCCTTTCCTGGAAACTAATATGCAAATGAATTCCAAATTCCTCCTACTCCTTTTTTCGTTCCTGAAACCACCAACCCCACACCAACATCCTTCTCAAGAACCACCCAACTCTTCATCATCATAATCAACCATCTCATCATCCATCCCAGTATAAGCTGAAGATAATAGTCCAGATGTTCCAGCAGACACTGGTGGAGGAGCTGCATCGTCTTGATGCCACCGTGTCTTGCGATTACTGTTGATACTAGGACTACTACTGCTACTGTTAGCATTATTGTTATTATTACTTGACGCAACAGGAGTAGCATGATAATCCAACGGCGATAATAGCATTGCTCCTCCTCCTTGTATACCTCCTGGTTGCATGCCGCCACCAAGACTGCTGTTATTACTGCTACTGCTGTTTCCTTCTTCACCAGTCTCTTGTGGTAGACCCCATCGTGATTTACGTACATGCGGGACTTTTGGCGTCGTGGGAGGTGGAGCATTACTGACAAATGCTGCTGCTATGGCTGCTGCTTTTTGTAATGGCGATGTAGCTAGTGATGGTGCTGGTGTTTCTCGTGGTGCTGGTAGTACTGCTGTTGGAAGGAGAGGAGAGTCTTGACTACTACTATTATTGCGTCCTTCATCGACAATACGACGATCGTTTGCTTCTCCTCGACGATCATCACCGTCCCTTCTACTAGTACTAGTATTGTTGACATCACGTCTCAAATCATCATCAGGTGGCTGGCGGCGATCTCGTATGGGATCTTCTTCTCGATTCATCTAAGAGACGTGAATGCGCGGTGTAAGCAACTATACGCCGGCAGTCATCTTCATAAATAGACGTGTTTTTGCAGATAAGATGTCCTTGCTGCTTGCATCAGTTTCTTAGCTTCACAGGAATCCCCAAAGAATTCCCAACACTTACTGGATTCGGCGATCGTCCTCTCCCTTCACGTCTAGCATTTCCACCAGGAGGGCTGATCGACCGTCTACGTGGTTGCTGTAGAGCATATCGTCCGGGATCCATAAATCTCATGTCTGGTGGTGGCAATGGTCCTCGTCCCATCATATGAGGAGGTGGCATTGGACGCCCTCTAGGAATCATGCCTGGGAGTGGAGGGAGATATGTTGGAGCTGTTTATAAAGAGGAGATAAGATGAGTTTCGAGATAGACCGAAAACTAAAAGAAGACGGTATCCAACGAAATGATTCTCGTTCACCACAAACCTCTCGCAGTCCCCATCCTATCTGCTATATCCCTAGATACATCACGTCCACTATCTCTTCCTATATCACGACCCATAAAAGGTGGTTCGCTTCGTCCAGCTGATGGAGGCATATCATTACGACCTATGTATGGGCCATCCCTTATTACAGGTTCTCGACCAGGACCTCTAGACTATTGAGAAAAGATTGGAGAAGAGGGGGGAGAGATAAGATGTTGTTTAGATGATTGTTGGGTGATTGTGTATGTTTGTGATGTGTATATATGGATTCTGGCATCTGAATTTGTTGTTTGTTGTATGTATGTATGATGTGTGTTTGGAAAACAGCTAAAATCTTGCTAAAATGATAAAAACTGGATGGGTATCCTAAAAGTGGAGCTTACTTCAGGTGCAATGTGCCGTGGAGCTGGTAATCTACTAGCAATCAATACGCCGTTGCCACCAACTGATGGTGGAGGTGGCAAGAATACAGTCTTGCGTTCCGAATTCGATGAGGAAGGCACTTGAGGTGGTTGTGGTGGTAGAGATGGCATGAATGTTGGTGTTGATAATGAGGGAAGTGGCGGTAAAGTCACCGTTGGATTAGAAGTTGGAGGCGATGCACCACCGTCGGATGGTGGTCGCCGTCTATCATCACCTTCACCACCCCTGTCTGCTTGCCGATTACGAGCCCAGTTATCTAAATCATCATCTAAGTCGCTTCTCATTACTTTTCTTTGCGGTGATCGTTTACGTGGCGGTGATTGTGGGCGAGTTAAGGTTCGATCCAATAGGGCTCTTGGATTATCTAAATAGAGGTCATGGTTGTTGTTTTGGTTATTGTTATAGCGATCGCTGGATTGAGCAACAGAGCTACTATATACATTACCAGAAGAAGCAGGGCCGTCACGAGGTCGATATCTATCAGCACTTTCAGGCCCAGGACGCCAATATCCTCCACCAGGAGAAGGAGATCTCGATCGTTTCCTAGAGTTACTTGGTCGATACCTGTCTACACGTGATACACCATTGCCATCACCATCTTCATCACGATCTTGTTGACCAGGTCTGTATCTATCGCCACCTGGGCGAGGCCCATGAGGTATGACTACAGGCGACCGTGATCTCACTCTTGCGGGAGGAGAGCCAGACATTCCACGTCTCGGAGGTGATCGTATCCTTCCTTCCAGGTTTACATTAGATATACCAGGACGATAAGAGTCTATTGTTCGCGTATATGGTAGTCCAGCTCCTGAGGCTGATGGTTGTTGCTGTTGAGGTTGACTGGGTCGGTAGCGATCTACTATTCGACTAGTAGCATGCCATCTTGGATCGATGGCTGGAGAGTCGTCTCCAGCAGGTCGACTAGAGCGTCTAGGAGGACTGTTTCCACCACCGCCAGGGCGATATGTGTCGATTATTCGACCAGTACGATTGCTGCGAAAGAGTCCTGCGGGCCCATGTACATCACTCAGGCTCGGAGCGACGGCAGCGTCTCCTTCTGGAGCTTGACCTTCTTCCAATTGAGTCTAAAGAATATATAGATGATATATCAGGGTGGGATTAGAGGTTGCTTTGTACAAAAGAGCCAAGTTTCATATGAGCAAAAACCAAATGTTTATGGCGAGCATTCTAGCAACAAGAGGCAGCAGCTCACCCATTGAGAGTCGGCATCCAGGACAGCATCGAATTTGGATGGACTATAAGAGCGTTCTCTTTCGCTTCCATTTCCTTGGTCGTCTCCTGTAAAGTGGGATGCCTTGCTTGTTGGCAATTCTTGGTCATCTCGTCTTGTTACATCCATATCGTCACCGGAATCAGCGTCATATGGCATGTCTCCATTGTACATATTTGCTCGTCTCCGTCTTCTCTCGCAAACTTGGTTATGATTCGAGCTTTTTTTGAGTTGACAATGAAAAGCAGAGATATGTTGGCAGATTGCTAGGGCAATGGAAGCTGTTTGGACGTACAATTCGTACCTAAAATGCACCATCATTGTAGTCTCTCCCTTTCAGAGACTTTGATGACAAAACTCGACAGCCAACCATTCAAATCTATGAGCCAGAACTTCAAACCAATTATCTCCGTAAATTACAATCTATTTACTATCTTATAAAGGATGAGCATGGAAGCTGGCAGTAGACCACGTCCGTCGCCGGAGGACATAGCAACTAGGCTTGCTTCAATACTTTCGAAAGAGGATGGTCTTGCAAGTGCCAGATTCAAGAGTGTACCGGATATATTGGCCAAATTCAAGTCGGACTATGAGGTGCTCTCGAGCCCCGTGTGGCTGATTACTCAAGGACTTTCCTTATGCAGGGAGAAGTACCATACACAGTATCAGCTCCACGGAGTTTCGGGGAGTTGTTGACAAACATCTGGCCCTGGCATGTTTGTGATTTGGACAACGTTGAGGGCAATCAAGCCCAATTACAGGCTGTTCATTCTACTCAATCCGCTTCAGTGATAACTTGTAAACTTTATTTAAACACTTCTCTGACCAAATGATTCACCTGTTTTTACCGCAGTTCTCAGCAGAGTTTGTGCAGAGGCAGAAGAAGCCGCAACCCGTAGAATCTCTCCAGCCAAATAATCTCGTACCCGTAACAGAGCTCTGAAATGAAACGGCACGCTCCTGGACCGGTACCATCTCATATACACCATCTCTATATTCACAGCATCCTTACACGTCGTCAGAAACGCCAGCATCCTCTATTTCATACAAAGCTCCATACGATACGTTGGCAAAGACATTTGCACACACGGATCCAGATGTAGTAACGAAGCTGTTACCCGAGTCGTGATATACATTGAATATCCGATTCCAAGAGAAGTTACGTAAACAGCAACATTGCACATAGGTGGATATCGATCTTCATGCGCTAGAAATAGTAATAAGCGTCTTACTGAAGGTGTTTAGAACTTTGCGACTCGATAATTCTTGTTGGAATTCAAAAATGCGGCATTCATTGATTCACGACACAAACACAATGAAATACTGCACTTGACTTATATACATTTATGAAAATTGAACTACACTACAAGGCTGCTATTTTTACTACATTTTGTGTTTGATCAACCACTGTCTATTTCATATATCATCTTTTTGACCTTTATCGACCATATCGTCGCAAAGAGAAGCGTGACAACCTCTTTCTTTGCGCAACTGGCATCGTATCATATCTGATGTTATAGTCGTAATCTTTGGGAGGTACAGGTGGTCGTGGTGAAGTTGGAGATGTGGGATTGCTGTTGTTGCCAGACTTCAATATTCCTTGCTTTCGAGGTACTTGCTGACTACTACTACTAGTGCTGACCGTGCTGTCACGACTATGTGCTCTCGGCGCACGAGTACCGTTACTTCTACGGCGATGGGAACGAGATGATGAACGGACTGATTCCGAATCATCAGCTCCTCCAGCTAAAAGTGCTTCAATCGATGGTGTGCGTTTGATATTCTTGGCTTCTAGATACAGTGTCAGCAACTCGGATGATACCGAATGCTTCAAAGCAAGGTTTGGTGATGATCCTGGTGCACCTTGGTTGCCTTCTATTGCTGATACAGGTCGTTGTTTGGGCTTTTTTGTTGCAGCTGGTGAAGCTTGTTCTACTTTCTTGTCGGCTGGAGCAGCTGCTACTTTAGTATCGATTGACTTTAATGCTGGTTTAGATTTCCTAGATGTTGATGTTCCAGCGCTAGTCACACTCACTGCATCCATAGATGTGCGAGATGTGCTGCGGTCCTCGTCCTTCCCAGATGAAGCTGGGGTGGTAGTAGTAGTTGCGGGAGAAGACGACGATTCGGATTGGAGCACCTGTCTCAAATCAGAAGTCATCTTGACACCCATAGCATCCATCCACAGTTTCAAGAGCTCCTTCGCAAGTTTTGGATCACTTGTTGCTGGTGGTGGAGGTGGTGGGGGTAGACTATCATTATCACTACCACTGTTACTTCTGTCTACACTACTTTGTCTGTATTCCTCTAATATACGTTCCCGTTTTGGTACATCCAAGTGTGTTTTCGGAGAGACGGGCGATTTAGCAGCTGATAGAGGCGACATTACAAGACTACCAGACGTAGGAGTAACAAGTTCGGGCGATATGACGGCTATCGACTTTTTACCTGCTGGCGAGACTACTACTATAGGTGCAGCTGGCTTTGTTATAATCACCAATGGGACAACGGCTTGGTACCGTTGCAAAGCTGTTGCACTTAGAGACGACACACGAGCTGGTGGCAAGTCGTCATCACTACTTTGATGAACCAAGAGCGGGACGGTCGATTGCTGTGAAGTAGATTGTCTGACTGGACTTGTAGGTGACTTCCATGCCGGTGACATTATAGCAGCAGTAGGAGACTTGGATACTTTAGGCAGAGCTGCTAATGGGAGTGGTGATCCCGGTACAGCAGATCTTGGTGTTAACATCCTTGCTGTAGTCGTTATATCATCTCGAGTGTCATCATCAGACGACAATCGTATATTCAAATCACCCAAAGTCGGTTGCCTTTTCAATTCTCGTAATGTACCAGCAGCAATACGACGTAATCGTTCAGTCTCAAAGGATCCAGCATTCTTCAAAATACCCTTGGATGGTGGTTGACCTGGAGGTGGCGGTGGAATGGAAGCCAAATCTACTACTAGAGATCTACGCTGATCATTACTAGACTCGTGTTCTAATTCCAGTTCTATCGGGTAGGCTGAGATGCGTTTCAGAATACCCTTTGGTCCTGCAGAAGCGTTGCTATCCGATGAAGCTCGACCTGCAGCCTCTTCCTGATCAGACGACTCTTCCGATGATACGGCAACATTATCCTCTTCATAACTAGAGTTATGTTCATCAGAATCCTCCTCTTCTATTTCGTCGAGTATTTCAAGCGTTTTGGCAGAAAGCTGAGGCTTTTCCCATTCAACAGACTCATTCTCACTGATGTCTTCAGCCGAGTCTGATGACGGCCCAATACCACTATCTACCGATGAGTGTATTATCGAGTCCATAGATACCGACCGAAGTCTATTCAATCGTTCAAGAGCTTTGCTATCAAAGTCTTCCTCATCGAAAGCTTCAAGATCTTCAGTGGGCAGTGGAGCAGCTTCTGGAGTTGAAGTCAGAGAATCACGTCTTGGTCCGACTAGATTACTAACTGCTGATGCATCTGGTGCTAGTAATGCTACGGCTACTGCTAGGGCTTCGGGTTGTACCACTGCTGTTTCTAATGGAGCTTCAAATTCCACGGGGGACGTAGACGAGTCAACCATTAAAGGCCTGGGAGTCTCCTTGGGCTGCTTATCCCTTAGAGTAGATATCAGCGAAGTAGCATCGGCTGGTTGAGTCGCTTCTGCCTTTGGAGCAATAAGGGACTTTCTTAAAGTATGACTGCCAGTACGACTGAGACCAGCTGAAGCACCATTGCTAGGTTTGCGTTCTAGAGTAGTCACATCTAAACTGTTTCCAAAGAAGCTCTCAGTCTCTGAAGATACTTGAGGAGGCCGTTTAGAATCCAGACTGAGCCGTGGTCGACTAGCCAGTGATTTGAGAGCAGCCTTTTCGACCGCTTCACGACTAAGTTCACGTTTCTTGAGCTCTTCTTCAGCTTTACGATCAGCTTCCATGGATTGTCGCATTTCGACTTCTTCACGAGATATGTCCTTGGCCACGCTTCGTCTACGTTGTTTGATGATTTGCTGCTCCCAGTATTTTGGTTTGCCATTAGACATTACAGATCGAGGTACATCTTCCGATTTGCGCCAGAAACCTCTATTGAGTATCGACTTTGACGATTTAGTCGACTTGATGGAGCGAGTGTCTTCAGACTGTTTGATAGACTTGGCATCTTCAGACTTTCGACCCTAAAAGCAATGTAGCAACGGTTAAACACTGCAAAATGCATTTTCGAAGACAGAAGAGATAACATACCGAGAAGAAGCGGAAACTACGTTTGCTTTCAGCAGATTTACGAATATTAACTTCACCGAATTCAGGTGAATCTGGAGCCTGTTGGTCGATTTCTACAGAGTCAAACGCTAACTGTGCAGTTTCTGGTAGTGGTGATGCCGTCATTCGCAACGGTGATTCTGTGACTGGTGTTGGTGATTCTGTGACTGGTGCCGGTGATAATGTCACTAGCGTTGGTGATAACTTCACTGGTGTTGGTGACAGTACTGAGACTGGAGATACAGCAAATGAGTTCGTTGGAGAAGGTATCTCCTTGAATTCAATGGGTCCAGTTAAACCAGCTTGAGCTACTTCCCGCTCGAAGTCATGGTTGGCAGCTGACTCAGACCCGGATGCTCTTAATGCAGCAGCATCTGTCTTACTGAGTTTAAGCGACCCACTCAAACGTTCAGTCAGACTACGACGTCTAACAACCATCTTTTCTTTATTACTGCTCTCCCTTTGCTCTTTAGCATATCGAGCTTCAGTAACCTCAGCAATGGTTTTAAGACTCATTTCAGCATTAGATGCTGCGAGACGAGTCGGTGTGGCTGGCTCATTCAACATCTGAGTGCGGAAGTCCTTAAGTGCTTGCTGGACTATAGACATGACAGCCAGAGTCTTTTCTTCCTGGTAGCGGCCAGTGATTACTTGGACTCCTATTGGCATACCGTTTTCACGTTCTGGATCATAGAATTTATAAGCTCGACGTTCTAATAGATTATATTTCCGGTCGTGTGATTCAGTAAGTATATCCACGTCAGCAAAGACATTTGTGACGGGAAGAACACCAGCAGAGTAGTCCAAGAAGGAATACAAGAGAGAGTAGGATCCAGCCCATGACATTTCACCAGAGCTATCTAATGGTGTAGCTGGATGTACGTGTGCTGGAGCTAATATGGCATCAAAGGGTGCTCTGGCGTCATGGAATCGAGCTTGATCTAATTTAAATGATAACCGGTTAGCGGAAGGGTCTTTTTTTGGTGCATAAGACCCACAAACTTACACTCGGCTTGTCCTCGTTGTAGTTGCCAAAGTCTTTTCACATCAACAGGGTCGGTGGCCGCCAACATACTAGCGGCTTCATTTTCGTGTCTAGCTACAAGACCTCTGACAGCGACAGCTTTAACCCATTTTGGCATGTTAATCAATTTTGAAAGACCAGCTAGATGTGAGTCCATCGGATCTCTTCCCTTGGGACCCACCAAGGTAGCAAGACCATCAGCTACTAATAAAGCTAAAGCCAATCTTAAAGCTTGTGGGACATCTGGTGGATCGAATCGAACACATTCATAGCCTTGAGCTTCGAGTGCCATAAGCGTCTCAGCAACAGCTCGTGCGCAGGGCGGTGTAGCCCGTACGAATCCATCATCAATGTAGTACCTGCGAGAGAGGAAAAAAAACAGTAAATAAGTTGCATAATTGATACTATTGCATTCAAATGACAATACCCGAATCGTAATTTGGCCTTCGGTTCTACAGGTTGGTCATCCCAAATCATGGGTAGAGTACGAGGATCAGCATTCCAAGGTCGTTCTTCCACCAACAACTTTGAAATAATCTGAAGATCATCCAAATAACGAGCCATAGGACCAACCACCATCTTGACAGCGTCTTGTCCTGGTATGTTGTCACGAACTCCTTCAAGAGGGAATCGTCCACCAGAAGGCTTCAAACAGTATATTCCTATTTTGAAGTCATGCGTCAGTTTGCAACATAAGCACAACAGCAAAAAAACACGCCGTGCGCTAGTACTCAGGCAGCACTTACCACAGAAGTGAGCTGGAATACGATTCGATCCCCCAATGTCAGTACCAACACCAATAGGTGCACCATCAGCACAGATCAAAGCAGCAATACCACTAAAATGGAATTGTCGCCAATAAGTAAAAAAAAAATAAGTCCAAAATTTGTGATTGATCTTACCCAGAGCTTCCACCAGGACTCAATCCACGATTCAAAGGATGAGTAGTGACACCATACAATGGATTACTGGTATCAAAACTAGCCATACTTTGTGGCACATTACATTTGGCGAATGGAATAGCACCCGCTCGTTCCAAAGCTAGCACGATCAGTGCAGATTTTGGAGCTGGATTACCAACGAATTGGGAGAATCCCATAGTTGAGTCTGTTCCTTCTATATCAATATGTTCATCGACTACGAATGGAACTCCGTGTAATGGTCCTTTTGCTATTCCAGTGCGTCGGAACTCGTGGTCTAGATCACGAGCTCGACTTATAGCTCGATCAATAAAGTGCTGCGTGATGGCATTTGTGGTCTACAAAAACGGGTGCTTATTAGCGAACGGCCAAAAAAGATCGTACCCATGCTTGGGAGGTACTTACTTGGTGTACTTCAAGAGCTCGGGACGCGAAAGCCATCATAACCATTTCAGCTAAGATTGAAGACAATAATCAGAAATTCGGTAATAAAATAGGAAAAAAAACACCAGGACTAGCTTACCATTCCATTGCCTTGCGATAGTGATCCTATGTACGATTTCACTCGCCGAAGCATTCAGTACTTCGTCAATGGTAGCGGTTGGGAATGGGAGATTGCGTGACAATTTCGTTGGTCGTCGAAGATCACGGGCTGGCGGTACAAATGTGTGTTGGGATGTTTGTTTACGTGCTAGTAGTGATGATGATGAGCTCTTCTTCTTGATGGACAGAGTCTTTCCAGTGGGCGGTGCCATACTGGCTAATATCTAGCTTCGTGAAATTGACTATCGGGATCAGTGGATGGTAGAAGGAAGGAGGTTCAATTCGTTATTGCGGCCACAAGAACGAGATCTTGTGAATTCCTATGAGTGGCGAGTCCAACACTATCTCGGAGTAAACTTCCAATAGATAAATCGTATTCTCCAAGTATCCTGGAGCTTCTTTGGCGGCCAGTTTGTTGGGGTGAATCGAGACTTCTTTCCTTCAACTCTTGTGTTTTTTGCCAACCAATCATTTTCGATTGGGAAATTACTTGCCGTCCTTGGAGCAGCACGTTCCCACATTTGCAATTATCAGGACTCATATACTTAGGAGACCTTTGAAGCCAGCTGACTGTTGTGGATATCCTCTTGAACAAGAGATCGATTGTTAAACCATGTATTCAAAAACAGTTATCGCAACAGCCCTTTTAGCATTTGCTAACTCCGCATCTGCATTATTTGGTAAGAGAATTTGAACAAAGTATTCATGAAATCAGCAGCATATGAAACATATTCATATTCCATTGTTTCATCAACGCCCACCCATTGAACGTCGATCTAACCCAAACATCGCTAGTCGCTGGTCTAGGAGACGTGCCCGTAAACCCAAATTTGACATTCATCTGTCAAACAGCATTGTCAACCGGCTTATTCCCAGCTATTGGCAGTTGTGGTGAGTAAATATACGGTACTGCTTCAACGACTGAACTCTGAGACTTTGTTGTCTTTTTCAAAGGTAACGGTGGTCTCTTGCTATATGGCAGCTCTCCAGTGACATCAATATCAGCTGGGTATCTTCGAAGCTCTGCAGGACTTTGCACCCCGAGTTGCCTGACCTCTGTAAGCTTTCCGCCACGTCAATGACATTCGTCAACAACTCAACAACACTCCTGACTTCTTTCGCTTCTCAAATAGATCAACAGTATTGCATCAACCGCAAACATCATATCTTGTGGGTCCGACATCATCTTCCAAACTGGAAGTACCGGTATATACTCCTGGTTTGAAAATCAAACGCTAAGTGGTGTAGCTGCCACCATGGCTGGAATCAACGAAGTCAGTTGCTTGTCTTCAACAGTGACTTCTACTGTTGCGTCGAACTGCTTGGAGTAAGTACTGTCAGGAGTGGTGCATTGCGCCACGTCATGTGCTAACAAAACTGTAATCACAGGCAAGATACAAACGTAATGGTTGCTGTTGGAGCTAATTCTACGGGTGCATTGAACGCCACTACCACTTGGACAACTCTTATTGGAGGTCTAGGTAAAGACCATGCTGATAACTTTGACCGCGACACAACTAAATGTCTCTTTTTCACTAGCTCAAGCCATCCCAAAAGTAGTAACTCTGCAGTGTGCAGCATGTAGTGCTCTTCAACTCAAGACTCTGAAAAAGTGTACGTTAGCAGACCCTCCTGTTTTCTTCGCGCACACTGGTATACTTATTTTTTTCTCCTTAGACTCTATGGTGGTACCATTCTACACCAACTTTGCACCTCTCGTAGCAGCTATAGGAGCTGTCAACACATCAGCAACCAGCAACTTGTGTGCGTTGCTGACCACATCAAGTCCTACACCAACACCAGTGCAAAAAACAAGTGACGGCACGATGATTGGAAGCGCACTGTCTGTGTTATTCGCATTGCTGGCGTCTTCGGTTGTAGTGATGTTGTCGTATATGTAGATATGGATATAAACGCCTTTGTATAATATTAGTCAGGGTAGTATTTATAAAAGGACCCACTTTGAAACATCTATACCACTTCGGAGCGAAAAAGCGATAATGTTTCTCTAAGAAGTCACAATATATTTCAACATTTCATACAAGGGGAGATTTTACGTTTACAACGTCTCTTCTTCGTGACCCTTGTGGGAGACCCATATATCGTACTCCATCTGCACTCGCGCCGATTTTATTGCCTGATCTTCATCTTGTTGCTCCAAATTTACTTGTGTGGGTAATTTCTTGGCCTTCTTCTTCTTTTTAGGTGCCCTGATAACGAAAGATTGGTTAGTCACTCGTATTGAAATATGCTACAACATTCCAACAAGCTTACTCCTGAAGCTCTTCATCCATCGTCGGCTGTATTTCAGGTTGTGTTTGCGAGTTCTCCTCGAAATGTACCTCCTGCTGATGCTGTTGTAGAATGTCTGTCTCTGTTGTTGGTTCTGGAGACTTTATCGTCTTCTCCGTCTTGGCCTTGGATATTTCGTGTGGTGATTTAGAAGCTGGTCCTTTGCTTGATTTGAGAGGATCGGGTTTAACAGAGGACTTTTCCTTGTTGAGCGGCCTTGTGGGTTTTGGCAAGGTAGGTGATTTCGGATGGTGAGGCTCAGTCGGTTCGTGTTTAACATGCCCAGTTTGGTGGCCGTCATGTTCATGTATAGGGCGAGCACCATGACTCGTGCGTGGCTTGAGACTCTCAACAAATTCGGCATCTGTCTTTATTTCAAGAGCCTTTTTGCCCATCATCAGGTCGGGTATCAGACGGACCTTGAAGAAGAAACAAGAAATAAGCGAATGTTGCTTGATCGCGAAAGAAATTTAAAGCCGGGAAGAGCAATACCTGCGTCTTCATCTCCTCTAAAGCCATCTTACAAGCCTCCTTTTCTCTCGTCTCTTGCTCCAATGTGTTCATAGCAGATGCCAATGCCAGCTGTAGCTTGTCAATGTCTTTAGCCTGATTCCTTATCAGCATTTGTGTCTCCCTTGTTGTAGGATCATTCGGACGGCCTTGCAATGTTATAGCTGGCAAATGTGCGACGGGGAATTTGACCTTGTTTATCGTAAGCTGGTTTTCCAGTTGTCGTATCCTTCCAACTAGCGTTCGATTTTGTTCAAGTAGACGGTTCTGGTCCTGGCGCATTTCGAGGAGCTTTCGTTGGAAAGTGTACTTTAAACTCAAGTTTGCCTACAACTCGACGAGATTAGCGGAAGGAATCTCATACATTCCAAGTAGATAAACATACCTGCAACGATGTTGGCACTCGACTCAGAATCTTTGGCACTCGAAATCCACCAGGAGCGAGGACACTCTAAAATCAGATTCAAAAGGTTTTAGAGACCAAATGCAAAAGAATAATATCTAGTGCATTCATAAGATGCATGTAATTTAGTACCTCTTCCTCTATCTTCATAGACTGCCTCCTGAGTGCTCCAATCTTCTTAAGCAAATCCTTTACTTGTTCACGAAGCTCCACATTCTCTCGTCGTTCAGCAAACAACTCTTCTCGTAAATCATGGGTATAACTAATCGGGTTGGATTGCCTAACCGGCACAGGAATATGAGACACCGTTGGAACTTTTGACAAAGACTTCTTGGCCTTGGATGGTTTACGTTTCCTGGTTTGCTTTGGGGAATCGACAGGATCTGTGTCATCATTTGGTCGTGAAACAGCTGAGAGGCGAGGCGATGACACCTTTTCAGTAGCAGTGTTTGTTCGATGCTCGGTTGACGCATCGACAGCTTTGTCTTTACCAGACCATGCAAAATGTACAGGCATCGTGATTCAAAATTATGCAAGGTAGGCTGTGCGCGTATTTCTAGTATCAAGATGCCCGAGTCCTTGTAATCGACGATGTCAATTTCGATTGTTGCGGTTTTGGAGATTGGGGTTGCGACAAAATCCTTAGGGTGTCAGTTGTCTAGACACACACGCAACCTTGATCGAGCTGAGAATTTAGCACGCCTGGATTCAATTTTTGCTGGATATAAGTTAGAGGAATCGTTTCTTTCATACCTGGTCAAAGAGCTCTCAAGGACAAGGTGCACATTTTTCTTGAAAATTTCCGCCCATCTTTTGGTCGCGACTTTCAGCATATAGTTTACAAGCGGTCGCTCAGAGCAGTTAAGACTGCCGATTTATAAGCATCATTGAAAAAGGCAGAGACTCTCTTTTGAGGTGTTTATCCGTCACAATCGTCATTATACTTGGGTTTTTGGGCTTGTGCGTAGGAGGATTGTTGAGAGATAGCCAGCCACTATGACAAGCAGATCAGAGATCACAAGTCACGCGTATTTTTATTCATTCAGCATGGATTGATGGTAAAGGCTCAAAAGAAAAGCACAAGGAAGTCAAAACTTAACGAGATGGTTTTGATATGTATATTCTAACGATCAAGCCCCAAATTTACAGCTCCCCCAAACGTTATTTAATTGGTTTTACAGTTAATGTACATTACTCACTGTACTTTACACTTCCATTCGAAAATTTACTTGTTCAAATTTACAGTCCTTTCAAAAGCTGAGATAGTGAAACATCCGTAACACTACTTGAGCGCTCCATCATACTACTACCTCTAGATTTCACATCACCCATACTATTTGTTCTCGAGCGCTTCGGCGCAGAGCACTCCCAACTATGATCATCATCAATATCAGCTACAGGCGAATCTAGGAATTCCAACGACGAAGCAGCCGACATCTTTCTCGGTGTATTAAACACAGATTTGAATTCACTCATTTCGATTGATGATGATGTACTGTATGATCGAGTAGAGTGTGAGATACCCAATCCGATTGTATGAAGCTGGTTGACGGGTGATAACGGAGCGATCATTTCGTCCAAGAAGGGACCACATCCGGCAACATCATCACTCAATGCTTTGGATGATACAGGTGAGTCTCGTGCATCGTAGTGTGTTTTGAAGGCTGTCGATATAGTTGATGGAAGTACTGGAGATAGTAATGTACATGCTGTACTATCATCAGACCGCATTCCTGTTATATTGAGACTGGATATTTGCATTGTTGAGTTTACGATTGTTAAAGGTTGTTGGTGTTTCAGTTGAGTGCTGCTTGTATCAATTTGCGGCGATTCGGATTTCATATGCGGTGATGGTGTGGCATGCGGTAACGGTTCTGGTGATTCAGTTCCAAGAAGCTGTGGAGGTGTTCCGTGACTTTCTGCGATAGGAGACATACCCCTTGGTGATACAGAGATGAATTCTACAGTGCTTTTGACTATGAAAAGAAAATGTCAGATTTCCACAATCAAAGCAAACCCGGCCGGTACCGTACCTTCAGATATTATACTCGTTGGCTGAATCACTTGAGAAGCTGTGTTATGTACAATCTGGCGAGGCATCTGACTATGATGAGGCACTACTTGCGGCACTATGTGGGGGAATTCTTGAGGCAACTGCGGCATAGGCTGCTGTTGATATTGAGGCATATACTGCTGCTGGTGATTCATGGCGGGGACGGGACGACGGACTGGGAAGTATGGCGTGAGATTCAGAGGCACTCCAGAAACACCAGCATCTGGCATTAATAAAGCTCTTCTTGTCGCAGCAAATGCGTTTGGTTGGGTTTGATGCTGAGGCTGCGGTTGAATCTGGAGTTGTGTCTGTGTTTGCTGAGGATTCGGTAATAATAGTGGCAGGTTAGCACTGCTATAGAGAACTCCAAAGTTTGGCTTCACTTCCACAACAGGCTTCACTTCCACAACCGGCTCTGCCTCTACAGCATTCTTTACTGCTTCTCTCTAATGAAATCAGTAATTCAGAATACGAAAATGGATACATACAATCTATCATTGAATACCTTTGACTTTGCTCTCTTGTTTTGAAACCAGATTGCAACAACTCGCTGTGGAAGCCCCATTGATTCAGCTAATGCATTCCTCACTTCCGATGATGGTTTTGGCATTCTGACAAAGACTTCAAGGAGTGTATTTGTTTCATGTTGAGAGAGGCGACGACGTTTCTCCTTTGTCGAGCCCGTTGTGGTTGTACTAGTATCTGGTTGGGTAGTAAGGCTATTGAGCGATCCATGCGAAGAAAAGTCCTCTTCAAATAGTAATTCGTCCATTTCAGGACCTGGTTGTAGGTGACAAATGTGAGATTGGGAAACTGGGGACCAGGGCGATTCTCTGCAATTTGTCAAGCTTACTTTCAAGCAAGCCAGGTACTGAGGTTGCTGCCATTGCATAGTATTCATCCGATAACGAGCCTCGTTTAGTCTATTTTACAAGCCATTTGTGTTAGGAATGAGCCAAATGTCATTTTACTGCAGTGGGAGCTCACCATCGTTCCTGACAAGTAATGACAGAGCCTTTAGAGCACAAATTGATCTTTCGCAGTTCGTTAAGCGATCCGATAGTTTTGATCAGGAGCAAGTTCTCTGCTGAGCAAGCTTGGCAAGTAGAAAATGAAAGAGCCTTACAAACTTGAAGCACAGAGTTGGATGGCTCAGAGTTGCCAGGAGTCAATCTTGTCGGGTAATTGAGCGTAGTAGTACAGTCAGGCACAGCTCGCCAAGCTCCCAATTTGTGAGATCTTGGTGTTGGATTATGACTGGACTATTTTTGGAGGGTCAAGTCAGTTGCCAATCAAAGTGCTCAAAGTGTGGCAGAACACGTCATATGGCAAACTTACACTGTGAAACTATATTGTGGTTGGCTGACTCTCCTGCGATCGATTGAGAATTGTGGTAAAATGTTCCTTTGAAAACACGTTCATTCGCGATCAACGAGTCACGTTCATTTCGACCTAGCGAATATTCAGTACAGGTATATTACAGTTCTCATGTACGTTTCGATCAGCCCGTAGAAATCCCTAGTAATTCTGCCAGCGATTGCGTTGACTTAGTGAACTCCTTCCACATTTCGTGAAAAGCCCTGTGACTGCGACGTTGTGGTATTCTGATGCGGAGAGGTTGTAGTCCTCTTTGAGAAACTGCTAGCTTATAGATATGAGTCCAGACTCTATTCCCGTTCAGGTAAGATCTGTTGTCGTTCTTATTTCGTTGTGAAAGCTGAAACAAACTTTTTTTCCTGTCAGGTTTTTGCCAATTTGGGGTTGATCCTCTGGAGTTTTAGTATGTCGCTATGTCAATTCGCTCTTTCTTGATCTGCTCGATCTGACTCTTTTTTTTTTCCTAGTGGTAAATGACATCAATATTTTGGACAACGATTGGAGAATGCACACTCGCAGACCCACATACCAGCATTATAGTAGTCGTTCCACACTGACAGAACCTCCTACCATCTTTATACTAGTTACTGCCTCAAGTTTGGCTCAATTACCGGACTAAGAATGTGGGAAGCCTGAATATCAACTTTGTCTGGTTGGGAGCACGTATGAAATACCTTTTGCGAGTTTACCCCTGTGTTGCTTTGAATCTCATCCTTCCTCTCATTTTCTAGTATGGGCCCCCTTCTTTTCAGGGTTTGGACAGTTTCAAGGTCTTCCCATTCCTCTTCTTGTTCAAGGAGACCTTGTCGGCATTCTAATGGCTGTAGCGACTGCTCAAGTGCTTCTTTATAAGATGTACAGTGGACAATTTGCACCCTTGGGCATTTGTGATCCTCTCTAACATTTCGAGGTCTCGTAGGGGCTGGAAACAGAGCACTGCTATCCTGGTTCTCGTGTTTGCCGTCTTGGGAATGGCAGCATTGCAAGTAGCTGTATACTTCGCTGCTGTACACACTGCCGATATTGGTTGGCTGAATCGTATTTTGGGACTGATTTCGACACTTTTAATATTTCTCAGTTTCATACCTCAAAGTAAAGCTAGCATTTCTAAAACGACTGTGTTTGAATCTATATCTCACAGTCCTGAAATTATAGTTTGGGAAATCTTCGCGGAAAAGAGCGCCGTGGGACTTAGTTTGGCCTTCATCGCGTTGGACATTGTTGGCTCTATCTGTTCGCTAATCGCCCTGATACTGGTTGCACCGCCTGTGGATATAGAGAGTGCACTCAACTATATAGGAGTAACTCTTCTGGAGCTATGGATTCTGTATCTACGGTTTTATTTCATGAGGTTTCATGCCCAGAACCCTGTACCTGAAAAACGTGACATGGTGCACGTTGCTGCACCAGCTGATTCCACTGTAGATGTATTAGACGAATGAGGACCGTAATTATATACTTATTTATCAGACAGAATAGAACTTTCAGTATATTAGGCCTATTGCTATTACGCGAAGTCTTTAAGATAACGGACTGGCGCAAGAGGGCAATGGATAGCACTGCTCTTCTCACATTTAAAAACGTGTTTCTCATCCATTGCACGTCATTGCGCACGGTTTTTTGGACCAAGTAATTTACCCCCAATCCAAGAAGCCAAAGGAGTAGTCTGTCAATTACTGGAAGCAGAGGCAGATACATATAGGTCTGCATCATTGCCTTGTGCATTCCTTTTCTTCGACAGTTCGCGAGAACGAGCCAGCCGCCAACTTTTCTACTAAAGTTGTTGGACAAAGTTCCACGATGGCCGCGGTAGATCCTGGTATGATTTGTATAGATTACTACGTTTTCAAATGCATTGATTTCGTTTGACTAACGATGCGCCATGTCTTTCTAGGACCGGAGTGTGGGATCCAAGACATGACCACTTTAAATGTCTTGTCTGAGGAATCGATTATGGAGAACTTGAGACAACGATACGACTCAAAATTGATTTATGTGAGGATTGTTTCTTAATGGAAGCCAATACAGGACCCTTTACAGGCTACTTTACTAACTTTGACAATCTTAGACATACACGGGATCCATTTTGGTTGCAATGAATCCGTTTGCTACAGTCAATATCTACTCCAACGTAAAGAAATTGATTTATCTCAGCGTTTCTTACATGGATCTAACAATCCGGAAGTGCTAACCTGATTCCTATCATCTTAGATAATCCTGAAAAAGTACAATGGCAAGAAACTGGGTGAAAACCCACCTCATATATTCGCTGTCGCTGAAGCCGCATATGGAAATGTACAAAAGAGTAAATCGAACCAGTCAGTAATCATCTCTGGAGAATCTGGTGCTGGGAAATCCGAAAGTACCAAATTGATTTTGCAATATCTCACTGCCATTACGCAAAATCATGCTGGATCTGCTGGCTCATGGGTTGAACAGCAGATATTGGAAGCTAATACTATCTTAGAGGCTTTTGGTTAGTGTCTGGTTTGTGGTTTAATTTGAAGGCAGGCATAATTGACACAAATGTTTCTGTTAGGTAATGCAAAGACTGTGAGAAACAACAACTCGTCGCGTTTCGGTAAATTTATACAAGTGCTATTCAATAACGATCTAAGGATTATCGGTGCATCAATCGTAAACTACCTGCTGGAGAAATCTAGGGTCGTAAAGCAAGCCAAAATCGAACGAAATTATCACGTATTCTATCAGCTCGTACAAGGAGCTAACGATGACGAAAAGCAACGATACAAGCTGGGTGCAGCATCAGATTACCACTACCTCACACAATCAGGATGTATCGATATACCAGGTGTAAACGACAGGAAACACTTTGAAGGTCTGAAACTAGCCTTTACCGTATTGAAAATGGACGAAGATGGTATGAGAGGCACGTTTACTGCACTCTCTGGGATTCTGACATTGGGAAATGTTACGTTTAAACCCGACTCGTCTGGAGAAAGTGTCACAATCGCCAATCCAGATGTCGTTTCCAAGGTCGCTGGATTGTGGGGCGTAGATGAGAAGAAATTATCTGATGCCCTGATATACAAGAAATTAACTATTCGGAATGAGACGACCATGAAACCGCTCACACCAACTCAGGCATTGGATAATCGAGATTCTATTGCCAAGGCAGTATACGATAATCTGTTTCAAAGGATTGTAGAATTCATAAATGCGTCGCTGGTGGCTAAAGAAAAGTCATCGAGTTTTATTGGTGTTTTGGATATCTTTGGATTTGAGAACTTTGAAGTAAGCTAAGGATTTTGGCATGTGGTTATTTTTGCTAACAATTTATCCCAAAATTTAGATCAACAGCTTCGAGCAGCTTTGTATAAATTACACGAACGAGAAGCTTCAGCAATTCTTCAATCAGTTTATATTCAAGCTGGAGCAAGAGGAGGTATTTCAGAGCAAAAAAAGCCAGGTTACCAAACATGACAATGACATAATTTCGTCGTAGTATGACAAGGAACAAATCAAATGGGACAAAATTAACTTCACTGATAACGCCGTGTGTTTGGAGTTGCTTGAGGTAAATTCGTCAAACCTGATCCTATAAAGCACTGTCAAATACTCAAATACCTACAACATCTCAGGGCAAACCAGTTGGTATCTACGCCATGCTGGACGAAGAAACCAAAGTGCCAAAAGGTACAGACGACACGTATCTCCAGAAAATGGAAACCACACATGCCAAACACTCGAATTTCATAAAGCCAACCAAAGTCAGAGGTCAATTCGGTATTCGACACTATGCTGGAGATGTCTTGTACACTGTTGCTGGCTTTTTAGAAAAGAACAAGGATGCTATAGCTGATGAGCTTTATGATTTGATTTATGGGTCAAAGGTAAATGATACGTGGCTTGCCGGCATAAGCGAAACCCCCAGACTGATTGTTTTTGTCTGTGGTTAGATTCCATTCGTTGGTAAAATCTTCCCACCAAAAGAACCAGAAACTGCTAAAGGCTCAGCACCTGGCAAAAGTAGTGGTGCCAAATTGACTGCTGGTGGATATTTCAAGAATCAATTGGTTTCGCTGGTGTCTACATTGGGTGCGACTGCTCCACATTATGTGAGGTGTATCAAGCCGAATATGTCAAAAGAGGCGTTCTCGTTTGAAGACAGCATGGTGTTGTGTGAGTCCGCTAACTCTAGTTTTATTTGCCAATGCTCTCTAACGTATGTCCTTTCCTAAGCGCAACTGAGGTACTCTGGTATGCTCGATACAATTAGAATTCGCAAAGCAGGTTTCCCTGTGCGACTGGCATTTGATGCGTTTGTCAAGACGTACGTCATTCGGCCTTTGTCATGCTCCTTTTTGGGTGGCGATCAATGTCAACACATTTAAAATACGTAGATTCAACTGTCTGATACCAGCTGGAATGACGCTGAAATCTGATCCAAGACAAGTGGCCTCCAAGATCATGCAAGAGAGTAAAATAAAGCAAGAGAGTTGGCAAACTGGAAAGACGAAATTGTTCTTGAGAAGTGAAGGGGTATGTCCCGGCTGTTGCATCTTGCTTTTTTTGCTTCTTGCTTGCTGACACCTCTTTTCTGTCTAGATGGCAGCAGTACAAGAACGTGCTGACATCATATGGACGGTGAAAGTTATTGTGATTCAAAAGTTCATTAAGGGATTTCAAGCTCGTCAGCGATACCTGAGGAAGAGACAGGCAGTTATGCTGTTACAAAAGTGTACGCACCATTTTGCTGCAGAATTTTTTTATGTTGACGAACCCGTTTAAACCTAATCAATCTTTAGATGCTAAGGGCTTCGTATACCGCCGACTTTTCAAACGAAAGATGGCAGCCATCGTCACTATGCAAGCTGTCGTACGAGGATGGTTTGCTCGTGATTACTATCGCACTCTTAAAGCTGAACATGCAGCTGAAGTTCGTAGACAAGAAGAAGAAAAGAGGAGAGAACGCGAGAAACGAGAAAAGGCTGAAGCGGCTGCTGCAGCTGCCGCGGCCGCCGCTAAAGGCGTTGCACAGGCACCACCACCTCCTAAACCAACTCCAATTTCAAATGCTGGAGACGAGGAAGAGCTCAAAGCATTGTTGGTTGTTGCGCAAAAAAAGGTGTAGTATGGATGATTTAAATCAACGTATTGATCTAACGTTGTGATCTCATTATTTAGGCTGGCGAAGAAAACAACAAACGTCGTGCCTCAGTTATTGGTGCGCCACCACGACGACCATCATCCATTGGTCTGTTCCCACCACCTGTACCAGTCGCAGCTGCTCCCAAACTTGCTAAAATGGTTGAGCAACCAGACGACGGTGGCGGAGTCGATGATCTTTTCAGCTTTTTGGGCGATTTCAATAATGATAAGAAGAAGGCTGCTCCATTGAAGGGAGCTGCTTTGCTAGCCAATATGGCAGACATGTTGACGTCTGAGATTGATTCCATGTTTGATGATGGTCCTCCCAAACCATCCAGTCAAAACATGTCCCCTGGATATGCGTTGTTGAATTTGATGAAGCCTGTAGCTGCTGCTGCCGCGGAGCCAAAAGTCAAAAAGCTGACTAATAATCCGTTGGCGAGAGCTGCTGCTAACAAACCTATGGTATACGAATCTTGGACCTTGTCTGTTTTTTGTAGAATGTTGTGACTAACTGCCTGCCACTTTTTTTTAGAACGGCTCTGATGAAAATCTGCCAGAGAAATTCAACTATAATGCTCGTGAATGGCTGCTCAAGACGTATGCTGAGCATCACTTCGAATCGCATGCTCCATCGGCCAAGTCTGGTACTATCTTGACTTTGCGAAAGCAGCCGAAAGCAATGGCTCCTACTGATATTGATGAGATGCTTGTGTATACCAAGGTATTTGCTTCACGTTGTGCATTGGTCACGAATTGTTGCACTGATTTTTGCTCCTTTTCTTTAGCAACCTATAACATTCAGTATGACGTGTCTCCCTCGAAATGAACGTGTTTTGGATGCTGCGATTGAGTGTTTCAAGTGTAAGTAGCTGTCAGAAAAATTATGAATAGTTGACTAGCTCATGGCCGTTTTCTTTCGCACAGGGCTACTCAAAGCACTAGATCCAACACAAAAGAAAACCGAAGAAGGCTTTGTCTGCATCCAAAACATCATCACCACGGGTCTCGAGATGCCCGAATTACGAGACGAAATCTTTGTACAGATATGCAGACAAGTAACTGCACCACGAACTGGAAACATTCCTGGATGGGATGCTATTGTCATGATTGGTTGGCAAATCATGGCACTGACGACATCATGTTTCCCACCCTCCAAATTGTTTTCCAAGTTCCTGCAAGCCTTCATTCAGAGGACTCTGGAAGGGCTCAAGAGCAATGGTGAGATCACGAAAGGATGTCGACGAGGCGTTTTTCGCACTGACACAATGCTTTGTGATGTTGTAGCATTCTCGTCAATTCTCAAATTGGCTCATTCCTGTGAAGCAAACTTGAGAAATGTGATGTTAAATGGTCCTAGAAAGCAACCTCCTTCTATAGCGGAGATTTTGGCTATCAAGGTAAACAGCTATTATCTAGCTCATACTTGGTTCTTTTTGTTACCATTGTCCTTGTAAGCTCAGTCTCTTCAACATATAGAACGGTACTCCTATTCGCTGTGAAATTCACTTCATGGATGCAAACACCCAAGTAGTTGAAATCACCTCCAACATGTTGGCTACCGAGGTTGTCAAGGAACTTGGCTATCGCGTTGATTTAAAGGACACATTTGGATGGTCACTGTATCATCAGGACGATTTACAAGGTATGTCAGGTTCACGCCAAAAAAAGAAGGATCATTAAGAATTGTTTGCATGTCTAAGTCACAATAACTCGCAAATCTTCTCTAGTGTGGCACGTCATAAAATCTTCAGACTACATTGCTGATATAGTATCAGGCTGGGAATCTCGCCGAAAGCCTGCCATCGTCAACCTCGGATCACCTGCCTCATCGACCCCATCGGTAGCAACAGAATCTGGAGGCACTATAAAGAAAGGATTTCTGCGTTCCCGCTCTCCCTCCAAATCAGCACGAGATAGCGTCATATCCTCATCAATGCATTCATTATCACGAGACGGCAGTTTCGCAAGTAATGGATCACAAAATACTTCTCAAGTCTCGCTCCATATCACCGGCAGTGCAATTGAATTGGGCACAGCGTCAGCAGAGTCTCAAAAGATTTATCTGAGGAGACGATTGTTTAAGAATCCACAAGATCCTGTATTGGATCCTGTTGAGTATACATTGCTTTGGGCTCAGGCTACGACTGACACGGCTACTGATTTCCATCATGTAAACGATAAAGTGGCTGCTCAGTTGGCTGCGTTGAATGCGCAAGTAGCGTTCCCAGATTTGAAGAGAGAAGAGGCCAGTCTGAGAATGTAAGACTATTTATTCCGTTTCACGTGTATTTTTTCGCCATGCCAGTCAGCCTAAGACAGTTCTAAATTCATTTTGGGCTTTGACTTTGTAGTGGCAACAACATTGAGAAATGGCTTTCTCTTCGAGTATTGTCTGCCAGGTCCAGAGAACAGTGGAATTCGGCAGTACTTGAACAGTACGTCAAGCTCAAGGGCACCTCACCAATTCAAGCCAAGGTTATGTTTATGGAGAGTGCTAGATCATTCCGATTTTATGGTGCTACGCTATTCCCAGCTCGAGTATGTGCTTTAAGCACTATAGTAATTTCCTAATGTAGCTATTTTTGCTCTTGTCCTAACCAACATTCAAACGTTTCCTACAGTACAAGGGCTTTTGGTCATATGCCGAGAATGTACTTCTAGCGGTTGCATGCACGGGGATTGAAGTAGTGCACACCAAGACCCGTGAAACCATAATTGGTTATCCATTCTCCGAAGTGCTTTCCTTCGAATACGACAATGATGTCGTATCCTTCACCGTGCTCCACGCTTCCGACAATGACGAAGAAGAAGGCCGTGGTGAAAAGACTGCTCAAACCACCTACCAGTTTATAGCATCACAAGCTGAAGAAGTAGCCGCCCTTCTTCGAGAATACTACCCGACACAAGGAGGGGCCAGGAAACCAAAAGACACCTCCATGCATCTAGATGCAGTAGCTCTCACCAAGGATTTGGAAAAGAGACGAAATATCCTACTTCAAAAGCAGCTGTTACGTATTCCTGGTCCAGATGGCGGTACCCGTACTACCAAAGCAACTGGAACCATACGAGCTGCCAAACCAACTTCAAGTCGACCTGTGAATTCGTTTATGCGTAGTGATAAGGACAAGGATCCTGCTGAGATCGTGCCTGTGCCTGGTACACAACCAGGGTTGGCGAAGATCAATAGCAAGATGGCTATTAGTTTAGAAGCGTATACGGAAGCTGATTGGTGCTTCTCCAAAACGCCTTTGGTGCAGAGTTTGAGTACGCTTATGGCGCCTATAGAGTGGGATGAGTGGTCTGTTGCTGCCCACAAAGGTGTGTATAGTAATCTCTTAATATTGTTTTTTTTGTTGGGCACTCACATTCAAAATGCTCTAGTGATTCTTGGATATGCTGGCATAACTCCACTAGACAGAACACCAGGAGACCCAGCACAATGCCCACATGCCACAACACTGCAAACCCTCATTCAAAAAGTAATTGAAACACCCGAACTAGCAGACGAACTCTACCTGCAGCTATGTAAAATGACATCATCGCATCCTGACCCCGACTCGATACAAGGTCTCGCAATGTGGAAGCTGATGGCTATTTGTGTTGGAATTGTGATTCCGAAGGGCGACGTATTAGAGTATTTGAAGGCACATTTAAGATGTGCGTCAAATGTTGAAAAGGGCAAGATTAGAGCGAGGGTTGAGGAAGCCAAGTATGCGAGATATTGTATGAAGATTTTGCAAAAGACTGCTACTGCACGTAAGCTGTTTGAAAGTTTAGATGGTAATCCAACTTATTCTCACCTACTGCACGTGTTTTTTAGCAATAAGAAAGCTGAGTCCATCTGTCGATGAAATGATGTCTGCCACTGTAAGTGATTTGCATTGCACTGAACTGACCCAACGTCTTTTAACCACTCGTTTCGCCAAAAAATATTTTAGGGAGCTAAATCAGTTCAACTCAAAATCCATTTCTTGGATGGTCAATTCAGAGTTATTATGGCTGATCCCTCATCGACGTTTGATGATATTTGTAGTAAGTCACACCAGGACCTCCGCCTTTAGCCATGTTGTTTTTGTCCTCACCTAATCATTTTGTAACCATCTTCTTTCTCACTACAGAATCAGTGCTCGACAAACTGAAAATGAAGAACGCGAATGGGTTCTGCATATTTGAAACCCACAACAATACGGAACGAGACCTTGGCAAATCCGACTATTTGGGTGAAACACTCTCGCAGTGGGAAAAGATCACCAAATCCACACCAGGATCCGAAAAGGTCAAATTCATATTCAAACGCCGAATATTCTACGCACCTCAAGAACGAGGTCGTTCGGATCTCGAAGAAGAATTGCTTCGTGCACAAGCAATGCAAGAAGTAGTGAAGGGCCACTTCCCATTAACGACAGACGATGCAGCACTACTGGGTGGCCTATTATCTCAACTTACGTTTGGTGATTGGACACCTGCTGGATATTCACCTTCATCACCAAATCAACTCGTCGAAGCTTCGAATGCCGCCAAGTATCAGTCAATCACAGAGCAATACTTCCCCAAGAGTATTGCAAGTGTGCATTCTTTAGAATCGGATATTGAGAGTATACATAAGGGCCAAAAGGGACGAAGTCATACGGAGACGCAAATGCAATTAATGAAGGTGTTTAGGTCTTGGAAACTGTATGGAAGTAGTGTGTTTGATGTGTGGCAGAGCTATACGAATGAGATTCCGAATGACTGTTGGCTGGCGGTTAATGCTGACGGTGTGCATATTTTGGCTAGGAATTCAAAGGTATGTAGAGTTGTGTGATATCTCGTCAGATCAAAGCTTCATTGTCGCAGATGCAGTTTATGTTGTTTTCGTTGACTCAATTTTCTCTCCTTCTCGTTTTATAGGACTCACTTGTAACTCACGCATTCAAAAACATTGTGTCGTATTCACCATCTCAGAAGAGTATCTTGCTAATTACTGGTAGTGTCACTTCTGGTATGCAAAAAAACCAATCTTCACCTTGAAGAACGAATTGCTCATCCATTTCTTCTTCGTACCACTTAGGTACCAAATATGTGTTTACAACATCACAGGCATCATCCATCGCTGGTCTCATTAAGGACTACAGTGAAGCAAGTTCGAAGTATGGAGCTTCAGCAATGACAATCAAGAGGAAATAGTACGAGTCAAGTACTGTGGCGCTAGAGACAGTCGAACCTTTTTAGCATTTTTATACCCAACCACTGTTTATGCAATAATTTACAACTCTGTACCATCAGTGCACTAACAAAGGGAACCAGTCCTTTCCTGTTTTTATCTAAAAGATATTTAAATATTTACAACTAGACTGGTTTTAGATTCTCTTTGCTTGCATGCCTCCTTTTTTTCACAAGTCACATAGCTTTATGTCAAGAGTTTTCTCGGCGTCCCCATCACATCGGGGTTTCTTTACAGCTTTGTACTATCAGCGCACACTCCAAAGAACAACAGCCATGAACTTCTTCGTTTTCTCTAAAAGACAATTTTATTTTCATCACAAAAATTTCTTGTTTCTTATTATCAGACTTAGTGCAAAGGAACTGTTTATATTGTTACGTTAAGAAACCACAGACACACCCTCCAAAAAAACTCACAACACAAGCAAACTGTCCAGCAATGACTCTCCCCCTCTCTCTTTCCCCTCTCAACTTTTACTTATTCCACACACTACAACTCTCACTCTCTCTCACATCCAAAGACAAATACTTATTAGTCAAAAAACCAAAGTTACAGCTCTCTGCGATTTCTCTCGTCTTTACAGTTTGGGCATGGCATGGAGCGTCCCGAATACTGGCGTAATACCATCAGCAGGTGGTGCAGCACCAACGAGCTTAACTCCATCAGCGAAGGCAGCTCGTAGCACATCATCCACCCTCTTGGCAAATATAAATTCGATTTCATCCTGCACGTTCTTGGGCACGTCTACTAAATCCTTGGCGTTTCGGTATGGCATGATGATTCGTCGGATGCCTCCTCGATGAGCAGCTAGGACCTTCTCCTTGATGCCTCCTACTGGAAGTACTTGGCCTCGGAGAGTGATTTCACCAGTCATAGCTGTATGTTCTCGGACTGGTTTGTTTGTGAAGAGGGATACTAGAGCTACTACGATCGTAACACCAGCACTAAAGGGAAACGAATAAAGAGTCAGCGCTGAGCGTCACTATCGGATGATAAGATTTGATTTTTTTTGCCTCCCCATCACCATCGACATCACAGCCCAAAGGGCGCAACCCATTCACCGCATACCTTGGCCCATCCTTTGGAATAGCACCAGCAGGGAAATGAATATGCACATCAATGTTCTCCAAAAGTGACCTCTCAGAGTTTCGTGTTGTGATACCCATCTTGGTAGCATTACCACGGACCCAAGTTAAACCAATTTGAGCTGATTCTTTAATCACATCACCAAGTTTTCCAGTGAGTTGTAGTATTCCTTTACCGGGGACAGATGTAGCTTCAATAAATAGGAGACCACCTGCACCAGAGGCTGTCCATGCTAGACCAGTTACTACTCCTGGCACTGCTGTTCGTTCTGCTACCTCGTCGTCAAATCTGTCGGGCTGTGTGTGAAAAGTTGTAAAGATGTGAGCTGCATTGTGGTTGGGAGCAAAAAAAAAGTGACGATGAAAATGATATTTTGCCCATATCGACACTCCCAAACACTCAACAACAAACTTACACCCAAAATCTTCTCCAATTTCTCCAATGATACATTAGGATTATACAAGTCTGGATTTCCCTTCTCCTTGGCATCAGCGTAGTCAACAGCCATGGCTCGGCATACAGAAGCGACTTCACGTTCAAGATTACGAACACCCGCTTCCCGAGTATATCCAGTGGCAATCTTCATCAACACTTTATCATCCATCTTGACGTCTTCTTCTCGCAGACCATGCATTTTAACTTGCTTTGGTAACAAGTGGCGTTTTGCGATAAAGAGTTTCTCCTCGAATGTATATCCTGGTATGCGAATGACTTCCTGTGTACGTTGTGTTTATTGAGAGTGTGTGAGTATTATGTTGTAAACACTCGCGAATGAGAAACGCGAAACAAAATTCCAAATGCCGAGCATGCATCCACTGAGTGATAATCCCATTCGACACATACCATACGATCCAATAATGGTCCTGGAATAGTATCAGCCTCATTTGCAGTAGCAATAAATAGTACATTAGACAAATCGAATGGAACATTGAGGTAGTGGTCAGAGAATGTGCTGTTTTGTTCTGGATCCAATACTTCCAATAGAGCAGAAGATGGATCACCACGGAAGTCTCGTCCTAGTTTATCAATTTCATCTATACGAGATCAGAACAGATGGTGAGATTGGATCACCACATGGTGTCGTTGTATGGATCCAATTTTTGCTTCGCTTCATCAAGCTCATTCATTGAAAATCTCATGACTGCAAGCTTACCGAGAAGAAAGACTGGATTGTTGACAGTCCCGCGACGTAAACCTTGCACAACAAGACCAGGCAAAGCACCAATATACGTTCTACGATGACCTCTGATTTCGGCTTCATCCCTTACACCACCAAGCGATATACGATGGAACTTACGGCCCATGGCATTAGCAATCGATCGTCCCAAGGACGTCTTTCCAACACCAGGAGGACCCAAGAAACACAAGATGGGACCTTTCAAGTCTTGCTTCAATTTACGTACAGCCAAGAATTCCAATATACGGGTCTTGACTTTATCGAGACCGTAATGGTCTTCATCTAGTTGCCAACGTGCTCTCGAAATGTCCAAGACATCGGTTGTGGACAGAGACCATGGGACTTCGGCGAGCCATTCCAGATATGTCCTGACTACTTGGTATTCAGCCATGGAAGGATGCATTCTCTTGAGACGTTTTAGTTCTCGACCAGCGGCCTTAGCGGGCTCGTCTGGTAGTTTAGCGTCGTTTATTCTCTTTGACAAGTCTGCTACTTCATCTTCTTCTTGGGCATCACCATCTTCACCCAATTCCTTCTTGATGGCATCCAACTACGTAACGGATTGAGAAATGGTAAGCTCGGCTGTGCTGTTGCATGATTCGTGATACAGATCGACTGATTTGCGACAAAGTGGATGTACAAAACGGTCCGATTCGATTTCCCCATCATAACTATTTGCCCTTCAAACAAAAACAGGATTCATCCAGCGTGAGAAGGAGCATCATACCTGTTGTCTCAAGAAGAACTCTCGCTGCTTCTTTCCCAGCTTGGATTCTACCGTTGACTGCAGCTTCTGCGAGATCTTGAGCACTTGAATCTGTCGAGTCAACAACTCTAGAGTTCGAGTGATTCTCGTCTTTAGATCCGTAGTGGATAGAACGGCTAGTTTCTCATCCATGGATAGGTCAATCATGGAAGCAAACAAGTCCGCCAATTGACCAGGTGGTGTACCATCCAACATTTGACGAAGTTGGTTTAGTACGGTTGCGGGTAGTTGAAGTTGAGACAAGACTGATGCGAGTTCTATGGTTGGACAGAGAAACAAACAATGTTAGTCTTAGTATCCTATAAGCTTGGTAGGCCTTGATCGAGATGACGTGTTTGATGAATCAGCTGATAATTACCATGACCAGATGTTCGCAGGTTGATGATGAGAGCTTGTAAATCCTTGTCTCTACTATCGGGCATTTCTAAAATAATGGACGTGGGCGTGTCAATATACAACGTATCGGTCAAAGTGGGTCAAAAACATGAGCAATATTACCATTCTCTGGGAATGTTTGGATGCTTGCTTCAAAGTATGGCGATGTTTTAGTCAGCTTGTTGATTTTGAATCTCATGACACCTTTGGAATGAAGAAAGAGTGATGTTTAGTATACATAATGAACTCTATCGGCTTATCTAAACATTTGCAACGAAGTGCGCAATAACTACCTTCCAGAGTAACAATGTAGCTAGCGCGAGTCAATCTAGCCTCATTAGCATTATTCTTTACAAAGTTGACAACTCTGGCAGCGACACCCCATTGGAAGAGCTCAGAAGCTTCAATGGGTTTACGTGGATCGTCGGGTTTATCTGATTGTGGTTGGCGAGCACCTCCAGTGCCAACGACACTCTTTACGCCGGCGGTAACACCTTCATTAGATGATGGAGAAGGGTTCTTTGCAGTTGGATCGTCCGGAGATGGCTTTACGGGGACACACCCAATGACAATGTTAGGATCCTTCGCATATCTCGACCATAAAGTATCCATGAGTTGAGTAGTGTCTTTCCTTCCTATCTGCAATCGCATAACTATGCCGGGTAGGAGGACTCTGGAGTAGGAATGGCATTGGATATTTGTTAGAGTTTGGTGATGTTGTGGGAAATCGCATCAATAAACAAGTCGTTACCGGTTGTTTCTGGTGGGAATCAAAGGAAGGACATCTGGGACAGTGACTTTATCAGATGGCTTGCTCATGACTGGAATTGGTTGCCGTTTGTCTAGTGCGGTGTTGTATGAGTGTGTGTGGGATGAGTGGCGATTCCAAATCGTTCAAGTCGTGACGTCGCAATCATCAACCTCAACGGCAAAACAGCTGACCAAAGGAACGGGTGACGTTTTCGATCCTGGAAGCAATATATATTATAGTATAACGCGTTCATAATGCTTGATTGTATTTTACTGCGGTTTTCGTGGACGTCGTGACAGTGAGCCTTGAACAACACCCATCACAATACACTGTATAAAAGTACCACTATTGGCAATGCTAACGTTGACAAGTTTACATTTTAATGCTTATCGTGGCGTGAGATGAGTGACTCGGCAGTTGCGTCGCCACAAACACCACCAGCGATTGGACACATTAGATCAACACGAGCTAGATCCACAAGATCACCATGTCAGCGTGTCAGGAAGATCAAATCGACTGTCATTACTGCAAAACTTACGTGACTGACCGTCCCAATCGATTGCGAAAGCTGCAAAAGTATCCTACTCGGTGAAAAGTGATCAAACGTCTCCGGCTGGACGGTGTAAGACAGATCTACAAAGATACTGGCGCGACTAATACGGACTTGCTTTCTTCCCTCCAATCAGCTTTTGTTTGTCCTTGATTCGGTGGTCAACCAGGCAAGCTTACAGGACGACCTCAAAAGTTCAATCTGCTCAGAGACGAGTCAATCTGTGGCATATAGGCAGGCAAAGTAAAATATTAGAGCCATGTCTCCCGGCCCTGTAGCTGGCACTAGAATCGCAGAGGTAGTTGTTCTGTTGGGTGTCTACGGAAAGAGCTTTCAAAGGTACTGACTGGCTTTCTAACTTCCCATCCTTACAAACAGCCTGAAGTGGCCTACGAGAAGGCTTCTGCTGCCGGTGAAGATGCAATCAACTGGCTTCAAGAGTATCTCCTCGAAAGGTGTGGCCAATTGCCTCGAAATACAAGACATCAAATCAGTGGAGCACACTACCACCACTGCCTCTCTCCGACTTATTTTCATCTACAAACTGAAACCATTTTCATATCTTTTTTCAGATCCGAGATCGAAAAGGATTATTCGGACAGGCTACGGAAACTACAAATGAGGTTTAGCTCAAGAGCCTTTCCTGCTCCAAGAGACGGCTCACTCGTCAAAGCTTGGGATTCGAGCTTGAAACTGGCCAAGGAACTAGTCGAACATCATCGGGCTCTATCTGAGAGACTGGGTACTCTGGGTGCTAATGTGGCAGAGTCATGGGGTGTACGTTGACGATGCCGCATGGGAAGACAGTGTCTGCCTTTGTTCGCCTTTGTCACTCACGGCTACACTTTATTTAGAAACAATATGGACTGACGAGGTACCTGCTCACGAATGAAATCAAGGCTAGCAACATTGCTTACAAGGAAAAGACCAAAGTCATGAGAACGGTACATATTACAGACGTCCAGCGCGACCTCTTTTTTCGCTCCTGACTTTTCTATTCGTCGCCTTCTTTTCATACTAGTTTGGTGACAGATATAATGCTGCCGGCGCTGCTCTCGAAACGCTGAAAAAGGAAGATCCGAGAAATTCGAGTAAATTGAGTAAAGCTGAATCTGACTTGCGAAGTGCAGATCAGGCTTATCGAGAATCAGTCGTCCAGCTAAAGAAGGAAAAGGCTACATATGATGCCGCCGGTGATGCTTTTGAATCTGTATGTACAACTTGCTATGGGAGCGTGTGGTAGAACCTCGGGCGTTAAGATCTTTGAGACAGCAACATAATCTTCCGATGCTCTTTTTTTCGCCGCGTCGCTCCAGTGAAGCGTTGCCATGAACAATTTACTAAATATACTAACTCTCTCTCTACCTTAGAAATGGAGAACATTAGAAGAAACAAGAATAACAAACACAGCCGATACATTCACTGAACTGTCCACCGCTGAACAAACCCTCACAGCAAATCGTCAAGTCCTCGTCACATCCCTCATAACATCCATATCCTCGATAGACAAATCACGAGACATTCAACTCTTCACATCCACCTTCCGATGGCCAACCCTCTCGCCCATGTCAATATCAGGGCCTGGCCCACGAGATCCCTCCACGAACGCAGTAACCTCAGTCCAGCTAAAAGACCTCTTCTTCAACATTCGTCTAGAAATTGCATATGACAAAACCATCCCTATAGTCTTGTCACGATGTATTGAGGCTGTTGAAGCTCGTGGATTGGATCGGGAGGGTATTTATAGAGTTCCTGGTAAAGCTGTGGATAGAGAATCGCTGACTTCGGCTTTTGAGAGGGATGAGGCTGCTGTGGATTTGACTGAAACTGGATCTTACGATGTGAATGCTATTGCATCGCTAGTGAAATATTATATTAGACAGCTGCCTGATCCGTTGTTTCCTATTGATTCTAAAGATGTGGCCGAGTATCCAAAGAGTAAGCTCCAGCGTTTTTTTGGTTGGGTCAGCATGGTATACGAGAAGGGTGGATGCGGGAATGAAGAACTGTTTCTGTGCAGTTGATCTGACCAACCGTGGTGCTAAACGCCATTCTCAAATTTAGTACCGGAAGGACAAAAACCATTCTGGTTGATTCAAAAGCTTGCACCAGGTCCACCAACTCATAAAACTAGAGCTCATCAGCATACCATGCGTGTGCTAGTAGAGCATTTGGCAAAGTAAGCTCAGATTGACTGTGTTTTGTTTCCAAGTGCAAAAACAAGTGTTGTATTGATCAACACAAAATCATCTTAGGATTGTCGATCACTCAGAAACAAACAAGATGACTTTAATTAATATCGCTACTGTATTTGCACCAGTCATTTTCAACATGGGCGGTGATGAAGATACAAGTAACTCAGGTAGTCGAACCAATCTAAGTAATATCTTTAACAGAAAGGATGCGAATGGATTGGAGGATAAAGCTAAAGAGATTGATACTCTCGTATTGGTAAGTTGAAAACTGACCAAGAGGTGCTGTTTCAAGAGCTGGTGTGGTGTTGGTAGAGCGCGATGCAATTAGTATCGATCATCACGCTTGAGATCGGGGGGTTTTTTTTGGCTCAAACAATCCTCATCTGATCTCTTCACTAATCTTCTTGCTGTCTCTATAGATAACGGAAGACACGATCCGACTACGGAATCTCGTCTTTCCAAAGCTAGAAGGTGCTTACCCAAGCCAATCAACATCTTCTGCAAGCACACTACCAAGAACATCATTAACGAATGCCTCAATGGCATCGTCCATCCCAATGTCATCGTCTCCACCATCATCCTTATCGACTCTTGCATCTGCTGCTCAACAGCAGCAGCAACACCAAACGACAAATACAACCGGAAACTTCTCAGACAATCTACCAACTCGTAATGATTCACTCCCTGGACAACCAGTACCGCCTCGGGGTGTATCACGAGCACCTGGTCCTGCAGTGAAGCCTGGGTCGATTAGTACGGCTAGTACGGGTGGAAACAGTAATAGTGATCCTGCATCACCTGTTGCTTGATAAGAGGAAAAAAGAGAAGGTGGTATATGGTGGTGCGTATGGGGTGTATGATTCCGTTTGTAAAAAGCAATGCATGTGGCTGGAACGTTTGTCCTTTTATTATCTCTTATATTTTTGTTGTGGAGTTTTCTCTTTGGAGGGTTGTAAAGTTCTGGTGATGGAGTTGTTTGGGTTGAGAGAGGGAACCTGTATCTTTTTTTATTGAAGACAAGTAAATTGAACATGGTGTTTAAAGAGCAAAAAAAGAAGTGTGGCTGTTTTCAGGCGTGTGCTGATGTGCGTACGAGAACAAAACGACACGCAAATGGTTTGAGAAAAATGAGGAACTATAAATGCTTTTTTTCTAGTACTAGCTAACAGTTTTGGTTTCTGTTTGTTAAGTGTCTATGGAGCTTCCTAATACGTTTGTGTGGTGTGTGTGCCTATACCATGTACTATGATATGAGGTGGCTTGATTCAGCGATGTGGATCTTGGTGGTGGATTTATGTTATTTTCGGGTAGAGAAGAAGATGTTCCTTATTGCAGTGGTAATGATCGAGCTGCTTGGAATAATCAACCTGCGTCCAAGGAGGAAGAAAATACAGGCGATAAATCCACGGATTTCAGTGAGTAGATCTTAGAGATAGCTTGTCGCAATAAACCTTGAGTCATTTACTCAGCATGGTTGTACCCTTATTATGTCAATAAAGAGATATATCATTTCCTCAAACAAAGATTTCGTTTGCTCTATGAGTTCTATATGTGTAGGCTGTTCAAAATATACAAGCATTATGATATTCTACAAGACACCTGGCGCTTTAAACTTGGCCTTTTTATCCGCCTTGCCCTTGACACCCTTCCAATGTCCTCTCGCACCACTAGTCAACTTGACAATGAGATCACAAGCACGTCCTCTTGTCATGCTCTTCATATCATCCGGACTCAACACGGATGGCACAAACTTTCTCAAATATCCCATCTGTTTATCTGACGGGGGAAGATATCTCCATCCGGCATTCCTCAAATGATGAAATCCAGGTAGATACTTTATAGTATATGTGTCTGCAGCTCGTATAGCAGAAGCCAACAAGTCCGCGGAACATACATTTATAGTCTTTGTGATGTAGCTGCTACCACCACCTTTAGGTTTGATTGGCGGCCTGAATCGACGAGTGACATTATATATTTGCTTTGGGCCAGCTATATCTTGACCATCAATTATCAGAGTGCCATATCTGGATGTCAAGTCCAAGACAAACTTGTGTGGTCCTATTCTCACCCATGCGTTTCTCGAGTATTTACGTAAGACATGCATATCGGCTTCGTCTGCGGAGGATGTGAATGGATTGTCGTAGTTGACTAGTTTCACATCGACCTGTTTATTTCGTTGCAGCATGCTTTCAAACATGTCTTCGGCTTCAGATATTGTCTTTGCTGTATCCAATATCTGAGGAGCACTATATATGATTGGACGCAGCCGGCGAGAAGCAGTAGCGATATCGTCATCTCCTAGATCGAAATCAACTGGCAATCCCAACAATGTAGGGGCAGTTTGCTGCTGTCCTAGAGTTCCGTGAGTTGTAGTATCGACAAAATCAAGTACAAGACAGTCCGTTTTATCAGGATGAGTTCGTAGACCACGACCAAGCATTTGTAGTAGTAGACCTGGGAGTGAAAATGTTCAGAAAAGGATGTAAGGATTCATAGATGCACATAGAGCGAAGTGTTTTTGCCAGCTTCATATACCTGCTGATCGCGTGGGTCGTGCTAGGAGAATCGAATCAATGATGGGAAAATCGGCACCTTCCGTCAAGATTCCACAATTTACCAAGACAGGAAATCCACCTTCTCGAAATGCGGATATTATAGTTGACCTTTCGTGTGCTTTGGTGCTTGAACTCACGGCTCGAGCATCAATTCCGTGGTCACGAAATCGTTGTACTAGAGCCATGGTGTGCATTACATCTGTAGCAAAGACTAGTGTTGCCTTGCGACCATCTGGGACTGGGAGGAGAGAATGCTTATGAGATCAAAAGAAATGATGCAGATACTATTTGTGTATACATATACAAACCTGCGACTTGTTTGTAAGTTTGCACTACAATCTCATTCCTCGACATATTATTAATCTCTTGCGACAGCAGAGTCTGATCAAAATCCGTGTCTGTATCACTGACCGCTAAATTCTTCTTCCATTGAGTCTCAGTAGCAACTACTTGAATTCTCATGTTGCATAGCCTAGCCACAAAAACAAATGAGAGGAACATGACGGTATCATCGTAAAACAACATCTTTACCATCCTGCATCAATCATTTCTCCAACGTCCTTGTGGTATACAATCTGTTGGAATACATCGCCAAGTGACACTCCATCATGTCGACGTAACGTAGCCGAGCAGCCCCAAAGAAGTATATTCGAGCTAGGATCTCTGGCACCAAAATGATCCAGAACTCTTCTATACACTTCAGCAGTTCCGTGATGAGCTTCGTCAATGATAACACATTTAAACTCGTGTGGTTTGTAGGCAGCCAGCCGATTCGAATCCTGGCGTCCTAGCGTCTGTATACTAGCTACAAATACATCTGCGTCCATATCATCGGGTTTGACAGCTCCCTTATCCATAGTGACTCTCTGTATCAAAGATCATGTAAGTTTCGTCAGGTCCATGTTCGTTCTATGCATAAAAATACCAGATGCGGATTCAGTTTCTGACAAGTATAAAACGCTTGGTCCAATAATTCCTCCCGATGCGCCAGAATGAGTGATCTGGTCGCAGTTTCTGATGGGTTTGGAATTCGAGGAATCAATGATGAGAAAATGACCTGGTTGACAGGTATTAGCACAAATGATAATGGAGAGAATATGCAAAATATTACTAAAGGAACTACCGTCTTGCCGGATCCAACAGGCAGGGATACTGCTTGTCGTTTAACACCATTCCGTAAATGTTGTAAGCTTGTTTCAATACATTCCAACTGATATGGCCTTAGTGTAGGCACATTCGACGTACTCGCGTGTCGATTAATCAGGAGTAAGGCTCCAAAATGGATGGACTTACTGGCCAACGCATGTTTTCTCAGAATCATTATGGTTGCTTTTGAAGGTACGAAAGTTGAAGAGTGGGCCACTGGCAGCAGACGAAGGAGTCGAAGGAGGGCACAGAGCGAAATGATTTTGTTTCAAGACAATAACAACTTGAAATCTGCCTGTTAGATTCTGCATGTGAGGACGAGCAATCCTACAACAAAATACATGTTGCGAGAGTCCGAACCCAAAAGTCAGAATTCTACGTAGGAGCGGAGTCGCCGAAGATTCAAGAGATTTACTTCGCATTCTTTGTAGTTTTTGACCCCTTGGCGACCAACCTTTTCAACTTGACAAAAACCGTAATAAAAGGGACGCATTTCAGAAACTTGAAACAAGGAAGATATAAAGGCAAGTTGAAAGAACCTCATTACACGCCAATTCAGGATCACTGTCATAGTCTTGCCGCCGCTTCTATTTATACCTATCGCGTAAATCTCACAACTCATCTTCAATTTTTTGTTGTAACATAGACTCACCATGTCTGCTCAACCAGCCGCCACTGCCTCTCCGACTACTAAGCCAGCAGCATTCATCCATACTCCTACTTTCTACGAAACCAAAGGTGATTCTTTTCGCCCTCTTCCTCGACATCAAAATTTCACAAAAACATGGCGGGAATCAACTGTTACCAAACAACCCACCTCGTAACTGACAAATTATTCATAATATTAGGGTACAACACTGCATTCTTCGCACCATGGACCAACCCAATTGTAGGATGTGCCATGTGCTACTGTACGTTTGATCCAGTTCTTAACACGTGCCTGACAACAACAACATTTTTGTTCAAACTCAAAGACAAAGAGGTCGAGAATACTCATAACTATCTTTCAACCAGGTGCCCCATGTCTTTTGGGTTGCGTCAGTGGTGAACTTGACAAGAAGGGATTCGATGTCTGCGGTATGTCCCAGCAAAACTTCAAAGTTCTCCTTTGTTGCATGTTCAAAGCAAAATACAAACTTTGGCTAATTTCTCATCAATCTCAGCCTGTTTGTGCTCTGGACTCTATGCCTACAGACTCAGACGTCGTGTTCAAGCCATGTTCAACATTGTTGAAGATGAAGTGAGTACTCCGCCAGCACTCAAAACCCTTACTCATCCTCACTCACGGGTTCTTTCCTCAAAAGGACTCCACAATGGTCGCAATTGGTCTTTGCGGCTGTTGTTCAGCTACTCAAGACATTAACGAATTAGAGCACCGAAAGGTCACCAAGATCTTTGAAGCTGCTCCCAAGCCCGTTCCTGCTCCAGCTGCTGCTGCCCCAGCTGCTGCTGCTCCAGCTATGGCTGCTGTCTCTACTCACGCTGCTGATGCTACTACTTCATCTGTTGCCCCAACCTCGATTCCTTTGGAAAAATCCGAGGCATCGGCATCTGCTCCCAAGACCGAGGATGTAAAGGCAGAGCTTCCCGGTACTGCTGTATGAAACTCTAATCTGCTTACAGATTTTCAAAAACTCTAATGACACTGTACTCTATAACACATAATTGGGCCTGTTTGGTGAAAGGAAGCCCACGACATAGAAGGAAATTATGATACCCAATGCTTATGATTAATACATCTGCTCTACTTTATCAGTCAGGTTGCATCAAGATTTAAGTTTAAGATTCTGTTTTGGGATATGAGCATTCCAACAAAACGGACAAGGAGACAAGGAAAGGACACCTCAATCTTACGATAAATACTTTGGCTTTATTTAATCAGACACCTTGAAATTTTACATTCTTTGCGTTTTTGACAGTCCGTTTCAGAATATGAGAATTCCAATAAAATGTTTTATACAAATCAAATTTTTCTTCTACCCAGTTCTGATTCGAGAGAAGGAGGAGCGCTTCTTCTTGGTAGCTTGAAGCACATGCACAAGCTCCGTGGCTTCATCCACAAAATGAGACGGCCTCAAGTTCTTGTCTACCTTCCATCCAATGAGAGATGATATTGATACGTGATCGACATAGGCACCTCCAGCCTTTGTGGTTTTATTACTACCAGTGATTTCAGCAACTAGGCCACCTAATCCACCACTGCTTTGTGAGCTAGACCTACGTTCGGATGCCTTTTTGTTACTGCCACTACTACGGCTGCTTCTATCTAGAGTGGTTCGACGGTCTGCTGCTGCTCTTTGCCAATGTGCAAAGTCAGTAAACCCAATCTGACGGACATACTCCTTGTTACCTACTACTTCGTCTCGTATGGTCGAAATCCACAATCTCCGATCAGCTTCAGTGGGCGGGAAGCGTGTCATATGCATGGTGAATCGGGCTATGAGTTGAGACATGTGGGGAGCTGAGTTAGGACATAGTGCTGCTCTAGCTATAAACCTAAAGTGGTGTGGCTCAATCGTGCATCCCTCATCAAACAAGAAGAGGAGAAGCTTCCATGGATCTTCTCTAGGTCGATAATGTTTGATTCTGGCTCCCAATTCTCCCAACCACATCAAGAAGTCAGAGAAGCAATCTCTCGAGAAGCGATGATTGGCCCCAAACCTTTGTAAGATCCACTTCCATGCTACATACGGATGCGTTTGATCATATATACGAGTGCGATAAGGTAGTCCTCGTTGTTTATTCATCAACGATTGAGCAATGATTTCCTCCTCAAATGAGAAGGCCTCAATGAGTGAACCGATTATCTCCCCGACAAAGTCACCATTAGGCCCCATTTGATGTTCCAAGACTTCAATTGCATATGGTCTTATTTGTCCCATTGGTAGTATCTGAAGTGATAAATAATGATAAACATATGTTTTGATACTCTGCTCTCCGTTGCTGCATACCTTGCTTAACGTGGTGACGACATTAGCAGCCGAGTGATCTGTCAAGACTGCTATTATTACGGATGGCGATATGGTGAATCCACGAGATAGATATGATTGGATTTGGGAGTATGATGTGTTCGAGTTGGTCAATGCGAAATGCATGATACGATTATTTACGGTGGTTGTGTCGTATCCATACTACGTATAAAAATTTAAATTCAGGCCCATGTATGTACATAAAATTGTAGATCAATCAATTAGCTTACCTTTTCAATTAACAAATCCAACAAGGAAATGTCATATTTAGTCAGATGATACAATCGAAAAACAGCTGTTGGTGAAAACCTTTCCATTGGTATAAACCCAAACTTGTCTATCATTTCTCGGACTTGAAGATGATTTGCAGCCAAATCGTTCGTCAAGGCCTATCAGATATAAGTTTAAACTGGTGGACCTAATGAGTCACGGACGTCCCAATGCTAAAACGACATACTTCGAAGATTGCGATATCATTGCCACCCAGGTTTGCATCTTCACCATAAAGATCAGTAGCCCGAATCTGGATTAAAGCCATAACATCGTCTCGATAGATATCATATAAGGCCTTCCATCCAATATTATTCTGAGCGAGGAACCGAGGAACAAGAGTTCCCGTTTTGATGAGATGCCTGGTCAATGATGGATCCAATAGGCGAGGATGATGCAAAAACGTTTGCAAGAGTGCCAATTGTCTTCCATATCTCGTGGTTAAATGCAATGTGCGCACTTGATGGTCTTGTGACTATGATTGCATATGGAACAATCTGAGTGAGCATACTTGATCCAAAAAACGCATTCAGAATCTGAACATTTGATGGATCTCTGTCTTTGATCCATCCCAACTGACGAGTGCATCATCCAAAAATCCAACGTGAGCAGCCACACCCCAGGGTGAAATTATGACAAGAGACAAGTGAGTTTAACGAGAGTGATGACTTACGAGTGCAAAACAGGATCTACATAATCTGCTTACAGTACCAGGATTTGGTACAAAAGATATGACTCGCTCCCACAATTCACGTGGCAAAACATCCAATGCTGATGTGGGTATTGGTTGCAATCCAGCTAATAGAAATGGATGAAGACGAAATGAGATCAGTCGCCAGTTGATGAGTAGATGAAAACTAGCAGAAATGCTCCCGCTCAAGTATAAAACATTCACTAAATACTGCCAAAAACTCACTCTCAGAGAATTTACCCCGTTTTGGTGACGAAGCAGTCGAAGACGTAAGAGACGAGGCAGTCACCTTACGAAGCAATATTCGCAATGATCTGGGACTGGACGGCCCTGGAGACTGCGAGGGACTCATCATCTTTGGACTTTCACAAAGGTTATGTTTGAACATTCATGGAAAACTCGATGGCGCAGGAGGGACTCCGCAATATGCCAATATCGCGTCAATACGCGTGCATCGTGTGCCTACAGTGGAATCCAATGAATAGAACACGTTCGTCGTCATGAAAAGCAATATACTTCGACGAAATCATAAGGTTTTGGTTTTTCCTAGGTGGCAGTGAGTGGATTAAACATCGGGTACACGAGCCAGAACTGTAGATAATACTTTCTTACTGGACGCGGAAATTCGAGGTCTCTCTCGTTCACTCATCCAAAAAAAGCGGTTCAAATGATCCACAATATCTACAGCGGATGTACGCGATCTTACCTTTGTGCATCGACTCGAACGTCAAGCACTTTGAAACAGTAGTATACCATGAAGCTGTATCTACCTGACAGCATGGCGATTGGGGAGCAATCTACTAATGACGTAGCTTGCATGTTCAATGTCAGTGCAATCACATTCACAGACCAATCACTTCCCAACGTTGAGATTTCTCTCGAACAAGTGAAAGTGACTGGACATCACTTTGCCGGGTAATAAACGAAGCATTAAGAATAAATGAGCCTAGTATTTGAACGTGGAAAACAAAAACAAAGCAAATCTCTGTGAATATACTGGTCCCGTGACTGCCAAACCCAACTTTTGCCGTCATTGACAACTTTGATGCAATGATTTATGAGAAAATATCTGTAATTTCTCCATCTTGTATGTTTTGCTACCTTCATAGGGACAATAAGCCATGTCGTCAGGACCTGGATTCAAAACTAATTGGGTCGCCTAGAAGTCCCAAAGAGTCCGAGTTGCACACATCCAGAGTGCATCTGCGTCAGTTCTACTACACACGCAAGCGAGAGGGCGTCGATTGCAAGACTGTTAACATCTTGTTCCAATAGGAACTCTTAAAGCGTAGAAGCATTCTAAGGAAGAGGTCAGAAGGTTAGATCCTTGTAATGCAATCAATTGAAGTAATATATTGGCAATCTATAATACATAGCACCTCATCCACATGCAAAACACATTTCAACAATTACTTTGATGCAGGCCATTCTAGTCTCAAGCGAGATTCCCAAAAGAGGAGGAGACTCTTCTGGCATGGCAGCATCACCATACTTCACACGTAAGGGCGAGTCCCCGGGGTTGTTATGTCCAAGATGGTCAACATGGAGAAATTTAGCGTTTCAGGTCTAGAGTCGTCACCTGCAGTCTGAAGGGAAGCAACGTCTCCTACAGCAGCCAGTAGACTACAAGTGACTTTGCACAATGCAGCAGGAGACTGGAAATCGCCCATCAATCAGTGATTTCCCTTCCGTCGTATCCAAAATGTGTTGGGTTGATTGCTAGAAGTTAAGTAAAGCAGAGGACGGTAGAAGTAGGCACCCGAATAATGGACAAGAGAGGCAATGCACGTTGAAATATAGAATTTGGATTGACGGGCGAGATGTCGTTGCTGGAAGCGCCCTCCTCATCGAGTAAATCCTCCAAAACAAAACAGGTTAAAACGTGATTTCGGCCACATTGGATTTGGGCGCTAGATGCAATGATCGCAACAGAGCTGAAATTATGTCAACATGTAAACATATGTGAAAACGTCGATCATTTCGTCCCCACTTCAAATCAACAGAACTAATATTGATCACGTTCTTGAACTAGAGCACTTATACTATAACGAGACTGAAAAACACCAGCAATTCCATGTTTAAGACATTTTCACTATCACTATCATAGCTGCCGTAGACCTTAATCTCTGGCTTAAAGTTCCTACAAAACAAAAAGTCAGATCCAAACGCGTTCAAAAACATGAAGATATGGAAACAGGATATCTTACATCATCCTCCGACCACTTCATATCCGATTCATAGCTTGAAGAGCACGAGCAGCATTATGAGGGCAAGGGGTCTTCCTGCTAGATACAAACACGGTTCTCTTTGACAACCGATAGATATGTACTCGAGTCCGATCATCCATTCTCCATCCACTCAAGTTCAGGCACACCCTAAATCCTTCTTTCGATCTTCTAGTAGCTATGAGTTCCATTGACTGCTTCAAGAGTTCTACGGGTTCCGTGTATGGCATATGCAGCGTTAGATATCGAAGACTCTGGAGTTCAGTTGCCATCAACTCCACGTCAGTCTCACTGATGCCGGTCTTCCCATATGGTATCGATATATCGACCAGTTTGGGACAACTTTGTACTATGGCATCTACTGTGAGTAATTCAATATCCTCATGATTCCGCCATTCACCAATATCCAAATTCGTAAGATGTCTGCCATGACCTCGAAGCAGCATCATAATTTCGAGGGTGTTGGATGGTACTTTGAGCCGTTCAAGATGCCCAAAGTTATAGGTATATATGGATTCGGGTATATCGGTCATTTTCAAGGTCTTGAGACTTCGAGCATGGCGTTCAATCAGTTTGTCAACGACATAGCTAGCCTTCCTCAACACTTTCGGATCTCCTAGATATACATCCAGATACTCCAGTTTGGCTGCTATGTCTTCAGATGCTAAAGATCCAAAGAATATATGATGGTAATTTACTAGCCCTGCATCAAAATTCATGGTGACCTTCTTCAAGTTCGGGAATGCCATAAAGTCCCAGTCGCGAGCTTCGTATACATGTTTACGAGACAGAGACGATTTCCTAAATGAAGATGCTTTACATCTAAATACTTCCAGAGTTTGCGAGCTTGATGCTCGTAATGCATCCAAAGCGCATTGCACCGGGAGTTCACATTCAAAGGTATGGATTTTCAAACACCGTATCGTTTTCAGTAGTGGTCCACTTGGCCTGAAGCTAACATCTACATCAAGCTTGATTTTGACATTTGGATTATTAGCCATGAAGCGGGCGATCAGTGCTTCATCGATATCCTCCTCATCGTCATCGGGAGAGTGATAGTATAAATGGCTCAAATTCCGAGCCTGAGCAAGCGTATCAGCAGCCCGAAGTGATACTTTGACGAAGAGTATGTTGCACCGTTCAAAAAGTTCTTTGAGTTGATCTTGATCCAATGTGAGCTGCAACCTACATGAGATTCCACCAAAATTCCTGGTTCAAACTCAGGTCAAAGCAAACAAGCAGTAAGAATTCAAGAAGGTTCTTACACTGTAAGGTGCCGTATTGGTCCAAAATGAGTCAGAACATGAGCATCACCTTGATATTCCAGTCTCTTCACATGCTTAAGAGCATCTTGACCAAATGCATTTCGATTTGCCAGTATCAAGTCCAGCGGGAGGTAACTGCACCATAAAGAATCGTGACGTGGTGGAATCGTTTCATATAGCAAACGGAGTGTCTAAATGAAAGTCGTTGGTTTGAGTTACTTGAAACTTTAAAAACGTGAACGCTTTAATGTCGCAGACTTACACATTCATTCCATGTCTTTGAGACCAGAGCACATGAATATAGACACTTCCAGTCTTTGCTACCGTCCTCCTTTGTAGCTTTCTCCAAGATTGCCTCGATAATTTCGACGGGAAAATCAAAACGGTTTTCATCAACGATGTGAGAGAGCATTACGAAAGAGATTAGTTCTAAACCTGGGAAAATAGTTCTATGATTGTACGGTCTGATTTATGTCACTGCTACCCTTACACTGTGAATATTTCGTCAATTCAGGGCCGTCGAGACTTGGGAGTTTTGGCGAAAGTTTTGGAAATCAATCAACGGCAAAGCTTCGCACTTTTGATACCGATTACCCGTCTTTGAACAGTAGACGCCATCTAGGGCGATCGCTTACGAGCCGGCAGGACGGCAGGAATGTTTGACAACTGAAGACTACCAGCTGAAGCTATTGAAGTTATGCGACACGACACGTGTTTCTCCGCTTGAGGACGTAGTTGCACAATGCTAAGACTCTCTATTTATATTTACAATCAACCAATTGCACTGTTCCATCCTCCCACGCCAAACTGAGAACGACCACTCCTTGATAGCTTGCAAACGACAAAAGAGCATGGGGACCTGGTACCAAGTCCCGAGAGATACTGGCGCCCTTGATATTCGGTTGGTACGGCGATGCTGGTATAGCTGTGTCTGCTGCATCCCAATATGGACCACGAATGAAACCACTAGTAATATGAGAATAACCATTAGACCTTCACAACGTAGCAAGAGAGAACAGAACTTACAGTGGAAAATAGTCTGGGATGCCACTGGCAAATTCCATTCGAGCCAACAAGACCAGCTCAGATTCCACAAATGATATTGCCAGTCGACTTCCTGACGGATCCATAGCAAGACCTTCAATAGGCCCTCCTACACTGAAAGATGGACGATATGTGAATAAGAGCCCATGGAGAGGTAGGCGACTTTTGCCAATAGCCTCAGCAACATCAACGTTGCTTACATCACTTCCTTCTTTGACGGTGTCAATCGTCCATGTCTGCCGAATTTGAAGTTTGCAGTTCGTTCAGGTATGATGAGTCGAGTAGCTATATGAATCAAATCATGTCAGTTTCAGGGTGCATGCATGACATATTTATCAACATGCGTACTCAATGGAGGACCCTTTTCAACAGAGACGGCATATAGCGAAGAATCTCCTTGTAATGCAAAGATGATTCTGTTTCCAGTCGGGGTCCATACAGCGCACTGTTGATTAGAGAGTTAGGCGAAAAGTTGGGGTTTTGCTCTTCCTCGAACTTACTTGACATGGAGATCTGACCACCAATTCCACACAAGTCCATTTCGTGGTTTCCCATATCCACATCTTTGACAATCTAGTAGGCAAAGCAGGTTCAGAACAGAGCAAAACAAAAGGATGCAATCACAAGTGATGTCAACTCACATGCAAATCTGCAACAAATATTGTCCATCAGGACTGAATGCAACAAATTTCGTTCCACCACCACCAGGAGGTCGTATTGGTGTTCCAACAGACATGAAATCCCACACAACCATCATCGGACTAGTAGCTGACGCTCCCACCAACATTTGACCATCAGGAGACCATGACAATGATGTGAATTGACCAGATTGAGCATATGAGAGGAATTCCATTTCTGTGGGAGTCGTTGATTCAAAGAGTGGAGGTTGTGATGCTGTGAATGGAGTGGCTGCCTTTGGTGGTGGATATTTGATTCGCCATAGACACACTCCCGTCCTAAAAGATTCGACCGTTCAAATCTGAATTCAAGTTGGTTTGGTGGGGCCAACAAGAACCAAATTTAATGAAGCCAAGATACCTACCTGCAAGCAACAGCTAAAACTGAACCTGACTTGGGCTTCCATTCTACGGCTGTGACATCCTTTTGTAGAGAATTCGCAAGCATCAATGGTGCTCTGATTTCCTTGTCTAAACGGCAGAGTAGGAATGTTAGCTAGGAAGAAAACATGAAGGTTCGAGCCAACCGGCTACGTTGCACACCTTCAGGCAGCACATCATACAAGAATATCATGTCTTGTCGATGCACAAGACTAAAAGCACTTCTGTAACGATGCCATCGAATCGTCTTCAGAGGTGCACGTTGCAATATGACGAGTAAGTCTTCATAGTATTCATCTCCAACCTAAATATTATTCATCCGAGTTTCAATTTATTTCTCCACGTGAGCTTTGACTTTGAGCACAGTGGTAGTACATACAGCAAAGTTCAAAGACGGTGGCAGCTTTCGAACAAGGTCCATGAGAATCGTCCAACAGATATCTTGAAGGTGTAAAGCTTGTTTCATTGATGGATATGATTTGAGCTGTTCCAACAGTTCTTGTTTCCTATCCAAACTATGAGTTGATACGGGTGCCAATAACACAAAAAATCCGACAGTGGCCGTGACTACATACTTGAAATCAAACCAATTCCAAAAGTCGGGATTCTTTTGTTGCAACACCATGCTGGGAGATGGTCTGATGTCTGCATCGCGAGAGTAAGGGACTTTGAAGGTGGATATCTGGTACCCCTTTTCAAGCATGAGAGGATTGTGTGAGTGCAAAGATGAGGTGTGTTTTGGGAGACGCAATAGCTTGTTATTACATTGACTGGAGGTTCGGCTACAGAGGAAAAAAGTCAAGAAATAATTGCTCTAAAGTACAGATTGACATGCTGTGAGTGCTTGCCTGATAGCTTTCCATTCACTTCGCTGCGTGTAATTGTCCCAACATCAGGAACCTCAGCATCAAAAGCTACCAGATGAACGGAAAATCAGTTTTACTTTGCAAATGAATGTTCATTCGAGAGATGAAAGCTTCCAAACAGCGCAGAAGCTTGACAAAAACATATCGTTACAAAATGTTAAAATGTTAAGGGTTTGATGTCGCGTCGTTCTAATGGTTTCCAATCATCCAAAACTGCACCAGAATGTCTTCCACGTGTAAAAATTTAGAAATCAATCAGATCCTTGAGCTCCTACCTTCGAATGTTGGGACTCTGGCCATCGTCGAATTCCTTTTCAACAGAAGTTTCGATATCAAGTTAGTTGAATGAATGTCAGTATTTGGTAGGCTACAGCAAGCAGCCAAACGGAATACCTTTCTCTATGTAGGAGTTCCCTTCCTTGGACTCGTAGCTCTAGTGACCTATGGATTCTCAAACTTGACTCAAGTTCGCTATGATTTGCAGCAAAAGAGGGTCACCACTGTAAGTCACCACTGTCTGGCGTCGATCGTAATGAAAATCATCTTTCTTTATCTAGTCTTGTCGTGTTCTGATGCGTTTCGTCGCTAACAAGTGATCATTTCAAATTTAGGTCAGCAAGGAAGAGCAATTGGGACTAGATCGGAATCGTAAGAGGCTAACGATGCAGCAAGCTTATTGGGTATGAAATCTCATCTGGGAACTATTTCTATTACAACTTGAAACTGATTGCATGAGCACTTAGGACATCACTCGCAAAAAGAACTTGGACGATTGGGATCTTGTCCGAGTTCCAGGAAGAAAAGAGGATGAATCTTAACCAATATGTAGAATACGACTTTGCATCTGTAGCTTAATCATTTATAGAAATCACTCATACCAAAACACATGAACTCACGGAGCGTGCCAGTTTGATTCAAATTTTCAAAGTCAATTATCTCGAAATAAGTTACAGATGGTGCATATATCTACAAGAAAACGTTCAAACGACCACCCCATCACGTCTGCTGACCACGAGCGACAATCAACCTTTTCTGATGAGCTCGTTCCTTTTGGCCAGGCCTTCTCCTCTTCTTCTTAACCTCGACATCTGCTTTGATTTCTATAAGTCGTTGCTTCCATCGTGACTGCAACAAGAAATCTGGTTAGACCAAATAATACTGTCTAGGAAAGTATACATATTGCTCACCCATGGAACTTGAGCTTGACGTAACACGGCTTTAGTAGATACTACGACCTTCTTGAACTTTTTACGTCGCCTCTTCTCCTCGTCACTGTAAAAGAGGACAAAAAAGTAAGAAGAACGGCTTAAAAGGAATGGTCGTTCGAACCTGTTAATTTCAACATCTGACTGGTCCTCTCTCTTTTGCAGTTGATAAGGAGCAGCATGAAGCGTCAGAGATGTTGATTTGCCAGCAAACAGTCGAAAGTCCACAGGTTGATCTTAGAAACATGTGTCAGCTTTTGATGTTTGGAGGTCGGGTTCACACCACGGCGAAACTCACGTTGCTCTTCATTCTTTACATCAGATTCTAGATATAAAATTGAATCGAGTTAGCTCTAACATACTATAGCAAGCCGAGATCACAATTCTAACCTGGCGCAACATCCAATTCGTACTCAAACGCGCCTCCAAGTAACTCATTGAGCTTATTCCACGACGTTTGTGCTTCATGGGGCTTCAATTCTTCCTCATGAGCTTCACTTTGAAGGTCTGTTCGCTTGCTCTTCGGCATCTTATGTGTTGTTATGAAGTTGGCTGTTTTTCTCAAATCAGAGCTTACAAGTTGCAGTTTCCATCCCATCCATCCAATCGAGTTTTAGGAAGAGGAAGATCCAAATATGGGTAAGTACATATATATTTGATGACAGGATTGAGGGGAAGACTTGATATCAGGCCGATTGCTTATTGCCAACTACTTGAAATTCGTTGAAGTGGTCGTTTTGGAGCACCATGCAAAAGTTGCTGATGGTTTGCAAGGACAAACAAGTGAAGAGTCAGATGAAAGCAGATTTTTATTGAATTAGCTTGATGCATCGCTCCCTGATATCATAGTTGCATCGCCTTCCCTACACTCATCGTAGGCCCAAACACATTCAACACCAAAAACATTTGACTAACTTGCATCTTTTCACACAGGTATTTCTCGAGACTCTCGCCACAAGAGGGCAGCAACTGGTGCCAAAAGAGCCCAAATCCGTAAAAAGAGAAAATTCGAATTGGGTAGACAATCTGCAAACACAAAAATCGGAGCAAAACGAATTCACGTCGTCAGAGTTCGTGGTGGTTCCCTCAAACACCGTGCCTTACGAGTAGAATCCGGTAACTTCTCTTGGGCTTCTGAATCCATCTCCAGGAAGACTCGTGTCATCAACGTTGCTTACAATGCTTCAAACAATGAGTTGGTCCGTACAAACACTTTAGTCAAGGGTTGTATTGTACAAGTCGATGCTGCTCCATTCAGACAATGGTATGAATCACATTACGCTTTGCCAGTCGGTCGAAGAGGCAAAAAGGTATGTTGATGTAGAGAATTGTTGGAATCGAACCTTGAGGTCGTTTTTTGAAGCCCAAGAAAGCCATGCATCACGTTGAAACTAAGCATCTTACTCATATGCTCACATCAACCATAATATAATCAGGCCACTGAAGCTGCTGCTGCTACACCAGCTGCTGGTACAACTCCAGCTCATGGTCACCAGCATGAAGACCAACTACACAAGAAGCGATCTGCTCACGTCTTACGTAAAGTGGAAGCTCGCAAAGCTGACGCCAAGGTTGACCCCAACTTGGATGAACAATTCGTCACTGGTCGTATCTATGGTAAGCTATAAATAAGGCTGCTTACGTTAGTTTGCCCTCGGCTTTCGTCTTTGGTTGGCTGGTGGTGGTGGAGTACTCATAGGTTTTTCGCATAGCTTGTCTGTCATCACGCCCTGGTCAATCTGGTCGTGCTGACGGGTATATCCTTGAGGGTAAGGAGCTTGACTTCTACCTCAGGAAAATCCGAATGAAGAAGGGCCAATAGATATAGTATCCCATAGATAGTATATCTTTGTATTCGCACCACTACTAAAAACACCATTGTAAAGAAGAAACAAGGGTTGCCTGTTGTTTCGTTGCTTCTCAGAACGCTCCTCCAGTTTACCGCCGAACGCAAATCTTCCACGGATGGGATGTTATAAAGAGTGAATCGATTTGCAGCTTTCGATGTGCTCTGTTGGTAAGGTTGGGTCAAGTCTACGCTGCTTATTTTACGTATATTGCCAGCTAAAACCCTTTTACACCCAAGTATCCAGCAGCAGGTGGTAATGGTAATGATCCAGCTTCAGACATACTGCCACTTCGACTACCACCAGTATAACCATGTTTATAAATGGCCAGTGTTCGACAAGTGTCGTCACCCTTACCACCACAAAAGTCCCAATCGTCTGAGATTCGCTCATCGTTATCAATATTCGAACCAAGCAAAGCACGATACGATGAGTCAGCCCTAGATTCATCAAACGAATCGACGTATCCAATACTCCTCTCTCCGTCTTCCTGACTGAGACTAGTAACAGCAGACGTTAATGTTGACCCTGACTTATCGAATGAGAGCCAATGTAAGAGCGACTCTGCGGAGACAGATCGCAAATGACTGATGACCATAGCTTGTTCAACTGATATGGCATTGTCAACTCGTGTCCCAATCATCTGGCAGTGTTGAAAAAGGAGAGTGGTGAGATTTGGTATCAGAGGAGGTGATAGACTGACACATACATCTATTCGGACTTACGTTTTCTGCAGATTCAGGGTTATCATTTAATAGTGGAGGAGCAACGTAGGTATTGATGAGTCTCTCCCAATCCCTTGCATGTCGAAGCCTACCTTCAATGTCCATTGCCACCGCATACTGACTCCCCAGCATCTCCAAACGTTCTGCGTCACTCAAATTATCACTTATGGCGTTTATAAGGTTCTCCCTCGTCGTCAAAGGACGAAGAAAGCCCGAAAATGACAGTACTGTTGACAGTTCAGGAAGAATAGTTGATTCTTCTGATGTTGATGTATCACTGGATTTGGATGACTCTTTAATAGCCAGTTTGGAAGTGAAAATGGTTTGCTTCCAAGATTCCTGTAAAAGTTGGCCCTCAGCTTGATGCTTGTTCCCAATTGATGAAGTGGAGATTGAAAGTTGATGATGTTTGGATACAGGTGCTTACCAAGGAGTAAGGAATAGCCTTAACCTTCTTATAAAGCACTCGAATGATTGTGCAGCCTTTACAACCTTGATCAACAGTCTGTGCCTACGAAAGATTGACATGCGTCAAGGTGTAATTGTGTTGACGAGCAAAGCATAAAGTCGTGATGGAATCACATTTACAGTCTTTATGGGTATGGCCGTAGCGTAAATCATAAGCAGAATCAGTACTACTAAACGTAACGGACGCATGGTGATCGCTTGTCGGTGCGAAGTTATGGAATGATTTTGATGAAAACACGAATTCACTTGACTGGTATTCTGTTTCGCGATTCGAAACTTCTTTGAAGATATATTACGGTCATTGATACACGAATAGGCATTGAAGACTTTGGTGATGAAGGTGCCAAAATATTGGCCAAATGGATTGCGGCTAGTCACAATAAGACTTTGAAGTGTATTGACGTCGCCAATAATGAGATTACTGCTATCGGTGAAAGGGCACCCAACGATGCCAAGAAGAAGGCTGGTCTGAGCGTCGCTTTTGTAGTTTGAGTAAATGCAGTTGTATATCACAAGACTGCCAACTTGCTGTGAATATAGTGATATTCTCGTAGCTTGTCCGGGAAATGCCTTTACATGGTGTTCGTCGAATCGCTTGCTATCCAGTGGATCGCTTCAAATGGAATTTGGATGCTTTCTGTCTATTGTCTGTGTATGATTTTTCGTATACATTTTTACGGAGAGGATTGGAAAGACACCCCCTACAAAGATCAAAACCATTTCAATAAACCACTGATCTTTGTTAATCCCGACATAGTATCTCGTGCATCATCATGGGAGCCACGATCAGCTAGTTTTGATGCATGATCAGGCTCGTCACCATATGATTCCCAAAGTTTGCCCATTCTTTCATCGTATCCATCAGACACATCTATATTTGAGCCGAAGGAGCTAGTGCGATAAGATGAATCTGATCGTGAACGATCGAATGAATCTTGTGAGCCAAACATAGGACCACTGGATTCCGAGTCTTCTTTTTTTATGGAGGCCTGACGCCAACTTTCAAGTGTGTCTAAGGCAGAAGACTGACGAATATGATGAGCAGCATCCACCTTTTCGATTGGGATGGCGTTGTCCAATCGACGTCCAACCATCTAGAAAAGCACAAGAATGAGGGCTTATGACACTGACCAAAACAAATTGACCGACGAGAAAGAATGAATACAACTTACATTGTCTGCAGGCTCCTCCGGATGAAATTCAATGTTGGGAGCAAGATACATGTTTAGGCGTTGCTGCCACTTTACCAGATGTGGGGGTGCTTCGTCTAGACTATTTCTTGCACTTTCGGCTACAAAGGCATAACTAGCGAAACTACATATGGTATCGGGACTACCAGGAGCTGAGTCATGCTGTTTCGAAAGACGTCCTATAGAATTTTTACTTTTAATGTGAGCGTCTTCAGCTTGGTCTTTGAAGCTATCCAAGTGATAAGTTACCAGTAGCTGTAGTGGATTCTCCTAGAAAAGCCTCATTGGATTCTACGTTGTCTGTGAAAAGCATTGCAAGAGTACGACGAGTCCTTTCTGGGACTGGTAAATGGGCAAGCTCAAAGAGTTCATCAGAACTGACAGGAGATGTTTTACGCTCTTGTAGTACTCTATGAAGCGGAGAATGTACAAAAGCAAGAGATGGAGCTCTTGGAGTCTGGTAGAGGAGCCGATGTGAGATTGACAGGTCAACAAATCAAGTCCGAAAAAACGTCAAAAAGCGATGTCTGCCAAACCTTGCCGAATCTGACTGATTTTACGCTCTTCCATATGCCACTGGCACAGCTGCAGCTTGTGCTTAATTTTGCAATTCGACGCTGTGAACAAAATTGAAGTGCGTCAGTTCAAGGAAAACGAGATGCTATGCTTGTTACAATTACATTTCGTGTAGGCAATGCTGAGATGCCGACGCATAGTAGAAGTAGAACGAACAGCCGTAATGGATGCATATCGGTATTTACAGTGGTCCGGGTGTTTTGGACTTTACGAAAAATGTTGACAGGGCGAACGAGTTTGCGAAATCGGACACAAATAACTTTGCGAAAGGCATATAAATTCGTATTTTGCGATTTGTTTGCTGTTACGACCGCTTGATAAGAAGTTGTAATAAGTTGCGTCCATTCAAAGTATGAACACGTGATCAGTAACGCGTTGTAAGACCAACGGCCTGAAAATCGCGTCATTCAGTGGCAAAGATGATTCTTTATTTTGTGTTAGCTCCAAGTGTTCTGATGTGAACGAACATTCAAAAAAACTCACAGCTCACAAAAACACATCCAAGTTTCGGAAAACAATAACAAACACGATGCATCCAGCACGCCTACTGGTGCTCGAAATGTGTATGATCTACGTGATTGCCTTTCCGATTGATAATGTAGGCCCTGTTCGCTTTTACAAGGTTTTTTTTTCACTCCTTGAGCTGTCAACTGCCAAACTGACGCATCCGAATGGATCTTAGGAACGACGACGTATGCCAAGCTGTTTAGGCTGTAATTTCGTCGAATCTGTATGGATGAAGGTCAAATCGATTCCTCATTCAGTCGTAAGAGGCCACATGTCAAACTGCATAGCTTCAACAGGGGCGCTTTTCGTTTTTGATAAGAGAACTTTTTTTGTTATGCAGGCTTCATACACTCAACCCATTAGTCTGCCGCATACTCCAAGTCATGAGGCTATTCGAAAAGTTCTCGAATCACGCTCTCCACCACGACGAACTCCAGAAGACCTCTTTTTGGACGACTCGTCGAAGAATTATAATCGTGATGATCCATCCACTAGTCAATAGCTGTAATCATGGCTGATGAAGACGTCTCTATTAGTGATGGTCGATCCACTCATGCAGCCGCGATAGCTGCCCTCATGTCTTCTGACGACGACTCTATCAGTAATGGTGTATCCACTGATGCAGCCGCATTGGCTGCCCTCGTGTCTTCTGAAGACAAGTCTACCAGAAGCCTTTCTTTCGAGAGTCGAGAGTCTTTAGACAGTGAAGGCCCATCAGAATCTTCAAACGTTCCTGAGGGCTATATCAGTCTAGAACGATTCGCGGCTAAAACGAGCACTGGTTATTGGGAAGGCGATGATATGGTGAAAGATCTTCCAACACCAGAGGAGTTGGAGCGATTTTCCAGAGGGAGCAAACGAAGTCGTCGTAAACAGCATGAAGGGCCTAATCCAGTTGTAATAAATGTACGGAAATCCTTACGTTTGTTATGCGCTAACCTCAAATCTTTCATGAACTTACACTCTGTTTGGTTTCATAGATTGTAAACCAATCTCAACGTCGATTAGACCATGTATCATCATTCGACGAAAGCAAACTTGGATACTGGCGCTCGCCGTCTGCAACCATAGCCCATTGGAGTATAATTCAACAGGAACAGAGAGCCCGAGAGCTTCGACAAATGATAGAGTTTCTGTCAGCGCCCCTGGTTGGTTATGACCAACCAAGAACGTTTGGCAGTAGTAATAGTTTTAGTTCAATCTCCTCTGGGTCATCTTTCAATCGCCAACATGGATCAGACTATTTCAATACGAATGATCCAAGTCGAGAATTGGACGAGAGTGTCTATCAACTGAGATTGAGACCAGCTGTGAATGAACAACGCCATACTCCTCACAGTCAATATGAACATAGCCTTCATCAGCCCCGATTTGGAGAACCGTCTAGTATCATTGCTGCTGCTCTCTCTTTTAAAGGTTCTCACTCAGTATAGACAGAAAATGTTACTCTGTTGCACCTTATTTGTAGACTTGGGATCGTTTTATATATTTTTTCCCACAAAAGCCTGTAGCCATGTAAAAGCAAAAACAAATCTGTTCAAATAGAAAACTTCTTCTCTTCCATTTTCTCTGGTATTGAAGGATTGCGATGAAAGGCTGAAAATGTCAAAATATCACGAACTGACGCATGTCGATCCTTCGTGGTCACAAAGCGTTTGACCAGGGCTGTTCCAGCGGTATTATTACTCGTCATATATGGAAAAGAATCAAGTCTGTTTTCCGAATAGCTATTCTACAAGCATCAAACATGATCGATTTATATGGGGTTTTGACAGGTTTGCTGGAAACAATGCAATCGTACTCAAAATCCTCTTACGCTGTCTACTAGTGGATTTCATTAATGGTGTGGAAGGATCCATCCACCTATGTAAGGCTTCAAGGTCATTCTTAACGAGCTTTGGAATCATGTCGTGCTGGACTCTTTCAAGGAAATCCCAAACGTAATCGTGCTATCGAATCATCTCCAGAATATCCACCTGATGCTTACTATTTTCCCAACTGGTGACGAGCTGAATATAGTAGACATCTGTTGGTTGTCGTCAGCGTCACAGCTCTCTTGGTCATTCATCAGCGATAAAACGTACTGGCTTCTTTACGAGTCTTGACTCGTTTAATAGATCCAGAGCTGAGGTTGCTGAGGATGGGATTGTCTTTTCGAATGCTGAGGTATCGTATTGTGGCTCTAAAAGTGAATTTGGATCAGAAATCCACCCATTTGTGCATGGACGTGAATATAACAATGGTTACTCTGGTGATTGTATTGAGATTATGTCTGCATCTGGCCATTCTACACATGGAGGGTTCGATCGTTCCTTATCAAAGATTTCTTTAGCCTTATCCATAAGAAGCCTTGTGCAAAGAGAAATAGATTTCCTTCTCATCAGCTCGACCAGTTTGATCTTGATATATATGGATATATTTTCCTGTGAAAGAACTACACCGACACTTAAAAAAAGTAAAAAAAACCCAGCAAGCTATTATACTCCTCCCCCTCGGTTGATTTTGAACAATTATAGCAGGCAACATAAACTAGTTGAATGCTCCTGACTTGGACAAGGCCATAAGACTTCCGACAAAGGTCAAGATCTAACGATAAAAAATGTAACGGATACGTTTAGCAATGTGCTCAAAGAAGCAGGGAAGCCCAAACCAATCATAGCACACTCACCATCTTGGGCTTGACTTCAACAATATCTTCAGGCAATACGAAAATGGTAGCACCCAATTTACGGGCAATTGAAATACCATATTTGGCATTCATCTTGGCATTGTCGTCTGTTTCAAATAAATGATAGTTGGCGACGGCCAAAAAATACACATGAATATGACTAACGTACCAGAAACACCGTCCGTGACAAGCTTGTAATCAACAACTCCCTTCTTGACTCCATTCAACAAGTCCAAGAAGAAGACACCGTTACGTAAACCACCATCCTTGAATGATGAGATAGTAGATGCCTTGCCACCAGATCGTACAGCTTCGTTGGCCCATTGAATCATGTCGGCTTCAGTGATTTCATGACCACCTTTGGTCAATGTCTTCAAGGTTTGGATGATGTGTTCTCTCATGAGTTGCCATACAATGGCTAGAATGAGCAAAAATATGTGAGCGACCATACTGACTGACAAAAAAATTCGATCAAACTGGACGATAGGCAGCGAATACCAACGTACCCAAAGTCAAGTTCTTGATTCCATCGGTGATATCTGATCCTTGAATACCAACCAATGAGAACTTGAGAGCCTTGCCCAAAACAACCACGTAATTGGTGTTTTCGACCTTTTTGAACTTGGAGGAGACTGGAGCCTTGTTGACCTTCTTCCAGTCAACAATGCCTGGTTTGACAGTGTCCATGGCTTGCAACAATACCAAACCGTCCTATTTGGAATGTGAAGATCAGACACAAACCCAGGAGACAAGGGCAAGCGCACACACAACCAAATAAGTAAAAGAAACCGTCATGATCAAATAACTTACTTGGAGATCATCAAAGAGGTTGTTAACGAATGGCTCACAACCCAAAGAGTTCAACCACAGAGCAAAGGCTGGAAAAGAGTCAAGCAGAATTTCATGAGTGTGAGCCCAAACAACAGAATACTGCCAACCGAGCAATCATACCTCGAGCTTCACGGTCACCTTCACTCTTGAACAACCAATCATCCAAAGCACCCTTCTCAGTTTGATTCAATGCTTCCAAACCAGGATGAGTATTGAAGAGATTGGCAACAAAAGCAAAGTTCAACTTTTGATTTCCTTCAACCATGGTCTTTGGAGTCAAGTATTTACGACAGCCGAGCTTGTCGGCGTTTTGTAAAACAGCTTCGGCACGTTCCATCAAATCACCGACACGGAGAGGAGCACGAGAACACGTTTCTGGGGCTAATTGGTTGAGGAGTACGGTGTAGTTTTCACCGTCCTAGGAATGCGGATTGGAGTTAGCCAAAAAATGGGAACGGGTTTGAAGTCCATAGTATGATTCGCACCTTGACATCACCAGTCAGATTGGTAACTTTGCGAGCCCAACCAGCCTTCTTGAGGTGATAATTGAACCAACGAATGAGGATCTGTTCAGCAGGGAGCTTCAAGAAATCATCCAGGGTCTCGCCAGGTTCCAATAGACGGAACAGTTCAGGGTGGACCTTGATGTCAATCTTGGCAGACAAACTATGATGATATTGAGGAAGTGATTGTTTAGCATTGTGATGTCGTGCATGATTTAGCAATTGACCAAAGTGATCGGCCAAAACCATAGGTGAAACACAGATGTCACAGACGTCTTGGCTTGATCTATTGCTCTACTCACCCCATCTTGATGATTTGCCAAATCAAGCCAAGAATCAGATGTTCTCGTCCTTCAATCAAATCTTGAGAACCAATGTTGACGACTGAACAGCCAATAGCCTTGGCAGAGTTGATGACGACGTTGTTGTTTTCAGTCATCTGGAAGGCATTCAATTTCTTGCCAACATTCAATACACGTTCATCAATTGTGCCAGGGACTGAATCATTGATGAGCTTTGAGAGGATCAAACCATCTAGTAAACAAAAAAGGGGGTGAGTCATCCAACATAATCGTGCAAGATTTGTTGTTACCTTTGCACTCGGTAAAGATTTGCATTGTCTTCACATCAATAGGTAATCGAGCTCCAACATCTCGATCACGACCGAGTTGAGAGTTGATGTGTGCCACGAACGATTCCTTTTCGTCTTCATTCATGGTGTGGGTTACATTGACAGAGGTGCCATGAAGAGTGATTTTCTTGCTGTCACCACCCGATGAGCCTTTAGTAGGGCCTCGAGATGATCGTAATTGCGATACAATCTGGTTGAGAGCAAAAAGAAAATCGATTAATGTTAAGCAGATGAGAACACTCAACGATAGCAAGACTTTTGAAATCCAACCTGGAGAAAGTTTTCAAACTCGATAAAGCCATCAGAGGTAGAGAGACGAAGATCTTGCATCTTTTGGACTACATCTTCGTATCTTTCTCCAGACTTGGGAGCGACATCACGTAAACTGGTTGTGTGAATGGCACCTTTTTGAGACAACATGTAAAGTATTAGAGCCAGATAGGAGGCAAGACAACTAAAAAAGGATGGAACGAGAATATAAATACCTTTTCGTTCAGGATCAAGCGCTTCGAATTGTTGATAGTAACTTGAGATTTCATTCGAGTTGATATTTCCATACTTTTGAGCGAGGATTTGAGGATTGATACCCATTGTAGGTGATTTTAAACTATATGAATCTCGTTGTCCTGCAGGTTGTTGTGGATTTGTGAATGGGTTTGGTCTTGATGTAATATTGGGTGGAGGGGGTGCTGGCCTAAATTAAAAGTAGTATATTGTACGTGTGAGTTTTGGTTGTATGTGATGTTGGTTTTGTTGATAAACAAAGGCCCATTTGTATGATTCCAGCACCACGGCTTCTTATTTTCGCTTTCTTTGCGTTCTGGAAGCTGCATTTCGACCCTCAGTCTTCCTTTTGGTACAACCCAAAACACGTTGAAAACTTAAACTGCGCTGTTCCCAACTTGTGTGATTGATCTGATCCGACCTCGTGCGTCCGGCAGATAGGCCAGCCGAACGCTAGATCTCAGGTCGTCTGGAAGCACTGACGATCCATCGTATCCATCCTCAACACACACAAAAGACGACGAGAACGTACCTGTTGAATTGTTGTTTTGGAGGTTCGGTATGGGCAAAGGAAGAAGTGTTTTCTCTGGCGACGTATTTTGGGACTACTGGGTCGAAGTCGTCTGATTTTCTACCAATGACAGAAGCAGCAAAAGCGGCCTGTTGGGATTGTTGTTGTTGTTTTATGGCACTCGGTCTTGCGGGGAGGGATGATGAGGAGGTAGACGAGTCGCCAGCAGTGGATGAAGTGTTTGTAGATTTGAGATCAAAGAGTTGTCCCTGGTTGCTGCTGCTGTTATTTACACTGTTTGCAGTTGATCCTGGCAGTGCTTCATAGTGCTTTTTGGTATTTCCAGCTGCATTTTCCGTTCTTCGCATCTTTGACTGCGTATCAAGCGGTCAACTTGAATAACAAATAATAAATCTGTCGTATTGGATTATTGTTAGTTGGGCACACTCTCGCATCAAACATGAAAACGTCAACTTTCGGGGAAAACCATGTGTCTTGCCAACAGTGGTTTGCTAAGTAAGAACGAGACTGGATGCACTTACCAATGTAGTTGTGTACGAGTTCTGAACTGAATCTTACTTCTTCTCCACCCTTTACTTTTAGATCTTTCAATGCGGCAAATGGGGGATTGTCGTGTGCGAATGGTTTGAAACGACCACACCGTGACTGCTCATGCCAAGAAGACCAACTCGTGAACTAGACGTTTGACACGTTTGGAATTTAATTATTTTGAATACGTGACTTATTCACTCTTACGAGGTTTATGTGACAAAAGGTACAGGCATTTACTTCAAAGTTAGATCTATGTTTTTTGAATTCCAGTTTAAAGGCATGCATTCTCGTTCAAACTTTACCATTTAACAAGCTCATCATAACTAGTTCGAGGACGTGGCTGCAAAATCTTCACCGGCTTATCATCATCACCACAGTCTTGACCAGTTTTAGTTGGGGTATGATGAAACAGTTCTCCAGCCATCCTCGTCTTGGTGGCGTCTTCTTGACGTTTAAAGAGACGATCCCTGACATTGACGTCCAACCAATTCAGTCCAGACGAGACTACAGATTTTGGGCCCTGAGTGAGATTGTCCCATAGGCTGCCAAAATTGTGAGTAGACTCGTCCAGGAAGGAGTCTCGTCGGAATTTTTGATGGTCGGCCTCCTTTTGCTTGAAAAGGTGTAACTGTATTCAGCATGTTTCAATCAAGTGTCAAAATCAAAGAAAGTACCGTAGATACCTTTTGTGAGCCTTTGTCCCCAATACTTTCCTTCAAGGGAGTAATTGGAGACCACGGGCCACTAGTGTTGCTGCTAATATCTCGCTTCTTCATGAGAACTTCTGGATCTACTTTCATGACCTCCTGATCGATTGCTGATTTGGTTTCAGCATTATGAAGCTCAAGGACAAAGGTGACAGACAGAGTTACAAGGAGAGCAGAGATAATGATCATGTAAATCCCGCGTTCAAGACTCATTGTTGCTTTGGAATGTATTTTTTGAGAATTGAAGAGTTGTGTGAACAAAGTTAAATGTGTTTTCAAACTTGTGGTTCAAGCTACAATGTTTCAGCATATTGTTTGAAGTTGTTTCAGCGACTTTATCCGTAAAATCAATGAAAATGTAGGTGAGCAGCGTTGTAGATCAAAAAACTCTCCAGTTTGAGATAGACAATGTGTCAAGTCAAACCTGATGGTAAATGTGTGCGCGATGGAAGCTCCTCGAGGAAGAAACTTTCAACGTCCACCAAGGACAGAAACCATTTTAAAATAATCATGAATTCGTCCTCCCAATAGAACGGCACTATGCAACGAGCTCTGCAACCGTGATTTCAAGCGACGGCGAACTGCCCCAACTGCCCTAACAACCGTGTCTCTGCTCTAAATTTGGTATGCTAATACTCTAGCAACAGAAAGAATGATATTTTCCCTGTCTATAACAAGTGTCCAAGTATCTAACCACTCCCGGGATTTTTTTAATCCCTTATTCGTCGTTTTACTGCGGAAGTCGTTTCCATGGCACAAAAGTTTCGAGAAGGGGAGTGCGATGTCAAGTCGATTACTACAATCGCAGAACATTCGAGGGTAGTATATATCATATAGTCATGAATATTCACGCTGATTTAGCTACCAGAACTCATAATGGGTAACACTCTAGACGCCTTTGCGTCCATTCGCTCATCGTTTTCTAAAATTCGACTTTGCTAACTGTGCTCACTCAATAGTGATTTGCCAATGAGAAACGATAGTGATTATATAAACGAATCCAGGTCAATACTACAGCTTCCAATCCTACCTTCAGCTGGGAGCATCAAAAACCTTGCCAAAATGACTGCCAAAACAAGCTCTCTACCTCTCACACGGAGGACGTCAAGTCCTATGCTGATCTCACCATTATCGAGAGATTCAATTACTGCACCAGCTTTATATCCTTCAGCTACAGTTGTCTCATTCTCAACCAAGTCAAGTGAACTTTCACAATCCTCAAGTCTTACAATAACACATCGAGTATTCAAGCAACCAATTGCCAGAAACGTTCTCAATGATGATTTTACTATGAGATACGGGCCCATAAAGCAACCAGTGTCACGTATTCAAGTGCAAGGCAAACCGCCTTTTAGTCAACAACCAAGATTGACGGCATCACCATTATCATCGTACCCCGCAAGTCCTTCAACACCAGATTCAGCATCATCACTGCCATTTTCAGCATCATCAGCTATATCGTCGGTCGATAGCATGGATAGACCTGTTATCAAGAAGGCTAGGAAATATGTCTCAATCGGTAAGCTTAGACGCACCTGTTTCGAATCAAATTATTTCTCTTACAATTCCTCTTCATCAAAGCCTGCACAAACTGCCAATCCGTCCACCACGTGTGCGAACAGCAACGACCATGCTCTCGATGCAGCGCAAACAACATGGAATGCATCAGTGCCACACATAAAGCCAGAGGCCGTAAGCGTGGATACAGACAAACGGAAGCTCTACCACAGCTTCAAATCCCAATAATGCCCACACCTAATATCGTCAATGATACAAGAATGCTTACGCCAACAACGCCAACAAGTGGAATGGAAACGGACTCACCATCCGACATCCAATCACCGATATATACCTCTTCTCCAACAGCACCGCAAACCAACGACGATGACGACGAGCCATGCCGTATCGACGTCAACGCCCACGAACGAATCACACACGTGTCGTCTTCATGTGCACAACTCTTAGGCAGACCTGCCTCATCACTCATCAATACCCCAATCCGCCAATTATTTCTACCTGGACTAGTCAATGAGCAAATCATGTGGGTTATGCGAGCACTCAGCTCAAGAGTCTCGAAAGGACTACCCTCTGGACGTCCGAAACTACCTGTCCTTATTGCCAGTCTTTCATCTGGAAACGACGTGTTGGATACAAGTGCTCACCCGTTGAAAAGAGTGCTGCCAAGGATTACATCATATGCTGTTGAGATTGGAGGATATTACGATTCGGCTAGTGGGGATTCTCACCTTACGTTGGAGTTGAGTGAATCTGTTGACGAAGAAGATGGTGAGAAACAGGCTGCTAAACGAGTTAGAGAAACTTCATACGTGACATCTGCACCGACAGCATAAAAGATCCACTGAAACACGTTAGAAGGACATTACCAAACCACATAAATGGACTTTACTATGAATTGTAGTTGCTTTAACTATAGAACACATGCAATCATTCATAAATAATACAAAGATCTCATCAACGCGTAGACTGCTTTTTGGCTTTAAGTTTATCGGTACCCAAAGAGACACCCATCCAATCATCAGCAGTAGTACTTAACCTTCGGCTTTTGAAGAGATCTTCTCCAAAGTCATCCTTGTCAGACCAATCGTGGTTGCTTTCTTCGTCAGAATCACGACCATCACCCTTCCATTCTTCCTCCTCTTGGTCTGAGTCACTCACTAGCACTGCATCATCTTCGTCATCACTAATCAAGTCGACAACGGCGGCTTTGCTCTTTTTTGGTGACTTTTTCTTAATACCGTTTCGCAGCTTTTTTGGTTGACCTGCTTTGCGAGGTGACTTGTCTATGAAACGTTCTCTCTGGCCTTTGACATGTGGTGAGAAAGCGGGACGTGGCTTCTCTGGTCGAGGCGTAGCTGGATACTTCGGAGCATTTGGTGCCTACTCATCTGATGGTTTAGATGCGATTTCTTTCGTACTTTTCAAGCAAAAACAAAAGACCCTACCAAGTTGCTGACAAAGATCTTGAAATTGACTACGCCTTGGTCTAAAGTAGGAGCAGCACAACATCTTGTCTTTGGTTTGGGTCGAAAGTCTTTTTGACTCATGACGTGTGTCATATTCTCAGAGCCTAGAAGACGACAATTTCAAGTTAGTCTGACAAAAAAAATATCCCCCGGATATTACACCATCAGATCCAAAACAAACCTTCGGGTATATCGTCTTCAGCTTTGGCAGGAACATACACTTCATTGCGACTACTTCGTACTTTGGCTCTTTGTTTAGCAAGAGCTACAATGCCCTTTTCTTTCGTTTTGCCACGCTTTCCCGTAGCCAATTCTTCATCTTCTGAATCAGCTTGCAGCCTGATCCTTTTCTGATTGTCTGGTGAGTTAGAAATAAAGTTTTTATGAGGTTCAATGCGAGCTATTGGTTGTACATCTATCGCCAGCGTTCGACTGTTGTCGAAGGCCCTGGCTATTGGTTGACGTAATGAGGCGGAATCCATAGCCATGGTTCTCGTCTCGTCCATAGCGGGTGGCCTATCAGGCGGTGATGGAGGTACTAGAATCGTATTTGCTTTGGCTCGTTTCGAAGGACCACCATCATCTGTATCGGGTCGATTACGTTTATTACGAGGCGGGGTTTCTGGTACGAATATTGATTCATCATCTGTCGGTGCAGCAGTCTTTGGTGTATCATCTTTCGTAGTAGTAGCCGCTGGTGTAGCTCCCTAGTGGTTGACGGGAGGAAAGGTCAGCGTTTGCACCCAACAAATAATAACAACCATATACAGCATTGCTGTGATGCGACTGAACATAACAGCTATGCTAAGCAAGATTTCTCTTACCGGTGTAGCGTATAATGCAGCAAGGTAATCATCAACTGCGACAGCCTAACGTTGAGGGATCCAGTCAGTGTTTCATAGGCGTGATTCACAACTGCTAAAGATCACCTTCACTCGACGCGCTAGCCGAGGAAGCGGAGCAACTGGAGGAGCTGGTTCATCATCTACTTCCATCTCGTCCTGTTGCGTGGGTTGCTCCACGTTTGGCTGTTCACGAGGAGGCAGCTGCGTTGCAGGAGGTACAACATCGGTTCTAAATACAGTATCAACATTGACATCATACAGTGCAAACGATATCCAAATTTCATCTGTGAAACGACCAGCGCCGTTCAACACAGCTCGTTTGACGTGTTCTATGAGTTGATCGTCCTCCGGTTCGAGTAGTATCGGATTTCGCACTTCTTCGCAAGAGCGACTTATGGCCTTTACGGGATCATCTGCCGCCAAATCGACTGTTCTGTCGTGTATATGAGCTCCACATACTGGAAGGATACCTTCAAGTCTTTGAACTTGCTTGGCGCCAAATACAACGAAGTTCAGCGTGTCAAAGAGTTTTGTTCTCCTGTTATCTGGTAGCAAGACACGATTGCTGCGATGCGAGGCATTCTCATCTTGATTGACATTTGGCAAGAACCTATAAAATACGACAGGAACTTCAATAAAACACGATGATGGTGTTCAAAAGCCGATCTTCCAAATCTTCCAATAATAATATGTCTCACATTGCTGGGTCTGGAAACTTGAAATCATTCACTGCGGATTCGGATAGAGCCGTTATCCAATCACTTCTGACGGCAACACTAAGATTGGCCAGTATAGACAAAAGTTTCGAAGTTGGACTATCGGGGCTCCATTCGTCCATAATCAAGTGTGTGCATTCTTTCTGAAACTTGTCTGTGCGCTTGATGCCTAGCCAAACAGCGATGTATCAACAATGGTTGACTTTTGTGTCGATGTGGCAGTCATCAACATACCAAGTGCGGGATCCAATTTGACTTTCTTTCCCAGCAGAAGCACAACAGGCTTCCATACAAGTCTATTTTGCAGGGCGTAAGAGCTACGTCCAAACATAGTCAATCCAACTGCCTCACTTGAGCTTGATCGTTCCAAAACTGACGATGTCACCATCATTCAGATCACGAGTCTGATCTTGCGTCAACGCTTCTCGTCCTATTAATGTTTGCTTCTTTGAAGTTCCGTCACTGACGGAGATGCGAGGTCGCTTGTTCAGGTCAAGCTAAGAGAGTGGTCGTGTTAGTATGAGAAAAACTGCGAAATCCGGCGTTAAAAGACCCTCGCACCGAGTCTGGAATGCTAGTTTGTGCTGATTTGATGTAGAATTGAACAGAATTAGCTCGTGCTGCAGTTGGCGAGGTAACTGTTTTAGATTGAACGTGTGAGATTTGATGTACACGAGCTTTCCTGGCAGTCGATCAAATAAGACGGTGGATCAACCGTACTCTCTGCATCCTTGTCGATAGCATTATCCGATCCCGGCCTGATCCATATGAGCCTCTCACCACCTATTCGACCAAAACATTGCAAGTCACTCGGTTTGTTCAATTTGACAACGACGACAATAAGCCTTACCAAGCTCTTGAAGAAACCACATTCCCGCTACTATTACTCCCTATTATCACTATTACTTCACGACACGGTTGTATAAAGGCTCTTCGAGAAGCTTTCAACAAAAATGGGTGTTAGAGAAACCGGAGCGATGTCAGTGTAGTTCTAAGCAGCGAGGGCAGAGCTAACCAAGTTCTGTGAATATCATCGCCTTGTAAGTGCTTAAACACGTTCGTATCGTATGGGAAGTCTATCTGCGCGTACTGTGTGTGTTGACAAGGAGCTACTTTTCTATGATTCCGAGGCACAGAAAGAGAGTTTTACGTGTATTTGCCGTCGTGAAATCTTGCGCAACCCGTACAGCGCGTTATTTTGCTTTCTAGCCACTGTTGGGGTTGTCCGCTGAGTTAATTTGATGATTCGCAATTGAACAGAGCAAAGAGGTCAGATCTGAATCTGTCAGTATGCACGCTATGATTCCGATATTGTAGCGCGTGACTAGATAGCTGGATGTTGGTGAAGGAGGTTGTAGGATGTTGCGAGGCAGGGCGACAATACACGTTAGGAGGTTGATAGTGTCGAGACCGTTCAGTTCCGGAAACAAGGAGACTTTGTGTAGATTGTAGATTGGTTTCTGACATCAGTTGGTACTTACCGAGCCGCGAACAATTCAGTTCCACCGATGCTTGGATTACATCCAGCAAGCTCCCAAACACAGCCAACCACAAAGCTTTAACGTTTTGATTGAGCGAAGGAATCAAAGCAGACAGGGATACGGAGCATGTCATCATTCTTTGGCAAAAGTAAGAGCTGGATCTAGCACTGCATTCTATGATTGCTTGATGAATTCAACATGTTGCTAACTACCTCCTCTCGTGTTTTCCAAGTGTTTTCCAAGCAGCAGCAACCGCCTCAATCTGACTCCCGCTCCACCTTCCTGGATCAGGACGAAGGACTTGGAAGGGCAAAGTTCACTTATGCTGCTCCCCCTCATGCATCCATGTGGGATCCAAATCCAAACGAACAACAATTTGCCCAAACTCGTCCACATCAGGACGATAGGAGACTCAACAAGAAAAAGTCATCTTCTACTGGAATGAGACAAGTCATTCCAAAGGATTCCTCCTCTTCATTGCAACCTGTAGATAGATGGCCAGTACAAGCTGTTTCTGGTGCAAACGAACAACAGCAGCAGCAACAGTTACCACCTTCGACGTCATATCCAGTACCAACCTCATCATCAGCATCATATCATCAGCCAATGCCACCACCGCAGGTACAATCGCCTCAACAAATACCCCGACTCGCTCCATCACCTCAAACTTCACCCCAAAGATCAGTCAAACCATTGCCATTACCACCGACAAAACTACAGGCTGTAGCTCTACAGAACGCCCATGAGAGGAATAGTAGAATATCCATGCTCGGATTCACCTGGGAAAGCTTGGACGAATCTATTACGAATGGGAACGGCCTGTACGTCGTCGCCAACTCGAAATATGTCTACGATATAAGTAAATGGATCAATGACCATCCTGGTGGAAACAATATACTGTACAGCGCTGCTGGCACCGATGTTACTCTGGACTACTTTAGGGTAATGCTCTTGTTTTTCACGTGCCATTCATCAGATATTTGATCGTATTGGATTTGTGTGATCTTTGATGATATTTCTAAGCCTCAATTCTCTTGTAGGAATCTGGGTTTGATGCAGATGACTTCATCCCCATAAAACAAGTCAACCATGTCCGAAAACAAGTTCCCAGTATTCCTCGTAGCTCAACATCATCACTTGCCCTACCAGCTCCCAGATTGTCAGACCTGTCCTTGAGCGAACTATCCTTGAATGACAGGGCACTCGCACACTTACGATTCTCGGAAGGTGACATAATAAGGATCAAGAGAGCTAGAAAGACCAATGTACATTCACGAAATGCTATACAAAAGCTGTCGAGTTTGCTTGTTGGTGAGATTGTGCCATCAGAGCCTCAAAAACGTGTTGAAGAAGGCGAATTACGCCCATTTGACAAGTATGAGTACAGAAGATACGCCATAACGGAAGTGGTACGTATTCTGTACATGTACATATGTCACTATTTGCGCGTTAATTTCTCATCATCTTGTGTTTTTCAATACCAAGACTAGTGTCAACGCATCGAGTACAAACCCAGCATACCAAATACGATTCGTGCTACTATATCCCTTTGATACACGAAAAGATGAACCAACTTCATTCCACGGTGGTGAATGTATAGAGATACAGATTCGGGTGCAAGACCAATGGCATTCTCGATACTATACTCCCATATCTGGGAGCCCAACTGCCTTTGAAGTGATAGTGAAAACATATCCGACTGGACTCATGTCACAGTTCCTTACTAGACAGAATCCGGGAGATCGTCAATTTAAGATTAGAGGGCCATTTGGAACTCAAATCTTTCATCCGCAAAAACCACTACAGCTGTCCAGCCCTGCATGGACCCCAGAAAGACTAATATATATATGCGGTGGAAGTGGAATCACACCCTTCTTGCAAGCCTTACATAGTATGCTGTTTCCAGTCTTAACACCCTTGGCCGTCATTACTGATTATCTGCAAACAGCAGAGGATGAACTGTCATTGGCTCGTGGTGATGTGGTGTATATAAAGACGAACTTTTATGATGGTTGGGTCTTAGGTAGGCATCCTTCTTGCAAGCCTTATGCGTTTTCCGGTTCTAACACCCTTGCATTACTGATTATCCTAGGTAGCAATCTTACGACTCATCAGGATGGAATCTTCCCACTAGCATGTACCGCACCCTTTTGTGGCCTCAAGACCAAAATCACCCTCATAAACCAAATCCAGACTGTAAACGATGTTATAGGTGGAACCATACTAGAAGGATCCATGCTATCTTATAGCTCACAAGTCAAAATCCATCATATAATTGCTAAAGGTGTCGATTTGAAGAATATGCCAGCTGGCGTCTCTGGATTTGTGCATCAAGGCAAACTGAATGAAGCCATGCTGGAACAACTTGTTGCTCGGACATGGGACACTACAGGTGCTACATCGCAAAAGATTGTGATTATAGGGCCGAGAGGGTTTGATGGAACTATTGTTGATATTTTGACTGATCTGTTGAGTGTCAGTATTGATGTCGCTGATATTAAGATAATGCCGGGCGATCGCTTTATATGAATCTGGTAACCGTCACAGGAAATAATAACGCGTGAGGGTTTTATTAGGATGGTGGTGGGGAGAACAATTTGCACAACATATAATCGTAGTATTTAGCATTCATTTGTAAAACTTGAGCACATCTTTATGGAGCATTGGATAAAAATTATTCGACTAAAATATAGAGTTCAATTTATTCTGTGCCGAGATTGACCACCACTTTACAAAGACCAAGCAAATACCTAGCCAATTTACAGCAATCTGACCATCCATCTCACTTTTCAATAAGCAACAGTAGGAGTCATTCCAACCTGCTTGTAATACTCTTCATCCTTCAACACACGCAACATAAAATGGGCCAAATCAGCTCGACCCAAGGTCAATCCAATAACATCTGGGCCAGCTCTATAAGCATTTGATAGCGCACCATCAGTCAGCACTGGTGGTCTAGCAATACAATACGAGAGACCAGATTTGGTAACGATTTGTTCGACTTTTTCCTTGTCGTTGATGATTGTGCGCATGAGTGGGTAAACCATCAGGTTGCCGGCTTTTAGCCACCTTTTAGATTCAGGTTTTCGTTAGTGGGGATTATTCGGAGAAGGAAGAACGACAATAAGTTTAATTTTTACCATGGAATAGTTGCAGCGCCTGATCCAACACCGATACCAGAGATGGTAACCAATTTTCTGTTGTCAAAAGTATGAGTAAACATAGATACATGTTTCAGAAAATGCAAGTTCGTTTGATGGCTCACTTGACTTGATGCTTTTTCATAGCTTCCACAATATTTCGATTCGCGACTTCACAGATATCAGCCTCGTTACCAAGAAACATCGTGGCTCCTCCTCCTATACGTAGAGATCGCGAAATCATAGTTAAAAGAAGCCCATGCTCAACCAAAATGATAACTGTTGACGCCTGTCCCGACCAACCACAACCTGTACAAAATAAACTAGATCGGACACCCAAACCACATACCAATACAATTAAGAACACCATCAACAGGCTTTCCAAACGCCTTTTCAACATCTTCTGGTTTCCTCACATCTCCTTGAACGACCGTAACGTTTGGCATTGATTTGACGCTTGGATCAAGCTTTTCTGGGTTGCGAACGAGTATCGTGGCAGTATCCGTAGATTCCATTTGTTTGAGAATTTCTTTTCCAGTTCCTCCAGTTGCACCAAAGAGTAGAAAGCTCGCTGACATTTTGGACTGGATGACAGATCAGAGAAATTAGTTCAGATTTTACGATGGCGATCGTGATCGGAAATAAAACGCCAGATGGGGCGGCACTTCATACAAGAAATTGATGATGAATGTTCGTTGAAGACTATCTGTTCTACCTCAACGTCAAGAGTTTCTCCTCGCGCATGTAGAGAAACTTACCATCGAATAGTATCTTGAGGAAAGCGACGACACCTTGTTTCCCTGTTGACAATGGCACAGCCTTATACGAGTTCCGACGAATTGAGATAGCCACGACATTTCAGGTCGATTTTAGTGTTGGGTGTTTGAGTATGAGTAAATCCAAGTTCGAGTCCGGCACGCAGAGAGAACCCAGGAGAAAAGAACACGACTCTCGCGTGAAATACGGTTCTATAATAGTTTGTTCTCGCAATTGAGCTTCCTTTTTCGGATTGCCGTGTGGCATTCTCTGTTTCTCATATTGTTGGGATTGACGCAAACCATCGAAACAGAATCAAAACTTGCTCAAGGTTCGTTAAATTCAATATTCTTTATTCTGGTTTGTTGATCCATCTTAAATTTCTTACTATTGAGGCACTTCCCAACATCAGTTCCTTAACAAAACTCCTAAAATACAAGAACAGCCCCGCCTCTCTTTTGACATTCTAAAGACTGCCTCCTTGGCACATCTTTTTCAGTCTGCACTCAAAAAGTCTGGTTGAGATATGAGTTGCGCCAAGAATAAATCCACCTGTTGGCGAACAAAGTCCCGTCGATTGTTGAGATCTTGGTGGAAGATGCCTTCCAAGGTTTCGTGCACTATTCGTGTTGTCAAACGTGCCAAGTCTGCGCCTAATTAAGTTGTTAAGATGAGTTTATATGTCGACGGATCAGTCACTGCAATGATAGATCCAAAACTTATAAGATCACTTTTCATTCCCAGCCACTTACCAGTGAGAATCCTATCGATCTCAGTAATTATTTGTTCGTTCGTAGCTGGCACAGCTTCGTCATACATGTTATATCCCCCACCACTTGAAGACTTGTATCGTTTCATGTGAGAAGTACCACCATTACTGCTACTACTACGACCAGCTCCATGACTATTGCTACCTTCACCAGTATTATTTTTTGGTGGTCGTCCTCTCTTTCTCTTGGCAGCAAGAGGTAGTGGAGCTTCCAAAGTCGTCAATCGCCCATCACCAGTTCTAGCTTTTTTACGACGTCCTGCATTTGCCGTTCCATCATCTTCACTACCACCTTCGTCTTCGTCATCATCATTATTATCGTCGTCATGATGACTGACTCCTGAGAAACTACTATGAGGCATACTGCTATTTGGATGAGGTACAGATGATGGTGTAGATTGATTTGCTCTTGCTGCCATGGTTGCAGCTGATGGTGGTCGACCTCTCTTTCTCTTTGCTGGCGCTGCAACTGGGGTGTTATTTACTGCGAACTTACTTGATGATGATGCTAATGAGGCCGAAGTGGTTGCGATTGAGGTGCTAGAAGACATGACGCTAGTGGTTTTTGGCAAGGCTGGTACTACTGTAGTGGGAGCTCTGCTACTAGATGATGCGGGTTGTTGTTGTTGTTGTTGTTGTTGCTGACTCGATGATGATGTTGGTGACGTGGTGGTAGACATTGTGGTCGTGCCGTGGACGGATGCAGCACTACTAGATGAAGTAGGTTTGGCCTTCCATAGATCAGTGACTCGTGTTTCATACACCGTTTGCTCATCTTTTGACAAAGCATCCCACATTTCGTCCAGTTTGCGCATGGCCCCTTTACCCATTTCTGCTACCAATTCGGTTTTGTGTTCTTGGATAAACAATTCCCGAGCTGTTTTAGGTCGATTAGGGCCGCGTTTCTTACGACCTGGTCTACCGTCTCCCTGATTGGATGATGGACTTGCAGAGTTGGCTGCTGATTGAATAAGTTTTTGCTTTGACGGTGAGATTGTTGTGGTATCATATGGCGTTGAGGTTTGATCGTTATCTTCGTCATCGGCCTCATCATAAGGCCCTCCTCCTGCATCCCCATCTGATGAGACTCTCTTTTGTCCTGATGAGGATCTTCGAGACTGTGGACTAATGGAGCTTGACTTTGACTTTCGAGCCTTTGTTGAAGTAGGCGATGCGGCAGTTGAAGTAGTGGCTCGATGTAGCGTGTTTTCGACTGTCGGATTCATCAAGAAGAGTTTCACTCTCTCCATCATTTGTTCCTAAGCAATAAGCAGTTTGTCAATGAATCGTGCGGCGCCATACAGAGCTTTCAAACTGTATGTCACTTGAAAAAGCGAGGCTATTAGAATACCTACTGAGGAATCCAGATATGTTTTAATCCTCGTGGACCTCTGTATTTATTGTAAAGTGAGTTTGGAGATTGCTGAAGCTGTCTGATTGAATTGATGGAGGCGAATCGAGATCTAGATGACTCGACGTTAGCGGTAAATGCAAATATGCGTTATTTTTGAACATCTGGATCCCTCATCATTGCTCTTGAGCCTCAATTAAGCTCCAAAAAACTCAACATTTCGAGACAAATTTTTAACATTCAGCCTCTTCTATAGCCATTGTATTTGTATGCAAATAGAGCTCCCTAAGCTCCTTGCCCACGATCTAGAGCTTCAGTAGGTTTTTTGTGCTTTATGTTGGATGGTGCTAGTTCATATTGCCAATAGTGCAAGTTCGCACTGTTCATATTATTCAGTCTGTTTCGACTTCAGTATTTCTCTCATGATACTCCCTTTTATCTTTTATCTAGTAAGCCATTGGCCAATTTACGTGCAAAACGCGTCAACATTCAAACCAACTACTTTGAAAAAAATTATGGAAGTCGAGATCAAGATTCGCTTAGACGACCTCAATCACTTTAAAGTGCTAAAGCTATTTGAATCGCATGGTGTCAGTCAAGGTACTGAATTCCAAGAGAACTACTTTTACGACGGCTTGAACGACGAATTGTGAGTTGTTCGCTCTGATGTTTCGACGTGAATTTTGAATGGGATTACTTATTTCTATGTTCATGTTTCTATTGGAATCCGCTGTAACTCTGAGAAACGACTCTCTGTTCAATCTAGGGCCGCGACAAAGAGTGTTTATAGGATACGACGAATCAAGGAGAACGGGAACGTCTCTTACTACGTGACATTAAAAGGGAATGCTGTATTGTCTGACGGTGTCTCCAGTGTTGAAGAGGTAATCAGCAAAAGACCACAAGGTTACCAATATGTATCGAGGCCCCAATCTCCAAACTCTTTCTTTGCCCAGTAGTTGGAAGATGAACTTGACTCGGCTTTAGCAGAGCGATTGCTTGCCGATCCGAATGTGCTGCTCCAGGTGTATTCGTCGTGAGTTCATGTCTTTGATACTCATTGCGTCTCTCTCACATTTTGTCAACGTAGACATCCAATTTTGGCTCAAGTACATGGACGAGCAACAGCGTCTGGATATAGGACTCGAGGATACTTTAAAAATATCCGGAGGAAGGTGTTATGGGAGGACTTTTTGTTGGAAATCGATGAAACTGAGGTATCCTGCTTTTGAAGGAGTCTTTTCTTGGCGGTAGCTCACACAACATGGAATATAGTATGACTTTGGAATAGCTTATGAGATCGAGATAGAGCATGTGGATACAGCTACGTCAAAGACCAAAATGTAAGTCAAAAGGGGAATGTATCGTAGTTTGAATTGACTTGCTTATGCGCATGTTTTGCATAGAGAGGAATTCCTATATCAAAATGGTATCGTATTTTCATATAGCAAGAGAAACAAGTTTGTTAATATGTTGCTGCAATCAATAGAATAGCAACTTGAACGCTCTGTTC